TGGTTGGCAGTAGGGTTGAAATCCTCTATATCCTTCTAGTCAAAATAGTTAAGGAGTTGACCCTAGATTAGGGGTTGCTTAGTATTATCTATTATAGGCTTGATGTTAATTATAGTAGGTATAGAGCCTTTTAGAAAGAACTTAACACTCTCTTCTGGTTGTCTATTCTAATTAAATATAATAAGCTTCTTAGTTTCTTAGTTCTAGATTACTCTTACTTAGTTAAGCCAACCCTATAAAAGAAGAATGTCCTATAAATTCTTATTGCTAAAAAGAAATATATGTATAGTGACTAAGATTTTTCCTACTATAATATTAATAAGAATATATTTATCAGTAGTTATAACTTGATTATCAGTAAGATAGATATGTTATAGTATTATAGACTTTCTTATAAGAAGGCTGTGCTTTTTACAGAATGCTAGACTAATTAAGTCTAAGGTAGTGCTACTGTTAAGTATGATATGAGATATAAAGATACCTTTAATACTGCTGCTAATAAAGGAGATAGTTGCCTTCTAGGCTTTATAAGGCTTAAGTCTAACTTCTAGATGATGTCTACTAGCTGTTTCTATTCTCCTAAGAGGAGAAGTAGTATTATTAGCAACAGTACCTCTAGTGCTATCAAGCTTAAGATTTAAGAATTCTGCTTTATAGAACTTCTTTTCTAAGTTTCTAATATATAGTTGTTGTTAAATAGACTTTTAGGTGGGCTTAATAAACTTATTTATTTCAGTATGAAGATAGGGAGAAATATCTAGCAGCTAGGTAGTAGTAATATTAACTGGAACTTAACTTAGGAGATTAGCAATATAGAATAGAGACAGTCTATTATTAGTGAGCCTAGCTATATGCAATTAGAGGCGTGCTACTTTCTTTAGAGGGTTCTTCTTAATTAATCCTTATACTATTTAATAGAGAGAGTAGATCTTATCTTAAGATAGGGGTGGGAGACTCTTATAGGGATTTAGGGGAAGCTTAGATATAGGTAGGTTTATGTTAGTTATATCCTTATCATCCTCAAGCTTAATAATTATTAGAGCTTATATTAGATTATATAGCTTAGCTATAGCACTATAAGAGAGGCTGGGTATGGCTAGGGCTAGATTAGAGTTCTATAAAGTAGGTTTAGACTAAGTGGCTTTATCTAGGATGTTGAAAGTAACTGACTTTCCTCCTTTAGGTGCATCTTTCTTGTCTTTAATATAACTAGCTTCCTGTTATTAGACTTAAGATTTAGTAGAGTGATCTACTAGGTAGGGAGTATTTTATTTCTTATAAGTCTTATCAATATAACTAGCAGTAAAAGTATAACACTCTCTTAGCTTAGTGGTTATTATAACAGCCTTACTATCTTATTGCTTATGAAAAGGGACTTCTTTAAAGTTTATAACTAACATCTCACCCTATAGCGGTAGAGTTACCGCTTGACTTTAGTAAGTTTATCTAGACTGATAGGGTTGAGAAGTCTATTGACCTATCTACTGGTCTTATTTTCTGAAATACTCTTCTTGTAGTATGTTTTGCTGGTTGTAGGGGAGAGCCTTTTCAGGATTAGGGCACTGTGTCTTGTAGTGTTTAAACTCTCTGCACCTGAAATAGTGAATGTTATTTCACTATTGTCTATACTAAAGCTATATGTCTTACTAGGAGTATGACATGCAGCTGGAGGTTTGATTCCCTATCAGTGACTTTAGGTGTTGCTAAGATCCTTAAGAAGTCTGGTAATTTCTTATAGCAGCCTAGGATATTATGTTCAATACTTCAGTAAGTTTCACTGATGTGAATTGGTCTACAACCTTAGTTAAGGCCTTAACAGTCTTGCTGAGATGGTCTACCTTCTCATCTATTTAAGAAGTATATATTAGCAGTCCCTCTTTTATATAGAGCTGGTTCTTCTTAGTAAATATATCTTGCTTCTCTCTATAGCCGACTAAGTAGCCCTGAATAGTATCTTAGACACTAATAAATAAGCACCTACTAGAGAATATAGATAAATCCTTACTGAGTATGCTATAGGTGATAAGTCTGTCCTTAATATGTTATTTAAGATTAGTATTATGCTTGCTCTATACTAACTAGATAAGGAGGTGGCTTTAAAGTAGGTTTTATATTTCTTCTGTAACAGCTTAATGACTAAGCTAGGTAGCTCACACTAAGTAATTAGAAATACTCTCTTTTAATTTATAAGTAAATATTATAATTAATACTATAATAAGACTTTATATCTCTAAGCTATCTACCTTAGGATACTTCTTAAGGAACTTAGTTTTAATGATACTATAATCTTACTAATTATTATTAGTGAGTTCCATGCAATACTATATAGCAGTGTCTCCTACTAGATTCTGACAGAAGAGTGTTTGTAAGATTATAGTCTGAGATTTACCTAGGGCGATTCCTATTATAAGAACATAAGCCTGGATGTTCTCTAGGTATTCTACTAAGGATGAATCCCTATAGCTAGTAAAGGTTGAATTAAAAGGCAGCATTCTAATAGACTAAGAATATAGTAATAAGAAATCTAGAGTGAGGATGAATAGATCTCTAGATGTAATAGAGGATAAGGGTTTCTTAATAGGATCTATTACTAGAGATGATAATAAGGATAAGGACATACTAGGAATTAATAATATATATATGTAAGGACATATATTAACTATTAAGTATGGCTTAGTTTTATAAGTAGAGATGGCTAAAGAATTAATCTACTAAGATAGATTGTTGATATGCTCTAAGAAGTTTAATAGAAATAAATGATAAGAAGAATTTAATGCTGTATACTAGGAACTATTAGGTATAGCTAGTATAATTAACTTAGGTAATAGAGAATGCTCTTTAAGAGAATGAGTATAAGTAATACTAGCCACCTATAACTAGTAAATATCAGTAAGACTCTTAAAGTCAGCTATAAGAAACTGTTTGCTAGTTCTCTGCCTTTTAAGTGTGTTCTCTAAAAGGAAGATCTTAACTGGGGAATACTAGTGGTAAATACTAGTGATACTATATCCCTAAGGTCCTTCTAGAATATACTGAGATGTGGTTACAGCCAGAAGTTTAGTAAGAACTAATAAGTAGTAAGAATTGCTAAGGCTGAAATAGTTAAAGTTTAGAAAGTCAGTTCTAGATTTTTAAATAATAAAAGGTATGAAGTATAAAGGGTGGAGTTTTTCCCTTATCACTTAGTAGGTTGAATTATAGGGTGGGGTCCCTAAGAAAGTAGTAAAGTATAAAAGTTAAAAGTCCTTTATTAAAAAGCTAATAGTTATAGCTGTAAGATCTTACTATTACTATATAAAGATTATTGCTGTCTAGTGGATGTAGAATATGCTTATTGAGATATACTTAGATGATCTCACTTATCTATTTTACTACTGCTCTATGGCTACTATAGGTTGGAAATTTTAAGAATTCTTAAAGTTTGACTTTTAAAGTATCGCCCTACTTTATTAAAGCATTCCCTATTATATAGCTCTATAGGTCTAGACTTAGTAGTAAGGTCTAGCCTTTCCCTATTAGTATAGACAACCTAGATAGCATACTTAACCTAACTCTAGTAGTGGCTTCTAGCCGGCCTCTCTAGAGTTTACTCCCTATAGTAGACTTCTATATAGCTGTATGATCACTAGTATTATAGCTAGCTGGTCTAGATCTTCTATTATAAGGAGGATTCTCTAATTCTTATTAGGATAATAGATATATCTATATGTTAAAGATCTTAATAGTATGGCTATATCTAGCTACTCTCTTTAACTAAGTCTAGCTAGCTATAAGTACATTAAGATATACTAGCTATATAGGACTATTATGATATATTATAGGATATGATGTATGTATATCTAATATATATATAAGTAGTATGACTATACTGTCTTATTACTAGTCTATCAGTATATCTATTATAGGTATGTCCTAGGCCTATTATATATATATATCAATATGCTGGTAACTCTAGTCCTTATCTAGTTCTGTCCTAGCTTATCCTATAGGGTTTAGATGGCTAGCTTAGCCATTAGTAGAGCTATATCTATTCTATGCCACTTTATAGTAAAAAGAGTACCACTATAATCCTTTTAGTCTAGTAAATTCTATAGTAGGTCTCTCTCTCTTCTAAGAGACAGCCTGTCACAATAAAATCATGTCTCTATATAAGCCTATAAGCAATAAGTCATTTTAAATGTTTAGGGAAGTCTAGGGTTCATACTTTAGCTACATACTAATTCAGCCATAGCCATAAATGTCATGGTCCTTTACAAGGCGGCGAGTGATAAAGTTCAGTTTAGGTCGGTGATGCCTAGGAGGCCTGAGATTTAGCAAAGGCGTGCTTGGACCAGGGAGAGGGAAAATCCATAGACAGAATCTGATTCTAGAGAACGAGAAAAGAAAGGTAATTCCATCATAGTAGAGGGAATATCCTGGTTCACCCCACCATGAAAACTCCGGATTCTGGTATTGCAAAGCAGGGGTCAAAAATAGTGGTTGATTGTGGCCTGCTAATTTCTAACTCTCTCTCTCTCGAGAAGCCAACTAAATCTAACTTGGTGGCCCACTTCAGGGGCTGACTAAAATCCCCTCTCTACAGTGGCCATGATTGACGTCAGACAGGCCAGGCTCAATCCCAGCTGCAAGCACTAAGAGCAACGCCGGGCTCTCCATCCGCATCAATCGTCTGACAGTGTCCTTGGCGCCACGAAAGTGTTTCCGAACTCGCTTGCGGTTCGCGTGAGCTTATTTCGCGCCGCCAATCGTCGTCGTCGCTTCGGGCGAGGCTGCTGTACGCGTGTATGGCCTGCATGCCAACTGCCAATCAAGATCATTGAACACGCCGGGAGGCGCGAAGAATTACCTCCGAACCGGCGCCACAGAGTTGTCGCATCCTCCAAGGACACCTTCCCGTCCTCCCTGTCCTCTGCTGTGAAAGCCGGAGGCACCCGAGTCGACCTTTGGCGGGCCTGCGCCGTCCGGCACCCGAGCCGACTTGGCACTCGCCAGCCCTCACCATGGCCAGCACTCTCCGTCGCCGTGTGCTTGGCAACGAGACGCCCTCTGACAGCTCTAGCCCGGCCCCGACACCCCGGGATGAGAGCCCCGAAAAGCAGGGCGGTGATGCTAAGGTTGTCACCGCAAAGGTGATCCATCACCAAGTCAAGACGAAGAAGAGGCGCACCACCCTCATCTTCTTGCTCGGCAGCATATTTGGCATCATCGCTGCCGGTTTCTTTGCCAAGAGTAATGACTTGATCGACTTTCCTGAGATCGGCGAGCTCAGTATGGATAGCTTCTTTGACGTCCTTCCCGCCGGGCTTGTTAGGGACATGCGGGATCTCATCGTATGTGCAGCTGCTGGGTCCGGTCCTTGCCGTCCCTTTGACCACGTCGCTAACCGTTTGTCCAATAGAAAGGGGAGCGAGAGTTCATAGACAGCTATGATGCATTTGCGATTGGTGCCAAGGCACGGGCAGAAGGGCTGCATGCGGACCATCCCATCATCATGGTCCCCGGTGTCATCTCCACGGGCCTCGAGTCTTGGGGCACGTCGAACCACTCCCGCCAGTACTTCCGCAAGCGGCTGTGGGGTAGCTGGACCATGATGCGAGCGCTGGTCCTCGACAAGGAAGTGTGGAAGCGCCACATCATGCTGGACAAGAAGACGGGCCTGGATCCCCCCGATGCCAAGCTCAGGGCCGCTCAGGGCTTCGATGCTACCGACTTCTTTATCACCGGATACTGGATCTGGAACAAGATCTTTGAAAACCTAGCATCGCTCGGGTACGACCCCAACAACTCGTTCACTGCGGCGTACGACTGGCGGCTGTCCTATGCGAACCTCGAGGTCAGGGATCAGTATTTCACCAGGCTCAAGCTCTATATCGAGATGGCTGTCCAAACGTCCAAGCGCAAGGTGGTCTTGACAACGCACAGTATGGGCTCCCAGGTGCTGTTTTACTTTTTCCACTGGGTCGAGTCGGCCCAGGGCGGCGAGGGTGGTCCCGACTGGGTCGAGAGACACGTGGATTCGTGGATCAACGTGAGCGGGTGCATGCTGGGTGCGGTCAAGGGACTGACGGCAGTCCTATCTGGGGAAATGAGGGACACTGCTCAGCTGAACGCATTCGCCGTCTATGGCCTGGAAAAGTTCCTGAGCAAGGAGGAGCGGGCAGAAATCTTTCGCACCATGCCCGGCATATCGTCCATGCTCCCCATTGGCGGTAATGCGGTATGGGGTGACCTAGATGGAGCCCCGGACGACCAGCCCGGCCAGCTCCATTCCTTCGGGTCACTGCTGAACTTCCGCACAGGCAAGAACTGGACCACGCCCGACAGGAACTTGACTGTGGAAGGGTCCATAGACTATCTGTTCAACACGACCGAAGACTGGTATCAAGATCAGTTGAAAGGCAGCTACTCCCACGGCGTAGCCCACACGACGGCCGAGGTCGAGTCGAATCAGGACGATCCCCGTCGATGGATCAACCCGCTCGAAACAAGGCTGCCCCTCGCGCCGAGCCTCAAGATCTACTGCTTCTACGGTGTGGGCAAGCCGACGGAACGAGCCTACTTTTACCGCTCTCCCGAGATGCCGTTGCTGACCAACCTGAACATGACGATCGATACTGGGTTGATCGAGGGAGAGGTCGACCACGGTGTCGTCATGGGAGAGGGCGACGGGACTGTCAACCTCCTCAGCACCGGCTACATGTGCAACCAGGGCTGGAAGTTCAAGCGATACAACCCGGCAGGCGCCAAGGTTACCGTCGTGGAAATGGCGCACGAGCCCGAGCGTTTCAACCCCCGGGGAGGCCCCAATACAGCGGATCACGTCGATATACTCGGCCGGCAGACGCTGAACGAGCTGATACTGAGGGTCGCCGCCGGCCGGGGCAACACCATCTCGGACTATATCGTGAGCAACATCCGAGAGTACGCCAAGAAGGTCAAGATTTACGAGGAGGAAGAATAGGGTCTTGTTGATTTGTTGTACGCGACTTTCCCGGGGCGAATCTCGGCATCGGGAGCTTGATGGTGCAGATGATGGTGTTTGCTTGAGACCTCCGAGGCGCATCGAGGGGAGAGGAGTAAGAGCGCTGAGTGCCTCTGGGCCTCTGTGATACCAACGATCTATGTGTACGAGTATTGGGCTATGAAGCAAGTAGACGTGGGAGGCCAATGGGCAGTTCTTTGGTTTAGAGGCAATAGAACATTTCTATGTGTACCTAAGTACATTACTGTATACTTTCAGACAATAAGTTCGTTCCACTGGCGATCGATGATGCAGATTGACAGTTGCGCCTCCAGCCAGCCGGCTCACGACATCCGCCAAAGTCGCTTCGACTCTGGCTAGCCCCATTGCCTAGCGATAACGGCGGTCGGTGAATGGATGGATGTGTTTTGGGGGGTTCAGTGGGCGCAGCGGGGCCGCTCAGCACGCCAACGGCACCCGTACTCCCCGAGCCAGCAGCGTGACGGTTTTCCTGACCCGTGTAGGCAAAACGTGGGGCTGACATTCTACGTCTCGTCTTCATGTGGCGGCATATGCAATCCAAGCCTTGGCTGGTGCTACCTGCCACTTCTCGTCACATCTACCTCGCCCGCCTTCCTCCTCCTCCTTGTCTTGACGACGAAGGCCTCTCCCATCGATGAAGCCCAGGAGAGATTGTCCTCGGCCGGCTGGTCCTCTCGTGATTGATGCTAGAACATGTCGGACAACGAGGCCGCTCCATCGGTGGGGAGTGAGGAGCAGTTCTGGGATGGTCAGTTCATGCGTCGTCGTGCCCTCTCCCCTTACGAAGACTGACAGCCAGTATTTCTTCCTGCAGATCTAGGAGGGATTCTCTCTGCTCCGTGTAGCGACCACGAGTCCATCGACGACGCCCTGCGCTCCTGGCTCTCCCTGGTATCTACCAGCCGAGACCAGTACCTCAGCTACGAGGACGATGTAGCGACTTGCTCCCAGAAGCTGCTGGACAGCCCGATATTTGTGCATCACCGCGACTACGTGCGCACGCAGATCATTTACAGCCTGCTGCAGGAGGACGAGATTGGACCGCTGCACGTCATTGCCAATTTTCTGCTCCTCGACGGGCGCACCGACGAGGATGTGTTTCGGCGCATGATTGACGAGGGCTGCTTCGCGAGGCTGGTCGACCTCGTTAAGGACTACCGGGACAACGACCGGCGGCTACACCGGCTCTTGCTGGAATTGACTTATGAGATGTCCCGGATCGAGAGGGTACGGACAGACGACCTGCTCCATGTGGACGATGCGTTGGTCATGTACCTCTTTCAGCTGATCGAGGACGTATCGGATGATGCCGATGACCCATATCATTACCCCATCATCAGAGTCCTGGTCAGTGGAACAGAGTCCTCGTGCCAAGGGCCCAAGCCGTGTTTGCTAACAAGTCCGATCTTAGTTGGTCCTAAATGAGCAGTATATGGTGGCAACGACCACCGCAGCCGCCGACCCTTCGTCGCCCACAGCGCCCATGACCAACAGGGTGATCAAGGTGCTCAGTATCCACGGGCCCAGATATCGGACGTTTGGCGAAAACATCATCTTGTTGCTGAACCGCGAGACAGAGACGTCGTTGCAGCTCCTCATTCTGAAGCTGCTCTATCTTTTATTCACCACAACGGCGACGTACGAATACTTTTACACCAACGACCTACGAGTGCTGCTTGATGTCATTATCCGCAACCTGCTGGACCTGCCGAACGAGCTTATGTCGCTGCGGCATACCTATCTTCGCGTCCTGTACCCGCTCCTCGCTCACACCCAGCTCAGCCACCCGCCGCATTACAAGCGGGAAGAGATTATCAAGGTCCTGGCCATTCTCGGCGGCGTGGGCAATCTGCACTTTGCGCCAGCAGACGAGACTACGCTGCGGCTAGTGGACCGCGTCTCCAAGGTGAAGTGGTTGGCGGACACGGGCGACGGGGACGTCGCTCGCAAGCTCCTGGGCATCAGCCTGAGCAACGCGCAGGCCGCCAGCAGCATGAGCGTTGTCGATGTGGCTGCCGTCATGGAGAAGCCTGGCGTCAAGACGCCAAGTCGCAAGACGGGCAGCGCACCCGAGGCGGAAGACTCCAGTCCAGACACGGTGTCGTCGCCGGAACTGACAGGGTCGCCGACACATACCAGAGGGGGCTCGTCAGAGAGTGTCGCACCCCCCGTCAGGAGACCGAGAAAAGCGCTTCCGGCGGTCCCTAAGCACCGGCACGGCGTCCCGGTCATTACAGCCACGGCTCCAACACCTTCTGCTCCGGCGCTCGAGGCCAACGGAAAGGGCCACAAGAAGCTCCCGCCAAAAGCCCCGCCGCCTCGAAGGGGGGCGCGGTTGAGACAGGCCACTTCCAGCACTAATCTATGCGCAGCGGACAAGACGTTGCACTCCGCCGAGACTGCACCGGTCTCGTAGGACGAGGCCGAAGAGCCCCTTACCACACCTCCTGGAACCGAGTAATTGTAATGTTTGACGGACAGAATCGGATCTGTACGCACGGGATTTCGTATATACGGGTCGATGTGGCTGATAGCCTCATCGTGATATTATCCTTGCACGGCATAGCACGGCGTTCAACAGATGTTTAAAGCCGCTTGGCGCTCGTCTCCTTTTTTGCGCGTCTTGTTCCTCGTTTGTGCATTTGTTGCCTCTTCCTTGGATCATACAAAGAGGCATGATTGAACAGAGCTCTGGCTTATGGGATCGTCTGGGAGCTCAAGAACATACTTTTGGACCAAAATATACAGTCAGGAATATACCCTCTTACTTGCACACCACCCGATAGGCTCTCCTTTTCTTGGGTGAAACTAGTTACCGACTACGGGATTGGGATGCGGCGGTTCGTTCAGGGAGGGCGGAGATGCAATGGGCTCCTTGCCCGTCGAGTCAAATATGCGAGAGGTTGGGGACGCTCGCGTCTAATTCTACAAAAGAACTCCAATCGATTCCGTTTCGCGAGGTCATACGATACGTGGAAAGGTGCTCAACATCAATGACGTCGTTTCCCCGTTCAAGGACGGTACTGGGATGCCGGATGGGCTGGAAATGCCTGGTTGATGATTGTCGTGATCCATTGGTACAATACAATATGCTGAGCTTGCACAAGGTGCCTGGCATTAGCATTGGAAACGACCATATCTAGTACCTAGGTACCCTAGCGGCAGTTAGGGCTCAGTCCAGAGCTGCTACTTCTTGTCGGACGGCACCAGCCATGATTGTCAGATTGCAAGCTTGCGATCTGGAGAAGGGATCGACCTTGGAGTTGAGTGCTTGGGGCAGCTGAGCTGTGTGGGGATGGATGGCCCGCTTGTGGAAAGTTGTGGTGGATGTGCGACAGGGATAGCCAAGGCTTGGCGCCCAGACGACGTCATCGGTTTCTATCTGGTGATGTTGGTTCGTTGGAGCTGGTTCGGTGGTCTCTTTCCCTTCTTTTCTCTGGCGCGCTTCTGGCTGAGAGCTGGGACGTCTGGCATTGCTTTGTCGATGGTGCACATGTCAGTCCCGGGTATTCCGCTCAACAGCGACCCTATCTCGACCTCTGCTGGGACCCTGGCATTTGCCAAGGATGCGAAGATTTGGTGGTGTTTTTTTGTACGTACTCCGTATTGTGAGGCAGGCCCAAGTACACCGACACGAGCAGTCCCAGCTGGTTTTAATTGCCTGCGGGGAAACAGGGTCTCCTGGTGGTGGAAGACGAGAGCACATCAGGCCTCATCGCCATCTTGTTCTTGATCTTGTTCCTTTTCTTCTTTTTTCCCTCCCATCGTCAATTTCTGTCCTCGCTGTACGGAATATACTTATTGTGCCTGCCTGCCTAGTCCTTTTTATGCTTTCCCCTGCCTACAGCACAAACCCACAGTGCTATCCACTATTCCTTGGTGCAGGTAGTGTTTGATTTACCGATGCCCCCTACCACCCAAGGTACCTACCTACCTAGGTTTGCTCCAGTGCTCGGCCCAAAGCAGCCCAAGCAAGCTGAACTGAGTCCTCCACCACGCGCGAGTCGTGCATCATCCGACACCCAATCCGTCACTTTACCTAGATCCCTCAACCCCGCAGAGCTCAGCGACCAAGCAGCATTGAACTGAGCAGGAGGAAGAGACAGCGAGACCGACACTGCAGCGAGTGAGCGAGTGAGTGAGTGTGGCGCCTTGTACTCTCTTTCATCCGACCTTGGCGTGTGCACCCACCTGGGCAAAAGGGCCGGCTCACTAAGGTTTTCCCATTGAGGAGCTTGTGTTCCCTACTACGTAGCTAGCCTGGGCTGCTCCTTGTCGCTCTGAGCTTGCGCCCTGGCGATTGCGTCAACATGGCGACGGCCAAGTCCCCTCTCACCTCACCACCCCAAGCGCAACCTCAGCAACCTCTTCACCTCCACAACCAAGCCTCTTCTGCCACCACTCTCGAGCGCTCGGGATCGCAGTCAATTGCCAGGACCCCTAGCCAGTCCAGCGGTTATTTCCCGCGCTACAACCACCAGCAGCAGCAATCGCATCTCCAGGACCATCCGTACTCCCCCGAGGATCCTCACCACTACAACGCAAACCACTTTGCCGACGGCCACGACGACCCGACCAGGCTCAACACCATTGCAAACTCGCGCATCGTGTCCCCCGGATCGCAACACGAGCCCCAGCGCGGTCGCAGCACCACGCCCCTCCCTGCTCCCGTCGCCCAGCGACCGACAAAGTTCACCGAGGAGTGGGACGCCAGCCAGCGCGGCAGCTCCATCATGATGGACGGCGAGGCCAGCACCCGCACCCTGCAGCGGTCTGCCTCCGTCTCCGGCGGCTCCGTCGGCGGCCAGGACCACGAGACCTCCTCTCAGCTGCCCTCGCGGGGCAACACTCTTAAGAAGAAGGCCAGCCTGCGGAGGGGCGGCAGCCTCCGCCGCAGCAGCAGCCGGCGCAGCATGAAGGCCGGCAGTGTCAAGAGCCTGGCCCTGCAGAGCAACACCGACCCGGACGAGATCCAGAGCGCCTTTTACTGCCCCGTGCCTACCTCGGGAAATCCCACCGAGGCCCTGGCCAACCGCTTCCAATGTGAGTCTTGCCTCCCGTGCCTCGTCGTTCATGCTCGCCCATGCGCCTGGCAAGATGTATTATGTCGTGTAATTGGCTGACAAGAGCGACTCCAGCCTGGCGCAAGATCCTCAAAGATCTCATCGCCTACTTCCGAGAGATCCAGACGCACTACGAGCACAAGTCCAAGTCTCTGCTCAAGCTCGCCAATGTCTTGAACAACACCTCGACCCCGGCCGGCTTCCTGACGACGGGCGGCCTCGACGAGGCCCTGCAGGTCCTCCGCGGCTACAACAAGCAGGCCATTCTCGAAGCGAACAAGGCGCGCGAGATTGAAGAGGACGTCATCCTCGCCCTCATCGGCCTGCGCAGTGACCTCCACCAGAAGATCAAGGAGATCAAGAACCTGTCTGGCGATTTCAAGAACTCGGTGGAAAAGGAGATGGACGGCACCAAGAGGGCCGTCAAGACGCTCCAGGACGTCCTCGGCCAGAGCGACCTCGACTCTTCTCTGGCGACCGGCAAGCAGGACCCCTATCTGCTGCGTCTCGCCGTGGACAGGCAGCTCGAGAGACAAATTGACGAGGAGAACTACCTGCACCAGGTACCTTTTGTTGTTCGCGCTCAGCCAGATCGCGCATTTGCTAATCTTGTTGCCTAGGCCTATCTGAACCTGGAGAGCTCGGGCCGAGAGCTCGAGTCTATTGTCGTCGGCGAGATCCAAAAGTCGTACAATGCTTATGCTGGCATCCTGAAGCGAGAGGCCGACGCGGCCTGGACCGCCATCGAGGAACTGCGCGTCGGGCCCATCGCCATGCCCAAGGACCACGAGTGGACCATGTTTGTGCAGCAGGACGACAAGTTTGTCGACCCCGAAATCCCTATCCGGCAGTTCCAGTACGTCCACTACCCCGGCCGCGACCACTACGCCTGTCAAGAGGTCCGCGCCGGGCTGCTGGAGCGCAAGAGCAAGTATCTCAAGAGCTATACGGCTGGCTGGTAAGTGTCCCTAGTTCTTTGCTTTTGGCCGACTCAATTTGTCCGCTGATCTCGCTAGGTACGTGCTGTCGCCGACCCATCTCCACGAATTCAAGTCGGCAGATAAGACGCAAGCGCCGGTCATGTCGCTGTACCTGCCGGAGCAGAAGCTCGGCTCCCATTCGACCGGCGAGGGATCCTCCAACAAGTTCATCCTCAAGGGGCGGCAGACGGGCTCGATGCACCGCGGGCACACCTGGGTCTTCCGGGCCGAGAGCCACGACACGATGATGGCGTGGTACGAGGACATCAAGGCCCTGACCGAGAAGACGCCGCAGGAGCGCAGCGAGTTTGTGCGCGGACACTCGCGCAGCTTCAGCCGCTCGTCGCAGCGGTCGGTCAGCAGCGACGGCGTCGTCGACGAGGAGGACGAAGAGCCCTTTGCGGTGGATGCCGAGGCCGCCAAGCAGCACCCGAGGCAGGAATCGCTCCCGAGACGACCTTCACCAGGTGGGCGCTTCCCATCTGATCTCCAGGTAAACGCACAACGAGGCTTACAGGCGCCCCACTCTCCGGGTAGTGTGAGTTCCGAGAACAACAACGTCTACAACAGCAACAACGCCGCCGTGGTCGACAGCGAGAATCCCGACCGCGACGTGATTGCGGCGGCAGGCGCGCTCCCTGGTAGCGGCATCGGCGGGCAGGCCGGGCTGGACGGCCGGCCGCAGCAGGACAACCAGCAGCATTTCGGTTACGGAGCGACGCCGCAGACCCCCATGAACGAGGCGCCTTCGCACGCGGCCATGATCAACCGCGAGGCCCAGCAGGACGGGGTCAACCCCTATACGAGCGAGCCGATCGAGCAGCAGACAAGCACGAATGATGGGAACCCAGGCGTTGAGGAGCGACACCAGCAGCTCAGCGAGCACGAACGAGCGAATTTAGGCATGATCATCGGCGGCCCGAGACCTGTTCAGCAGCGACAGGAGGATTCGATGCACCGAGAGGTGGACGGCGAGGGATTTGGGTATCCATCGGAGGAGAAGGAGGTGGCGTCATCGGCTGCCAACAACAATGCTGCCTACATGGCGACTGGGGCTGGGGCTGGTGCCGTGGCGGGGGCCGCGTACGGTGCTTCGGGTCTCGAGCAGCAGCGCATGTCTACGGCGACTGACCTGACCGCCACCTCACTGGGGACCGCCGATCTCAACACTCCTGGTGATGAAGCCGGCGGTCTCATGGTCAACGGCTCCTCTCAACCGACAAAGGCGGCGCGACCCGTCTCGGGGACCGCGAGGAACGACAGCGTGCCCACCATCTCACACCTGCACATCCCCGGGGAGTATCCCAAGTCTACACCTCACTGATGCAGTTTCTTGATCGACTTTTCTCGTTGATGATAGAACACTCTCCTATGTTGTTTCCTGTTTTTCTTAAGCTGCTTGGCTGGGATAGGTGGTCTCGTGGTTTTGGCTCTGTGTTTCTTTGGGTTTTCTCTCTCTCTCGCTCTCTCCCTCTCTTTTTCCCAATTAGAAGAAATTCCCCGTTGCCGTATACAGTGCAGTCTGAGTACCCCCCATTTTTGTCTGTGAATTCATTGTCGATTGCGTTCTGCTCTCTCTTCGTCATGTCGTACTTTGATTTCTCCTTGACCTGGTACTGCTCTACCGCACAGTTTGTCGATGCACGTCTATGAGGACTGAAGAGCTGCTCAGATCATCTCGCCCCTTTTACGGGTAGGGCCGGCGCCGTATTAGCGGATTATTCACGGGAGTCTGCTCAGATGCAAGGGCAGGATAGGTTGGCAGGGACCGGTGGATGGTAGCTACATGGCAAATTGAAATTGAAGCTTTGACTGGAATCTTGGTAACTTTTGCTATTTTGACATCTCCACCGTGTGAAGAGGATCAATGCTGCCGGTTGGCATGATGTACAGAGATGCCACCCGGGCCGTCTCCAACGAGCAATTCCTGCCACTCGGCCGGCCGGTCATGTGGAGTGCTTGGGTCTGCGATCACTTCTCACCTCCGTGTCTCCATGTCGGTACGGTGCAGCAGTGGTGTGTGTGGGGTTCCGAGTTTCGGGTACCGGCCGGATGAAGTCACAAGCCTCGGCCAAGTCGATGGAAACATTCAATCGATTGCGGGGCAGCTCCAGCGCCGGGCCTTGGGACCAGCCCGCAACTCTATCCATCATTTTCTCTCACAGGCGAGGGCTTCCTTGGTAATTGGAGCTGCAGCCTGTGGACTTACTTCCTCTCTCAGAAAATCGAGCACTCTCGTCATACACACACACACCGGGACGACGAGCCGATAGATAGGCACCACTTTGTGACCCTGCCCCGCCGATCGGCAGCAGTCGTCGCACACTGAGCACACCACTCACAGCCCGCGTGGAATGTTACACGGCATCTGCGAGTGAGTGACACTTGTTTCACGGCGCTCTCTTGCCCCCCCTGCCGTGCCGTTAGCTGTGTCGAGTGTGACGCACATTGATCGCTGCGCGGGCCGGGCGCTTCCAAAGCCATGTCGGCCGACTTTTGGGCCGGCTACATCAGCGGCGCCGTCGGCATCGTCATTGGCAACCCGCTCGACCTCGTCAAGGTCCGCCTGCAGGCCGGGCCTGCCGCCGCCGAGAGCAAGCCGCCCGCCTCGGCCATTGCATCTCCCGCCGCCGCTGCAGTCTCGCCGTCATCCCTACCATCATCGCCGCATGCATCGGCGGTCGAAGCGGCTCGGCCCTTGCGCTCCGCCGCCTCGCTGGTCACCGGCGCCGCCGCCCCCATCCTCGGCTACGGCGCCCTCAACGCCCTGCTCTTTGTGTCCTACAACCGCGCCGAGGCCGCTCTGGGCCGCCTCTTCCCGCCAACCGCCGTCACCGGCAGCAGCAGCAGCATCATCATCACGACGCCCGCCACGAGCCTCTGGACGACGTGGCTGGCGGGCTGCGCCGGCGGCCTGGCCACGTGGGTCGTCTCGACGCCGACCGAGCTCGTCAAGTGCCGCGCCCAGCTGGCCCGGGGCCCGCCCGACGACTCGTCGTGGCGCGCCGCGCGGCACATCTTCCGCCGCGAGGGTGGCCTGCGCGGCTTCTACTTTGGCGGCGCGGTCACGGCGGCGCGCGACGGCATCGGCTACGGCTTCTACTTCTGGGCCTACGAGCTGTGCACGCGGTGGTGGATGGCGGCCGCCGATGCGGCCGCGCATCAACAGCAGCAGCAGCACAAGGAGACTCTGTGGTCGAGCGAGGCGGCGCGGGTGCTGCTGTGCGGCGGCGTGGCGGGCGTCGTGACCTGGGCGAGCGTGTTCCCGCTCGACGTCGTCAAGACCAGGGTGCAGGCGCAGGTCCTCCATTCGGGCCCCGCCATCACCACCGGCGAGGCCGCGGCACTGCTCGGGGATGTCGCTGCATCCCCGGCCCAGCGGCGCAAGGGCGCCGTGGAGATGGCGCGCGAGGCCTACCGGGAGGGCGGCGTGCGCGTCTTCTTCCGCGGCCTGACCGTGTGCAGCGTGCGGGCCTTCATCGTCAACGCCGTCCAGTGGGCGGCGTACGAGTGGATCATGCGGGAGCTCGGGCAGGGCCGGGCCGTGAGGGACGGGGCCGCCGCGGCGTCTGCGGCGGTGGCCGAGATGATGTAGGGTGAGCAGGGATCGAGGAGATCTGAGGTGAAGTTGGATGGTCATGTACCTCGGAAAGAGGATAGAGAATAGGAGCTATATAGAAAGAGATACCCCCCAGAGGAATACACTAGACGACCACATTTGGTCAGTGAGACTTTATGATTTCACAAGCTGGACCTGAAGCAAACGACGGAGCTGTTGTTGATGATTTCCATTGTGTGTTACAGATCTTTCTATGATCTTCACGAGATCGTACCTTTGAGCCTTGCTTTCCTTCCTCCCTTATTTACTGATGATGAGAAGGTCTGTCTGCTGTTTGTAGCCTAGGATGATGTCTAGCATTCCCCTAGGTGGGCCGTAGGGACCGCGGTTGACATCTTCAGCATCTCTGTCTTTGCAAAGGACCCTGTGTTGGACGACCGAAACCGGACGCTGTTCCTACGCTCATCCAGAGGATAGATATGTGAGCCCTCCGATTCTGGGCCTTTTCTTTTCCTTTTGAAAACGCTGAAACACCATCCCCATCCCCAAACGCCTTGCCTGTCGTTCAAAGGGAAAATGTATGGAAAAAGATGCCCCGTGTCGTGACACGGGGGCTGACCGGGGTCTTGACCCATCCCCCCAAGTTAGCCAGCCCTCAATGAGAATGTATGTCTGTTTTCGTGCCCGCGTCTTTTATATCCATTATCGTACAACAATCTCATCACCCACTCACCCACCCACCGCCGCTTTCCTGATGAAGTAAGACCATTCTCTTCAGTACTGGCTCTCCATGGGGAGGCCGAGCATCATGTTCCGGAGGTTGTTGCGGGCGCTCCACACAATGTTCTCGGTCGTGCCCTTCTCCCTGATGCCGCCGTCGCCGACGGTCTGGATGTCGCTGTCGCCCGACAGCAGGCCCTTCTTCTTGTGGTGGAAGAAGACGGGCGGCGTCACGCTGAGGCACTTGGCGTCGAGGCCCCTGTCGCCCCTGTCGGTCGTGATGCCGCGCAGCTCCTCCTCGCTCCAGAGCTTCTTCTCGGCGGGCCCCGATCCCGACCCGGGCGCCGCCGCCGACGCGGCCCGCCGCCGCGCCAGTTCCGGCCATGCCCCGACGGCGCGCCGGCACAGCCCCGCGAGCGCGTTGTCAAAGGGCCCGGCCAGGCGGTCGACGCTGAGGTCGAAGAGGACCTTTTGCGCGCCGCGCTGCGACAGCGCGTAGGCAAAGGTGCAGATGGGCGCGGCCGTGTGGTGCACGAAGCGCGTGCGCTCCGGGTGGGCCGCAAAGTCGGCGAGGCCCTTGACCTGGGCGCGCGGCGGCACCGACGGGTCGTTGGAGATGGTGTACTTGCGCTGCATGGCGAGCCGGGCCGGGTCGTCCTCGGCCAGACCCTTGTTCTCGTCGAGGTCCTCCGGGAAGGGCTCGCCGCAGTGGCCGAGCCAGAGGACGTCCCAGTCGTTGCCGTAGGGCGAGGCCGGGGTCCCCGAGCCCGCGGTCTTGGGGTGGGAGGGGAAGTAGGTCTCGGGCAGGTCGGTCATGAGCTTGCGGCTGCCGGTGGCGATCATCTCGAGCTGGGCCTTGAGCCGGACGTCCCAGTCCATGTCGTCTTCCATGATGAGGGCGGACTCGATACCCTCTTCGACCATCCTGTCACTCGGTTGTCAGAGAAAAAAAGGGTTCTAGCGCCTCGGGGCGGTCCGAGATCTCCAACTTACCGCCTGACGGCATTCATGTGGCCCCTCCAGCTGCCCAGGTTCGTCTCCATCAGTTTCTTTCTGTCCACGCCGAACGGCACCGCCTTGTCCGGGATGTCAGTCCCACGCACGCCGTCGATCCACTCCACGTCGAATCCGGTGAGGGCAGCCGACAGTGCGATGGCGTCGCGCTTGTCTGACCGCTCCGGCAGGCCGACGACGAAGATCTTGGTGAAGCCCAGGGTCGAGTTCGTCACCCTGTTGATGTCTGCCGGCTTCGACCTCCCGCGGTAGTCCTTGCCGTACACCTTGGCAGCTGGATTTGACGCGCCCTGAGCGCCGCCACGAGAGGAAGAGAAGGCGCCCGAGACGCCCGAGGGCAGGCTGTAGGCATTCTTTGCTGTCGTGCCGAGGTATACCAGGAGACAAATGACAGTGACCAAGACGGCGAGTAGGCCTATGGGCCCTTGGCGCACCATGATCATGATGGGCGGCGGACCTGTTGGAAATCTCAATTTTGCAGCAGCGACCAGAGGATCTTGAGGTCGCCGTTCCGTCAGCTCTTCCGAGCCAGGCCAGGAGTGAAGCAGGCCTTTCCGAAGGTGCTATTCGACAGCGAGAGTGTAAACCAAGTATCGCGCGAGCTGCCTTCGACTTGGTGACCTTTGCGCACAGTAAATAAAGCTAAAGATACGCTCAGCCTGCAAAGATGGCTATTGAACGACTGACACCTGACACCAAAAAAAATGAAGAAGAATAACAAGAACCTGCCGATGTGCCAAGGGCAGAACTTGCATCGTACAGCGAGCAGTGATACAAGAAAGGACCACGCTCCAAAGAATCTAGGCAAGTAGGTGTCTGCTGGGAGGACGACAGAAGCAAATAAAAGGAAGACACAAACCCGTGTTTGCCAGACCAGGCCGAGGAAGACGGTGAGTGCGGCCCCTGGCGTGATCGAGATGCCTACCTTGCGTACGCCTGTCCAAGATCAGCATCGAATTGCATTGAGGGACGGGGGGTTCGGCTGCCCGCCACGCCTGCTAATAAACGCTGATGGGAGATGGCATGGCCAACACAGAAAAGAGGGAGGGCCGTTGGCATCCACACATGCAGACCCATCACGCCCATCCATGCAGGCCATGGAAATGGTTACACTCTGTTCAACATCCTTGTCGTGCATGTTATTGTTTTAGCACTTGTATGTCCTGTCCACACAAGCTCTCTGCCATCTAGTTACAAGTACATAAGCTCATTCATTGCTATATAGAACATATACTGTGCCCAGGCCTACGTATCTCGATCACCTATGTTCAAACGTTTTGCTGGCGACGGTTCCAGTCCCCCCTTTCCAACGAGACCACAGCATTTGGAGAGCGGAAATAATGTAGATCACAGTCGATCTCCTGTGTTACATAAAGTAGATACAGAAAGCAAGTGAGCTGAATAGGGATAGCCCGTGCTGTTGGGCCCCCACCGTCTGTTGGTTGCAAACAGGATGACTGTGGCCGACCTGTCAAAGCCGTTTTCGCCCACCACAAGGGTGGAGAGGACTCGTCAGCCAGTCGCTGCAGACGTTCCGGGCCTGTCAGGGGTCATCCCGGCCCCTGAAGGCCAAGATTACGGAGTAGATCCAGCAGATCCCGCGAACAATTAAGGTAGTATCCATCATACAAGTACACGCTAGGCACACGGGACGGGATGAGCGGCTCCAACGTACCTACGTAGTTAGGTACTTGAAGGAGTGATACCTGTACCACTGAGTAAAGCGGCGCTTCCTCTCTGGGTCTCGCCCGCCCACAGCGAAAATAGAGATGACTTTCACATATTGTGACTCGCCAATTGCATCCGGTGGAGTTGGTCACCGCTTGGCCTGGGACTTTTAACTTGATAGCGCCTAGACTGGCGGTCCTCTTAATGAGTCCCTTGAAGGAACTGCAATGATTTCGTCACATTCGTTTTTTGAGTAACGTGTACTCTCTCTCTCAACCGCCATATCCTACAGCTAGCAAAAATACATGTAGATCTGATGCGGATCAAAAAGAGATGGAAAGGCGGATGAGGATAGACATTGAGAAAAAGAGAGGGAAGAGAAACGAAAGCCGAAAGAGAAAAAAACGAAAGCAACGCTATCATGACCATGACTGATCACCATCATGGATATCCCGCTCATGCGGCGCTGAGACACAGTGCCAATGCACCGAAGATACCGCTTAGACAGATGGTCAGTCTCCGTAAGACTGTAAACATGTAAAGGCCGAACCCCTTCGCTAAAAGAGCAAAGAGCAAGAAAACCAACAAGGGGGTAATCCGATGAGCCGTAGCCTTTTTGAGAATGCAGGCTGGTCTGAACCAGGCACGAGACAGCTCATGCTGAATAGGGCGGCGAAAGAGATGAACGATAACGACGAAATGAGCTTCCTTCTGCTTTCCTTAAAAGCCGCCAAATGCAAAGGAAAGCCTCTTGAAGCCTGAAACGACCAGAAAGCCCTATCCCGACCAAATCCAGTCCTTTAGAAACGTAAATGCGCTGGTCGTAAAAGCTGACGCCGAATCGAGTTTGCTGACTGAAATATACACGGTAGAAATCGATTTTGGGCAGGTATCGGCAACCAAGGATCCATCCATGACAGTCGCATGTCTGCTGGCTGTAACGGATCTCCAGGCGTCACCAAGCCCAGCAGATGAACATGAGCGGCCAATCTGGCCAGCTTTGCGAAAAAAAAATGAAAAAAGGGCCAACTTCTTGACTTCTTGAGGAGGTGCAAGATACTGAGAGCCTGGGACAGGACTGCCGCCTCTGGCTCCCACCTGGGCAGCAAGAACCCTCACTCATATGCTCACGGGCTCATAACAGCGCCTCCTGCTGGTATGTAGACTCACTGAGCCAGATGAGAGCCGACGAGCTCGTCGACAAGGGAGTCGAGCTCGATGATCCTGAAGCGACCGGCCCATTCGCGCCTTCGCTCTAGATTTCTCCATGCGGACGCGATGCCCGTCCTCCAAGACACAAGCTCGACCCGCCAACCGTTTTTCAAAGCACGCTGCACGTTGACGAGGAACCCATCCGAGAACTCGGCTGCCGCAGCGTCGCCCGTGGCCAAAACCATCGTACCGGGCGAAAAGTCGAGAACGCACTGGCACATTTTCATGTGGAGCAGTTCGTCGACACCTTGCTCGCCCGACCGCTTCTGACGGAGGGGAGCAGCGTCATCCGATGAATAGGCGTCTGACGGATACTCCCTACCGCCGCCTGACCTGTACCCCTTTCGGGATGCAGGCTTTGGCGTTAGGGTCATCTTGTCCACGCGGTTGAGGATGTTCATTTCGTAGCCTGCTGCCTCTGCCTCGTACATATAGTCTGGCCAGCGAGAGCGGTCCGTGTTGTCCACGACGGACCCGGCGAGCTTCCTGCCGCCGACAGAGCGGCCCCGCTCCAGCACCGTGGCGAAACCTTCAAAGAAAAACGGCGGGACTTTGACGTATTGGTCTACCGGAATACCATTACAGATTTTCAGAGAGTTGTAAAACCCAATGACAATGTTCGACAAGTCGACAAATATGTGAACCGACTGTGAGCCAGCTGCGTCGTACGTCGAGGCGCCCAACGCGTCGAGATCATACTGAGGGGCCAGCTTGGCCTGGAGGAGCCTCAGTTTATCTTCCTTGCTGCATGTATACTTTGGAACAATCACATATGGCTGAGTCCAAGCAGGACTGGCCGATGCTTGGTTGTTTCGGGTGCGCAGAGCACCAGCGGGCCGGGTGGCCTCGAGCAGAGCGATCGACGATGCGACCAGGCCTTGTTGGTACAAGAAGGAGTTGTGGGCTGAGCGAGCCAGATAGGGTGTGACATTGGCACGAGATTGGACATGCTTGGTGACAAAGTCATTCGAGTCCGATGGCGGAGATGAAGCTGCCGTCGAGCTGGTCTCTGGCAAAGAAGAAGCCAACGCTTGGTCGACTCCCTCTGTCTCCTCATCCGACGAAACATGAACTCTGGCATCGGCGGCCTGGGAATCCGGCAGGACAGAAGTCAGATCCAAGCCTCCAAGAAAGCCACTGGCATAAGCTCTCGGAGTGCTTGCACGGGGCGAAGGTGAAGATAGAGGCTGGGTCTGAGCCTTTTGTGAGACGCCGTCGCCTTCTGTTACATGAGGTGGTACAGGTGGTGGTGGTGAAGACAGTGTCAGATATTGAAAAATGCGTGAGAAATTGCCGAGCTTTGGTGAAGCTGGCGAAGATGGAATGGAACTGGGCATTTGCACTCCTGAAGAGTCGCCCATCTTGTCACTAATGTAAGCCGCCAAGCTGGTAGTCGTCGTGCAGCGGGATGGGGTACATGGCAAGATGATGGGTGATATGCTGAGATGCTGGCGGAAATGCAATGGAATATGCCAATGTTTCCCTTTTCTCCTGGACCAAGATGATTATGCGCTCGGAGCGTAAGCAGTCAGGATGGGAAGATACTGGAAGAGGCGAAGTGCGGGAAGGATTGGAGGCAGCGGTGTGGAGGTTGTGGTGATGAGAAGAACGAAAAGAACTGAGAAGAAGGTCAATCGTGGTGGTGATGGAGAAACGACGGGATGGATTACGCGGGTGTGGTGGGATGGGAGAGGCGGTGGGGAAAAAAGGCGGGAGGCGAATCGATGACTAGACGCCGGGAGCACCACCAGCAGGCAGCTCCACTCCGTCGAGGCGCTCTCGACTCTTCTCTGTGCCCTCCTGTGGCGCTAATAAAGCACCCGTGGACAGCTAAGCTTCACTAAGTCGGGGAGTCAGCCTCATTGATCCACCAAAGTCCGACTGCATCTCGTCTTGGTCGCCTTCTATCAGCTCTTCTGTTACTTCTGTACAGTCCAGCATGGCGGGCTCGCTGTCCATCCAAGACAGGACGAATCACAGCTGGCTCAGAGTTATGACATCTGGTATCATAATGCCTCTTCATTCCATTCCCGGTCCGATATGCTATAATACAATGGTAACCAGATAGCTCTGGAAACATCATGACACGGTGGATTGAGTCACAACATCGCTGCCGAGTAGGAAACCCCATCTTTATCTTGGTAGTAGGTTCCCAAACCCCAGAGAACGCCAGGCTCTAGCCTCCTTCCAGAATCATAAAAGCCCAAAATACGCCGATACCACAGTCTTCCCTTATCGTATAGCTTAAAAATAAAAAAAAATTCCAACTATCAGTCACCACACTCTTCGCAAGAGGAACGACCTCGTCCGACTAGGCGGGATACGCCGAGTGCTTGTGCACGTTCCGCTAGAGGGACTCGCACTCATTCATGCAGCCCACTTGCGGCTATGCCGTTGGTACCGTTGATAGCTTTCTTCTCTTCTCGGTCCCACCCGCCCAAGCTGTCCTGAACCAGTCTGGTGCCCGCGTCGATTTGCTGGACGAGCTCGCCGAGCGCACCGCCGGCCGCTCGCCACAGCATCGCCTCCGTCTCCTCCCTTTCCTTCGACTCAAGCGCAGCCTTCTTCCGCGATTCGGCCGCGACGGCCTCGTCTCGCTCTTGACGCTTGCGTTGGCGCTCCTCGCGATGCGCGGCGATGTCTTTGCTGTAGCGCACGCTGTGGCCCAGGTCTGCACTCTCAGACGCGACGCCGTTATGCGCGCGGTTGAGGGGCGGCGCCGTGAAGAAGAGGATCCGGCCCTGCTCGTCGCGCTGGAACCGGTCGCGCACTTCTGACGGGATGGCAGCATCCATGGCTTCGGGCAGAGTGTACGTCTCCACCGGCCTGGGCGGGTTGTAGGCATTGGCGCCCGCGTTTGCGTGCGGCATCGCCGTCGTGTTTGGCGTGGCTGCCATGGGAGCCCGTGCCGGCGTCATCGCGGCTGGAGTGGGTGCCATGCGATGGTGGTCATAGGTCGGCATGACGGGGTTGGGCATGGGAGCGTGGTGCCCCATGTTGGCGGGCCCCATGTTGGCGGGCGAAGGGGCGAACTGTTGACCGTATCCCTGGGCCTGATGCGGCTGGTAGTGAGGGGCTTGGGCCATGTGGCCCGGAGACTGCATCGGTTGCGGCGGCGCGTGTTGCATGTGCGGGACCGCCGCCTGAGGCGTGGGGGTTGGGCCAGGTCTGGGCGGTGCAAAGTGCTGGCCGTACGTGGGATGAGAAGGTGAGGGGATCGGGACAGGGCCTAACTGATGGTAGCCAGCCGGTGTGCCTACCATGCCTCCATCGCTCTTCATGGAAGGCCGCCGGTTTGGGTCCATGTGCATGTCCATGGGGCCAGCAGGAGTTGGCGGTGGAGTTGGTTCTGGTGGCGGAGATTCCTATAGATGATTTGATGTCGATCAGTTTCGAGGCTCGTGAGGGTTATGCAAGGCATAGCACGACTGCAATGACTCTGGTGGAGAAACAAGAAAGAAAACGAGGTACCCGAAGAGAATGACATTCAAACCAGACTGTGGTCAAGGAAATTGACGCGACGTGCGTCGAGGAGGGATGTTGTAGTTGTTGTCACATTGATGTGACCGTGCGAGTGATAAGAAAAGATACCAGCAACTTACATTCGACTCTCTCGGACGTTTGTGCACCGCACCAATCATAGGTGGCGCATTGGGACTACCCCATGTCGGCTTTGGCAAGGGGTCGGTTTCCTTTGCGTCTTCTCGCAGGAGATGCTTGATGGGACTGGGGATTTTTCTCAGCTTGCGAGGCATCTCAAACAGGTCCATTTCGTAGTCTCGTTCGCGGACTTCGTCAGGAACGCAACTCGCCCATGTCTTGATCTTGGCGAAGCGAAACTTTTCCTCGTTGTACCGTGCCTCGCAGACATATACTTCCTTGTCTGGGGGAAACCCACGGGGTCGGCCCTTAGGAAATCTCGTGATGAACATGACGAAGCAGCGGTCGATAACCTCTTCTATGCGGTGGTCGCGATACTGCCCTGTCTTGACCACTTCCTTCTCGTAGAAATGCTTCTCGAATCGATGCACCGTCTGTTCTGGACGATAGTACCAGCATGCGTTGACCCAGACTTGTCCGGACGCATCCTTCCAAATCCGATAGAGTTGGGCAACAATGGGTTTGGACAAGTCATTGTGGTTACGAATGTGTACCCAGTCGCCTTTGCGGCTGTCAGCCCCAGGTTAGGAGAGGTTATGTGGGCGGCTCGTTACTTACCGACGCGCCATACCTCGCCATTGTGATGCGCTTCAGAGAGCGGCAGCTTCCCGTCGTCGTCGCGAAAATCATCGTCAGGTTTCGATTTCTGGTCGGCGGCCAATATACGGGCCTGTTTCTGCAGCTCCACGGCATCCTCGTAGATCTCACTGCCCTCTTCGTTATAGAGCTTGGCATTCTCAAACATGACCTCGATATCCGCAAGAAGTTGGTCGACGCTCTGATACTTCTTGCGCTTTGCCTTGCGCTTAATAAGATCGAGTGCCATGGGATTCAGAATGGCTTCGTAGTACTGGGGATTGGCTTTGGCCTCGGGTAGCTTTTCAAAGGGAACAATGCGCGGTTCGCCATCGTCATTTTTGAACTTCCGCAAGCCCTTGATGACGGCATGAATGCGGGCCTCCATAGGGGTAAATACCTTTGGGGGCCGGCCACGCTTCTTGTGCACATCTTCATCGTCCAATTTGTCCTTCTTGCCGAAAGAAGCGCGACCTCGTCGACGACCTCGCCGACGACCTCCCTCATCGTCTGAGTCGTCATCTTCCTCAAAGTCTTCCTCATCTTCTTCATCCTCGTCCATTTCCTCGTCCTCGGCGTCTGGTGGGGGGGATTCATCCATCTCTGGCAGCTCGCCGAGATCTGGAAGCTCAGCCTCTTCGGGTTTGATCTCACCCTTCTGGATCATAGCTTGCAGCTTAGCAACAAATATCTCTCGCAGGCGAACGGCCTGTCCAAAGATGGGAGCGGATGGTCGATTATAGACCTGAGCGTTGTGAGAGATGAGAGCGACATCGCGAACAAACTCGGAAAATGCCGTGTACTGCTTCTTCTGGATTTTGCCCTGTACAAAAGGAGTCAATGGTAAGATCACGGGAAGGACTAGAGTCCAAACTCGAACCTACCCGAATGGTGCTAAATGCGATAGGTTCCTTGATCACATCGGTGTAGTCGGGAATTAACCTTTTGTTTGGTATCCGTTGGAATCCCGCTGCTACCTCCTCGTCACTGCAAAGATATAGGTTCTCAGTCCCGATTCTTAAATGGAGATTAGAAGCATTTGCGGGCGTACTGTTCTCTGTAGGTGCATAGGTAGTGCGAAGTGGTCTCAATGAGATCCAAAAGGTGCTGTTGATCCCGTTGGTCTGCATTGTCCGGTTTCTGCTCGTCCATATCCTCGTCGCCCTCGGCGTCAACATCGTCTTCGCCCTCGGCATCGACATCCTCGTCGGCGACCGCGTCGGCCATGTGGACATCGCGATCAGCGGCGCCCTTAGCCTCGATGGATTCGCGCACCTCGGACGCGTTCCCGTCCCGTCGCGCAGCCATTGCGATTGGAGCTTGTCGCACGGGGTTGTCGGTGTGGTTGGGCGCAACAGGTCGAATGAGCCCAGGGTCGGCCCGGGATTCAGGGGAAGGTGTCAGAAACTTGAGCGCTGTGTCGCAACAGATAGATCGGAAGGTGTTTTGGCTACCAACAGTTGGACGGTGCAAGGCAGGCCATTTTTTGTTTGGCGCGTTGGGAGACTCGCCAGTCGCACATGCTGCAGCTGTCAAGGGCTGGCTAGATCCTTCTGGTCTGGGGGAGCTGACTAAGGCGCCTTCCATCCCGAAAGACGAGGATCCACATTTGGAATCCTTGCCCAATCAAGACGCCCGAGACAGTTGCGCCCGCCGCTTCTGGGCCGGAGGAGGGCGGCTGGCCCCGGCGTGATAGCCAAGGCCCAAGGGCTGGCTGGGGGTTGATGGGGCATTTGATACCAGGATTGCTTTGTGATCCTACTCTTACGGGCGGACCATGTGCCAGCACTCTTCTTTATCAAGTCTTCAAGCTGCTCGGCTTTAATCCCATATTCACCCAGAGAACTTTCCTTTGTGTATGAAATCTGTTAGCGACCTACGGTTTATTCTCCGAGTCAGTGACAAAGGTCAGATCATTCCCAGTGACCAGGTTTCACCCTGCTCTGAAACTGACTTCCAGGCCACTTCCACAACAAAGAAGAGGTCTGGCCTTTCTTTTCTCACAGTTTCTGGAAGGGAAGACCCGCGGGTAATTTTCGTACCTCCATCTCAGATAACTAGAACGAGTGGCCCAGCATCTCATTTCTCTGGCGATGAGAGTGAGGCCTACGTCTGAATATCGTTGACCAAGACGAGACACTTGCTCCTAGATAATTCAAGAAGCTCGTGTATCACTATTCACTATGCCTATACGCATGCGGGTTCGTGGTCCCTGGGGGGTCGAGACCATACAGGCCGAGGACGACTGGACTCTCGAGCAGCTGGTTAAAACCATCCAGGAGAAATGCAGAGTATCAGAATTCTCTCTCAAGTCTGGGTACCCGCCCTCAGAACTCGACCTTAGAGCCAAGCAAACGCCCATCAAGGATCTCAAGCTCAACGGAGAGACATTGACTCTGGTCCCTGCAGCACGAGAGCTGGAAGACGCGCCCGTACCGGAAGCCAAACGGGCAAAGACGGTACCTGAGGCCCCTGCTTTCCAACCCAAGGGTGTTGAGGCAGATGAGACGACCGTAGAATGGCCAGAGCAAGGAGGCTATCTTGGTATGCCGATGCTGACGCTGGCCCGCAGAGCTTCATCTTGCTGACTTATCACTCCAGTCTTGCGTGTCATGCCCGACGACAACAGCTGTATGTTTACAGCCTTTGGTGGTGTCATGCAGATTAGCGATCCGGCCGCCCGCCTGCGCAGAGAGATTGGCGAGCACATTCTCAACAACCCGGACAAGTATAGCAAAGCGATCCTCGAGAATCTCGACCCAAAGGTGTACGTAGAGCGTTTGCAGGATCCGCAGCGCTGGGGCGGTTCTATCGAGCTCATGTGCTTGAGTGAGATCTACAATATTCAAATATGCTCTATTGACGTCAAGGTAAGCAAGCACCTTTGCTGGTTGAGACGATGGCTTGCTAATTGACCGCCACTAGTACGCTCGAGTGGACACGTACGGAGAGGGCAAGGACACACGTTGCATTCTTCTCTACTCTGGCATACACTATGACCGGATCGCACAGAGCTTTGAACTTGGCTTGCCTGTGGACTCTGATGTGACGCAATGGGGTACCGAGAACGACGATGTGATCAAGAAAGCGAAGGAATTGGCAGCCCAACTTAAGCGTCAAGACTATTATACCGATACGCATGACATGGTTATTCGCTGCAATGTGCCTGGCTGCGAACACTGGATCGGCTCGGGGGAGAAGGACATGGTCAAGCACACCAAGGAGACCGGTCATGCCGCGTTTGAAGAGATGAAGCTGTCCGACTGATGGTTGGCCAGGGCGTGTATGGCTGCATCAAGCGCAGGCATGCAGAAATTTGGTCGGGAAAGCACACAGCGTACGCGAGATGATCGTCTTTGAGTCATAGATTTGCCAGCGAGTTCCATACATTGCAGTTCTTGAATACTGTCTTTCTCCTAAAGTCCGTTACGATACAAGCGGCATCGTGTACATGTACAGGTCTTCTATTGTGTGTTGCGTTTGGCGTTTAGAGCCAGAGGGGACCTGGATTACAGGTCCTTCTTCGGCTCTGCACGGCCCTTGCCGTGGATCGCATCCATGTTTGCCAAATCGAGGCTCAAGAACTCGTGCTTGTTCTTCCACTCCTGCTGGCTGGCCGCAAATCCAGCGCTCTGTGCCGGCGGCGGTGGCGGATCCGTGATCTTGGTGATGAGGTACGCGGTGGAAGCCTCAGCAATGCCATAGATCAGCACGCCAAGTAGCGGTACCCGTAACAGAGTATAGAAACCTATCCCGAACCCAAACAGTAGGCCTTCGCGGCTGTGGAACCAGGCCTTCTTCTCCTGTTTGGTGAAGTGGATGCGAGCAAAATACGGCTCCAAGAGCTCTCGCATCAAACTCCTCGAGGCGAAATAGGTCTGGAGGAAAATGATCAAATACCGTCGCGGCAGGAAGATGCCTGTACCAAAAATGACGGATGCTGGACCAAGGCCCACTGCCTTGTTGAAGGTGTAGAAACTGGCCGCCGGGAGTACAAATCGACCAACAATGGGCAAGTATGAGAGCGCGAAGATGGCGAGAGAGATGAGGCCTTTCCGAGCAAACCTCCAGAGGAACATGGTCGTGGCTTCGGCAGTGCTGGTGGTGTGCGTGCTTCCGTCCTTCTTGGAGTACTGGCGAAGGTTCGGATAGTACATATCTCGAAGCGAGTCGGGGCTTTCACCCTTGTGCTTCTGGACATATGTGATATCGACCCATTGAAGAGAGTCCATGAACCTATGGATGTTAAGTCAATGCTATCCATGGGGTCTGAGACGATGGCACCGTCGGTGGTGCCTGGTCACTCACAGGTTGTCAAGGGTGGGTGTGATGTAGCGCATCAGCGTCATGAGGAAGAGAGGGATTTGCAAAACATGATTCTCAATGAAATGGAGCCCGTGGACGATCTTATCGTCCCACGTTACCACATCGAGGTTGACCACAAAGGAAAGCACCCATAAGAAGACCCTGACTCCGATAATCTAGGGATAGGTTAGCGACGAGCCTCGGCGGATTTCAACCATAGGTCTTACTGGGACTGCAATCAGGATGCGGATGATGATGCCGGATGCTACGGCAATGGCGGCCTGCTTGTAATGTTCATTGGTGAAGATGCCAGGGTTTTGTAATGCTCGTTGAGCTATGGATGCATGTAATCAGCGATCATGTCCATCTCATAGACGGCACCGGTTTCAGGGTCGCGCACCTCCCACCAGAGTAAGTTGTACGCCTCGAATGATGGCATTGATGTCGAAATTCGAGACGTCAAAGGCCTCTTTCAACTTCTCCTTGTCAACCTGGGGTTTTCGTATGTCAGACATCCTGAGGTCCTTAGTCGGCAAACTTTACTTGATCAATTATGAAAAAAGATGTTTGAACCCGTCAAGCTTGGTGTAGTAGCTGTTAGAAGTTATTGTTGGTATTAATATCTAGGCGATGACAGAGGACCCAGCCCTCTTTGAGATGATGTCACCTTAGTGGCTGGGGCAGAGGTGGGTTCCCCAGCTATCGTGTTTCCGGCGTCCTCCGTAAAACCTTCAATCTTTGGTACTTTCGAGTTACTCTATCTCCTGCGAGCCAGATTGGAACAGCTTGCTTGGAGAAGAGTCTATTCTCGAGAGTGCCAGGGAGAATCGGCATAGTCAGAAAATATTTGAGACTATCAAATACGGCAAAGTGTCTTGGAAGGAAACTCTTGACTACCTAGGTACCTAACAATAGAGTGCTTGGAATTCCTTGCTAGAGTGGTACACACTTCCAAAGGTTGCTAGTGTCCTTGTAGACGGAAATAAGAGCGAGCTTAGCCTTGACCTCACCAAAACGGCTCGACGACACGGGTGCTCCCAGCGCGTAGCGGGGCTGCGACAGAACCACTTTAGTGGCATTCCAAGCCGACACTACCGATCGGAGGAGGAGCTGGAGGAGCTAGGGCCCCTGAACCGTCCTCCAACTCGGCGCGTGCGCGTTCGTCGTCCACTGAGCAGCCACCAGCCTGAGGATCCATGGATGCTCGCTCCGATTGAGCAATGAACCTCCAGACCCCTGCAAAGCCTCCGCGCCGATACCAACCACTCTGATTCCCCAGTCCTTTCCTCACCAATTCAAGAAAAGCTCTATCCTTTACAATCCCCGCCTATCACAAGTGACGAGGGCTCTTATTATCCTGCATTGCTAGATTGCAGTGCGCGTGTCTGCCTTTTGATCGAGCAGAGGCGCGTTGCGGCGAGCTGAACATACTGGGAACCAAGGTCCATGCCATGGTCTGAGGTCAGCCCGGCACTCAACAGAGCTCACGAGACCAGATTGCCGGGGCCAGCCATGCTCAAGTTGCTTGCGATCCCGTCATGAACAAGCGATCTTGTTCTATCTAAGCTTCGCAAGCTGGTGCTCAATATACTCTCTCATGGATCGCCCAAGACCCGTCGGCGCTCCTCCGCTGGGACCCCGCCGGGTATTCACTGCGCCTGTGGCTGCGACCGCGCCAGAACCAGCCGGCTCGCCCTCGACGGCTGACGGCGTTGTCGAGACGCTATACGTGCATCCGTCAGCGAAGATCGTTGCCTTCACGGCCGGACCTCGCAACTTTTCTATCAGTCCGAGAGCTGGAGTTCCTGCGGACATCGAACCTGGGTCGTTGCCATGGTCCTCTCAGTTGGAACGGACCATCGCCGTCGGTGAGTACCGGGCACTCATTGTGCGACATTATCTTGCCACGTTTCTGACGTTGAACAGGTTCCTTTTGTATTTACAGGGCCCCCGGATCCGTAGCCTTTTTGAGTTGCGGATCAGCACTGCAACCCATCCTTCCAAAGAGTCAATGTTGGTGCATCGACGAGATATCGAGCAAATTCATATTGCAGATACGAAGACCGCAATACTGGCGGATAGAGATACCCGTTGGCGATGCAGAGAGCGACCAGCGAGCGCAGACGTTGAGGCATGTCCTTGATAAGGTCCTGCAGTTTGAGAAGACTCCCTGCCCATTCCAGAGAGCTTTCACTGTCGTCCTCCCGGAACGGCCCCAGACTCCGGTCAAGAAGCGACCATGGACACCCGTCCAAAGAACAACTCCGGTTCAATTGCCGCCCACACCAGTTACACCTGTCGAAACGACACCCAAACCGAGGAATCGAGACCGCGAGCCAAGCCCATCACTGCAACTTGAGACTCCCACCAAGGTCTCTCGTGACGAGGCAGACAAGTACAAGAGCCCGCCGGTCAAGTCCTTAGTAGAATCGATCGAACTCAAGATACCCGAGGAGAAGGCATCCCCGCATCCAGCAATGGTGGACCAGCAGTATTTAGACGAAGAGACGGCCAGTGGTCAACCGGAAGCAGTATCAGCCTTAACCCCGGAGTTGGACCAGGAACAAGAATCAGAAGTAGCAAGTACCGTTTCGGAGGCACAACCCTCTCCGGTATTGCAGCAGCAAACACTAGAAGAAGAAGAAAAGCCTTTGGAGCTACCTGAACCGGCCCCCGCCACCGTTGAACCTGAACAGGAGGAGCCACGGTGCGAGGGGATGGCGCGACCGGAGAGCATTGCGAGGGACATGCACCCTGAGACTTCGCCGCCTACGTACCAGATACTCCCTCGTCTTCCGAAAGAACAATCAGAGTCACAAGAACCGGAAAGGTTACCAGTCATGGACATGCCGAGGGTGCAAGACGAGCCCGCAGTGCTCGAGAGCGTGGAGGAAGAGCTCGGAGACTCATCTCCAACCACCTTGGAGGGCACCGGATTGATGCGCACTACCTCAAAAAGACTCACCAGCTTTGCCCGACTGCAAGCACGGCGGTCTGTGACTGCCCCTCCTCAGCTCACTCTTCACTCATCCCCTCCGTCCAAGACGAGGCGGCAGCCCTCGGCGAGCGAGTCATCAGAGGCGACAGAGTCCAACTCCCCCACGGAATCCTTTCATAGTGTGCAGTCGTGGCTGTCTCCGATCACCCCATTGCCGCCATCCCCGCCCATGTCCAGCACCGGCGACTCGCCCGAAACGTTCCCATACCCTCACGAGAACATCCGATTACCAAAGCACGTCTTGGCCGCTAACCAGAGAGATACGTCTGAGGCAACAGCCACACCAACGCAAGTCGAAGCTTGGGGCCTTAGTCCCACTGGTGCTGACATACTCAGCATCGGCAGCTCCTCTGCTACGTCGTCAGTCTACGAGGACCCCGGGAAGCCCATCCTTGATTCTGCTGTGAGCCCGGATGCAACACAAGACGACACTATCACCCTGCCACAGTCTACGTCGGACGCACCTGCTACTACAACTGCCACTCCTTCACCCCGTCCTGAGGTGCGACACCGCGCCACCACCGCCTCGATCTCCCTGTCCAACCGCCATCGCGCCCTGTCACCACTGCCACCCGCAGCCAACCTCTTCTCCCCGCCGGCCCAGCGCCGCGTCGTCTCTCGTCCTACTACCCGCCTGGAGGCCGTCCGCCGCATCCCTAGCGCCATCATCCACAAGACGTGCGAGATCCTGCTCTCGCCTCCTTCCCACCTCATCAACCTCATGCTCAAGGTCGCCGCGCGTATCGCCGCCGGCGAGTGGCGAGGCCTCGTCTTTGGCCAGGGAGAGGCCGGCGAGCACATCCCCGTGCAGTGGGACTACACAGATCACGGCGACGCCGGCATGTACCCGTGGGCGGAAGAAGACGACTTTTCGCCTGCGTTCAGGCGGAGGGCGAGCGTAGCCCCTGCCAGCGGCAAGATTCGTCAGGGCGACGACGAAGAGGGCGAGACTCGCCCTTCGAGCTCGGCGGGCTCCGGGCGGAGTTGGGAGGTTGACTAGAGGGCTGTCTCCCTGCCGTCCCGAATGCCCTCGGGAGCGATCCAGTCTCTCAGGGCTCACCTTTGAATCATAATCGCCTTTACAGCCTCCTCTGGTCCATGGATTGGATCTCCACCTCCACCATCCATCATTCTTTATGGAATTATCTTGTACTTGTACGACTTTTTTAATGTACCAATCACGAAACCTACTCGGCATACTCGGCATGGGGCAAGGGCATTTTGCGGGCGTTGGAAAAAAGCAAGTAACTTGCGAGCACACTCGAGGAATCTGGTCAGCATTGCGTGTTTGAGCATCGGGAGGAAGGAGGCCGTGGCTGGCATCTATATTCTGTCCCCTAGTGTTTGCTCTTTTTCCCCCCTCCTTGGAAGAGTTGTATTTGTCCCTGTCTGGCGCAAATAGCTGAAAGATCCCAGATGCGCTGCTACCTAATTACAAAACCTGTAATCCTCACGAGGAATGCCTTCAACGTTCATGTGCGACCCATCACTTCTGTTGTCTCTGGCCTGCACTGTCTCATCCCTGAATATCGCGATGCGATAAACGACAAGTGTTGAATCTCTCTGCCCGATTAACGGTCTTGGGCAGTGGTCCCTGTATTTCGCCGCTCTCGGCCTACTCCTCGACCACATTGGTAACCTGCCACCAAGTCATCCTGCCCCCCATAGGGCAAAAGATCACCTCCTCATATCCATACTGGCCCTTGAGCTGTCAATACTTGGCCGCAGAGAGGAGCTGCTGCTGCGTCTCCTCCTAGCACGTTGCTCCCCAGGGTCTGACGGGTTGAGGCCGGACTGCTTGGCAAACATGTTGAGGATATCAGTCAACGAAACCACGCCGGTGAGCTTGCCGGACAGATGCGCGCCAGGCATAGCGGCGGCCGGGACCGAAGCCGGGAAGCCCGGAGATGGGAGGGGCGACTGCGGTGCAGAGGTGTTGCCCGGGGCGGGGAGGATGACGGTGGAGTCACGAGTTGCCCCGGTGCCAGAGGTGTTGGCCGGTGCCGAGGCGGCTGACGAGGCAGTAGCTGGCTTGACGGGGGCGAGCAACGGCGTCGCAGGGGCGCTGGGAGAAGGACTGGCGGACTGGACCACCCACATCCGGTGAGACTGCGTCGCGACGAGCTTTGCGACGGTGTGCATGAGGGTGGAGTAAGGGTTCACATAGAAGACGGGGAACGAGTCACGGCCTTTCTCGACGCCGCGCTCGGTCAGGATGACCGAGATGAAGTGCATGCAAGACTGTTGTAGCAGCGGCAGGCTGGTCGCCGAGGTTAGGTGCTTGACATCTGCCGTGGAGATGTTGCCCACGACGTTCAGCCCGTTATCGACAACGGCCACCGATGTCAAACCCTCATTATTCATCAGGGTCAGGGCGTCCGCAAGTTGGCTATCGCCACTGGATAGACAAAATGGTCAGTAAAGTCACCACAGGGCACAATCTCGAGGAGTGTGGGCCTTACTTGATGGCAATGATCTGCTGCGAGCCAAGCTGGAGGTCTGTCAGGGTGGCGGGGTAAAGCCTATCAATTACAGGGAAATTGACGCGCTCGTTCCAGAAGAACTCGACAACCTTCAGTTGGCTGAGAGCTCCTATCACCGCGGAGCTTTGATCGGTGATTAGGATCTGGTGGATCCCACTGCCGAATATCTCGATGGCTTGTGCCAGGTTCTGGTCGGCCGGGATGGAGACCAGTGTCTCCTTGCGACATATCGCTTGGATGTCTCTTAGCGGGATGGCAGTCCGCTCGCGGGCTCTGTTGGCGATGTCGTCACACAGCTGGACATGTTCCTCGTCGGGCTTGGCCAGGCCGACGACGACAAGGAGGTAGGAATTGAGATCGTTGTAATCAAAGGTTGAGACGGCTTTTTTGGACGAGGGATCCTCGCGGACTAGGACAATTCCGGGCGGCGTATTCCTGACAAGAGTCTGTTGTACGCGCGGTTAGCCTGATTGTTCCAAGAGTTCATGTCCGGATGCCATGCGGTAGGTGGCGCACCATGGTTGCTTCTTCGACGCTCGTGTTCAAGTCCACCCATCTGACGTCATCCTGCGAGATCAATTCGCCAACGGCGACATCGCGCCAATCCCTGCCGACAAAGCGAGGATTGGGCTGGCGCCCCTGAGGCGGATAGTTGAGCAGCTCCTGGACCGCAGCTTGAGTGAAGGAAGGATGTCGTTGCTGGCGCGGGGAGGGCGGAGGGTTGCGAAGGTTCTCGGCAAAGCTCTGCCGGTGGGAAGAGGCGTGCCCGGACCTGTGCAGGCTCGACTGGGAGCTTGACCTCTCTACAGATCCCGACGAGCTGGTGCTTCCGGGTACGGCGGGCGCGGCTTTGCCTTGTGGCGGCGATGTCGAGTCCATGGCTTTGGGCTAGTGGAGGCCCGTGGTATGTCTTCAAGAGTCTGGTGTGAGGGGAACAGCAAGCTGAGTGGGATATGATATAGTCGATGAGTCTCTCGAGGTGATTGGGGTTTTTGTTTGAGCGGGTTGTGTGTTTGCGATGGCGCAAAGGTGGTTTGTGTCGAGGCTGCTGGTCAATGAGGGGCCAGATGTATATGGAGGTGACGGTGGTGGTTGGTGGTGCGGCGCCCAATAGCTCCAGGTGCATGATATGACAAGCAGCGGAGTGGGGTGAGCGCTGTGGAAGCCAAGCCCAGCTTCGCGGTCCCGGACCATCCAAGACTCCCGCCCTGCAGCGGCACGCAAACAAGATCACATGAACCAGTTTATGGCTTCATATGGAGATGCCGGGTGTCTTTCCTTCTTTCACATATTGGAATGTGTTCCATTGCTTTGTGACGCTCGAGTGATTCCAGTCAGTGATGCAAGTGATGATGGTGCTGATAAGATAGCAAACAATGTACCAGCCTTACAAGTGGCAAGGTACCTACCCAGGAGGTGTGTAGTACTGTACAGGTATGCAAGGGTGAGAGTACATCCTGACGGGGAGAGTCCTCTGGTCTTCTGTCTTCAAATAAACGCTCAACAATTCGTCCAGAGCAGGGAACGGAGTTTGTCTCATTCACATGTACCTTTTAGTATATTTGGGCGCTTTCCCCTGCCGCTACCTCCATGGATACTGGGTGATGCATGTGATCGCTTTAGTGGGGTTGCCTGTCCAGAACCTACAACTTCCGGGGCCTTGGTCTGCTTGGGCCCAAGGGCCAAGGGCCGCCGGCGGCCTTTCCTGGAGGAAGGCCCGGAGAAGTGCGTCTCAGCAGGTGATACAGCACCGTAGGGCGAAAATAGTGTCATCTGCCCAACTTGCAAGTCCCGAGAGTTTCGCCTGTCCCAGAGTCGGAACACCCAAAAGGGTGGGCTCATGCAATCGGTCTGCTTCTAGAGGCCATGGCATGGCCAGGCCCGTTGCGACCCAAATCAAGCTCGATCCAACTCTCCGATGCTTCCTCATCTGTTCTCTTGAGTGTGCCGAGATTTAGCGCCCGTTACTAAACCAATAACCACCACCCGCCAAAGACAACAAAAACATTGCCCAATACCTAAAGTAAGTAGGTGCAAGAGGTGAGTGTTTTGCATTGCATGCTGACTCAAACCCTGAACACGACTTGGTCGCAAATGTCTGTCTAACTTTTGACTACTACTGTAGGGAGAGGTAAAAGAGGAATGACTAAGAAAAGAAGAAAGAAAAAGAAGAAAAAAAAAGGCCAAAAAGGCATCGTGAACAAACACGTCAAAATCTAAGCGAGATCTCCATTGGGTGGGAGAACTGAAGTTTTGTGCCTGAAAGTAACTTGAGTTTCCAGGGGATGAGCGCTGGCGCTCTTATCATTAACTAAAATCCCTACCGTCCAATGTTGATAGGAAAAAAATCAACTGGGCTGCCCCTCCACGCGACTTGACGACCCTTGGCCAAAATATTGACAATTTCTACGCCAATCCTCGACTTTTCTCCCCCTTCACCTCACCCCGCCTTCAACCTGACCGTGTTGGGAACAAAGGATCGCCGCGTCTTCCAACCTCGTCCCCCCTGGAGAAACGAAGTATCACCCCTTCACCCCGATTCGACATATCATACGCCATACCAGCAGGCTCTCTGCAGCGTCGCCCGTCCCCGTCTTTTGTTCCTAGTTGTGCGACAAGGCCGTTTGACAAGGACAAATCCCCCGCAAATCGCTCCACCACAGCGGCCCTCATTCTGACCTCGTCCACGTCCTCACTCTCTGACCTGGAGCTGGCCGCCTACCAGGCACGATAACCAAGCCTGGCATATCCTCCCAAGGCCGAACCAGCTTGGAGGCGACCGATCATTTGATTTCCTTTGTCTCTTTTCTACACCACATCTGCCATCACCATGTCTATGCTACCCGCAGAGATCACGGCCGAGCTTGGCCAGCTCCTGCAGGCTCTTCAGTCGTCGGACAACTCTGTTCGCTCGCAGGCCGAGGACCATCTGCTCAATAACTGGACGCTCACACGCCCAGAGGTTCTGCTCATGGGATTGGTAGAGCAGATCGGTGGGCAAGGAGATGCATCAGTAGGCGCAACCCTCCAGGATCCCTGAATTGACATTCTTGACTGCGCCGCTAATCACCTTGGACACCCGCAGATACGCACGTTTGCTGCCCTCATATTCCGGAGAATTGCTTCCAAGACGCGCAAAAACGACAAGGGCGAGAACGTCGACCTGTTCACATCTCTCTCAAACGACCAGGCAGCCATCATCCGCCAGAAGCTCCTCGAGACTCTCGCTGCCGAAACCGACCGGCCCGTGAGGAACAAGATCAGCGATGCTGTCGCCGAGATCGCGAGACAATATTACGAGAATGGTGGGTAACGCATGGCATTGCAATCACTACCTGTTGGACAGGTCCCAAACTTACATACCACCAGATAACACCTGGGCCGAGCTTCTCGGCGTTCTGTTCGAGCTCAGCATTGCGCCTGATGCTGGCAAGAGGGAAACTGCCTTCCGGGTCTTCACAACGACCCCTGGCATCATTGAGAAACAGCACGAAGACGCTGTCGCTCAGGCCTTTGCGCGCGGCTTTAAGGACGACTCCGTCGCGGTATGCATGCCCTTGCTCCCGTCTATGCTTGCCTTTCTTTTGCATGCTGACCCTTCACGCTAGGTCCGCCTGGCTGCTATGGAAGCCTTCGCAGCCTTCTTCCGATGCCTTAACAAGAGGAATCAGACCAAGTATTTTGCCTTGCTTCCCGAGGTCCTGAACATCTTGCCCCCAATCAAGGACAGCCACGACTCGATAGATCTGAGCAAGGCGCTCGTAGCCTTGATCGATCTCGCCGAGACATCGCCCAAGATGTTCAAGACATTGTTCCATAACCTCGTTCAATTCAGCATCTCGGTCATCCAAGACAAGGAGCTCACCGACCTCTGCCGCCAAAACGCCCTCGAGCTTATGGCCACTTTCGCCGACTATGCACCCTCGATGTGCAAGAAGGATCCTTCATATGTCAACGACATGATCACACAGTGTCTCAGCTTGATGACAGACCTGGGAGAGGATGATGACGATGCCGCCGAGTGGCTGGACTCTGACGATGTAGGTATCCCTCCGGTGTGAGTCTTTCTGGGGGTGGCGAAATACTGACATGCTTGTCTAGCTCGACCAGGAGGAAAGCGACCTCAACCATGTAGCTGGTGAGCAATGCATGGACCGGTTGGCGAACAAACTTGGCGGCGCAACCATCCTGGCTCCTATTTTTGCCTGGCTCCCCAGGATGATGACATCGACAGCCTGGCGGGATCGACACGCAGCCCTGATGGCCATTTCTGCCATCTCCGAAGGCTGTCGTGATCTTATGGTGGGCGAGCTCCAGCAGGTCTTGGATCTCGTCGTCCCCGCGCTCAAGGATCCGCATCCCCGTGTCCGCTGGGCTGGCTGCAATGCCCTGGGCCAGATGAGCACCGACTTTGCGCCTACCATGCAGAAGGAACACTACGACACCGTGCTCAAGGCCATTATTCCCGTGCTCGACTCCCCTGAGGCCCGTGTCAAGTCGCACGCCGCTGCTGCCCTTGTCAACTTTTGCGAGGAGGCCGAGAAGAGCATCTTGGAGCCGTACCTGGACGATCTCTTGTCCCACCTGTTCCAGCTGCTCCAGAACGAGAAGCGCTTCGTGCAAGAACAGGCGCTGTCCACGATTGCCACGATTGCGGACGCGGCAGAGCAGGCCTTCGGCAAGTATTACGACACGCTCATGCCCCTCCTCGTCAACGTCCTCCAACGAGAGAACGAGAAGGAGTACCGCCTTCTCCGTGCTAAGGCGATGGAATGCGCCACCCTGATCGCTCTCGCTGTTGGCAAGGAACGCCTTGGATCCGATGCTATGACCCTCGTCCAGCTCCTTGCCAACATCCAGACAAACATCACCGAAGCTGATGATCCCCAGGCGCAGTATCTGATGCACTGCTGGGGTCGCATGTGCCGAGTCATGGGTGCCGAATTTCTTCCATTCCTGCCCAATGTCATGCCGCCACTTCTCGAGCTCGCGAGCGCCAAGGCCGACATCCAGCTGCTCGATGACGAGGATCAGGTGGAGAAGATCCAACAGGAAGATGGCTGGGAACTTGTGCCGCTGAAGGGCAAGATGATCGGGATTAAGACGAGCACCATGGACGACAAGCACATGGCCATTGAGCTTCTCGTCGTCTATGCTCAGGTTCTTGAGTCTGCTTTCGCGCCCTACGTTGCCGAGATCATGGAGAAGATTGCCCTACCCGGCCTCGCTTTCTTCTTCCACGACCCTGTTCGCTATGTATCCGCCAAGCTCGTGCCCCAGCTTCTCAGCTCGGTCAAGAAGGCGTTTGGAAACAACTCAAACGAGCTGAGGAATCTCTGGAGCGGTACATGCGAGAAGCTCCTCGAGGTTCTAAGCGCCGAGCCCGCCATCGACACCCTGGCTGAGATGTACCAGTGCTTCTACGAGTCTGTCGAGGTTCTCGGCCAGCCATGTTTGACGCAGGACCACATGGACAAGTATATGGACAGCGTACAATCCACCCTAGAGGACTACAAGGATCGTGTCGCACAGCGTGAGGAGGACAAGCGGAACACTACGGCCGAAGATGCCGAAGATGAGGAGGAGGAGCTTCAAATGGCCATTGAGGACGACCAGACTCTTCTGTCAGACATGAACAAGGCCTACCACGTCATCTTCAAGTATCACGGTGCCGACTTCCTCAGGGCCTGGGAACGCCTCATGCCTACCTATGAGGGGTTCCTGCGTTCTGCCGAGACGACGCAGAGACAGTGGGGACTTTGTATAATGGACGACGTCCTCGAGTACTGCGGCGCCAACAGCATTCACTATGCCAACTACATCACGCAGCCGCTCATCGACGGATGCAAAGACCCGTCGGCCGCCATCCGCCAGGCCGCGGCCTATGGCATCGGTGTGGCGGCACACAAGGGTGGCCAGCCGTGGGCTCAGTTTGTCAGCGGCGCCCTGCCTTTCCTGTTCCAGGCCGTGCAGATTCCCAACGCCCGGAATGAGGATAATGTGTATGCCACCGAGAACGCATGCGCTGCCATTGCCAAGATTCTGCACTACAACGCCGCCAATGTGGCCAACCTGGACAACGTCATTGTCCAGTGGGTCGAGACCCTGCCGGTGACCAACGACGAAGAGGCGGCACCGTATGCTTACGCCTTTGTGGCTGAGCTGATCAACAAGTGAGCCGACCGATTTTCTGACCCGATGACTCTGGACCTCTTTGCTAATGAACATTGTACAACAGACGCCATCCTGCAGTTATGACCCAGGCACCCAAAATCTTTGTCTACATCGCCCAGGCGCTAGAAACCGAGTCGTTGTCTGGCCAGGCCGCACGCAAGGTGGTCGAGGCAACACAGACGCTCATTAGGGAGACGGGAACAGACCCGGCCCCTCTGCTTCAGCAGTTCTCGCCCGAGGCGCAGCAGACCATACAGCAATATTTCGCCTAGTTTGCCAGTATTCTGGGGACATTGGGGAAGGGGACGAGGGGCTCCCGGTGTAAGCTGCTCAGCGGTAGTGGGCGGTATTCTCTGATGGACAGATACCAGCAGAGTTAGATGATTAAGGGTTCAAGGCCGCAGGAATGGATGAAGCGAGACCAGTGATGATACCATACACTACGATGATTCCGAATTTGGTTCTATAATTGAGACAGAAAAATAAAAGTCGCATTCCCCTCAAAGGACTTCCATATGGAGTTCTTCCTTTATTTCTTATTTTATTGTTTTCTTCTTTGCCTAGGCATATATAGGCATGTCATGATGCACTCTCCTGTATGGGCCAAATCAAAAGGGATAAACCGGGACATGGTCTATGTTGAGAGGAGAGAGAGCAAGAGACACCAGCTGAGAGATGTTCACGACTCTGTATGCCGGCTGTAGGGTATGACACATCAAGGCCACTAGAGACGGGTGCGTGCGTTTTGGCTGCAAGGGGCGAACTGGAGCCATGTCGATCACTCTTGGGCTTGTCGCCAGCCCCAGGCTGGAGTCGGGATGGTGTGGATGGCACAGATGGTCAGAATAGTTGATGAGCTGTTGATCGAAGCAGGTACTTGACCAGTCATCATACCCGATCGTTTAGGTAGTGGAATAGCCCTTCCAGGTTCTAGAGCAATGGCATGCATACATTGTTCACATTGAGGTATCTACTGATGGACTTCCGTCAACTATTCTGACCTCCGCTTGGGATGGGTAAAGTCGACGGGCTGCTCAACTTATTCCATGGATACCGGATTATCGTTGCTGGAGAAGGTAATGATGTCCATTGGAGCTGAGGATTATCTTGCCCTGTGCGCAGCGAAGATCATTTACTCAGCCCGTGGCAGCGTCATGTGCAAAGAAAAACAAGGATACCCTCTACAGCAATGCAGGGGCGGGCGGGTGTGTTGCACAGGAGGATGACAGGAGATACGATAGAGAGAGGATTGATCGTAGGTGGGTGTGGGGTGCGTGCGATTGGCTCTGGGCTCTGGGGGGGAGACATGGGAAATGCCTCGCTGGCTGATGGCATTCTTTGAGAATTGCATCCCAAACCAAACGGTACATTCACCTGGCTGAGCGTGTTCACACATACGCGCCCATGTATCGCATCAGAAACGTTGCACCCTGTATGCCGGCAAATGGGGGGCAAACGAAATCCCCTACGTTTTTGGTGGGGTCAGAGCTTCAACAATTTAGTGCTTTTACTGACTGTCCTTGCCGTCGTCGCTCTTGGTTTCTGCCCGTCACCTGTTTTATTTGATTGATGGATGTTGCGAGCGTGGACCTCGGGCCCAAACGCGACGGCGTCTGGCCTGGTCTGTGGCTGTGGTGGGCATCAATTTTGGTTTAATTGGAGAACACGGAGCAAAGTGGCCGGCCGTCTTTGTTTTGTCAGCCGTTTGTCTACTGCCTGAAACGGTAGGCTCTTACGAGGAAGGCAAATTAGGTACGACAAGCAAGAAATGCCGGAACACAGTTTGTTCACTCAGCAAGCCGGCAGAAGCCACTGCGGCAATGTCATAAGACTTGAGCGGGTAGGTAGTCCAACAAGCCCGAAGGGGACAATGCCTGCGTGCCTGGTGAAGTTCTAGATTGCTGTCTAGTTCTCTTGGTATGCACTTGTTTCGTCTCTCTTAGCGAGGCACTTGATCTTAGAATTGTTATCACCATTCAGGGAAAGAAACCGAGGATCCAACGCAAAGTGCTAGATGCAGGACTCCAAGACGTGATGGAAGTCCCTTGTTTCTTCCACAGATATTTCGACCAATGGCTGTAGTTCCCATGCGGCAAGAATTCCAGGGTCTTGCCCCTCCCTTGGGACATTGCAGAATTAATGTATGTCCAAGTATGTGCCGTATGCGTGGCGAGGGTCCTGTGAAACTTAGTTTTCCTTCTTCCAGGTTGTTTTGCCAGAGAAGCCCATTCCGTTTTTCTGACCTAAAGTTGGCTCGGAGGCATGGCTAAGACATGGGATTCAGGTAGTTACATAGCATCGTATGACGACTCACACGCAAAGTCAAGTCGCTCCCCACTCACACACTGTCCACGCTACCAACCCTTTGATCAAGCCGACAAAGCTATTTCCCTGCCCTCCGTCCACCCTTCTCCCTGAGTCCTCAGGCCGTCGACGAATCGGGGACCCGCCTGCAGGCTATCCGGGAGGATGGTGGTGACCTTTGCTCTACCCAGCACCGACTAAGAAGGAAGGCCGCAAGCCCTGGACGGTAGTGTAGATACCTAGTGCCGCGTTCGATTAGGTAGGCACTCAGAGTTGGGTACTTATGCACGGCAAGGGTTTGTTGTGCTTGTACGGAGTAAATGATGGTGAATGTGGAAGAAAAGAGGGGAACACCGCCCAAAAAATATGGGCAGAAGAGCAGCCCAGATTAGGTAGGTAGAGGGAGGGGGGGGCCCGGGCCTGCCCTTTCTTGAGTACATGCGGCTATCCGTTTCCCAACTTCACACGAACCCCATCTGCCTACCTTTTGATTGTCTGCAGGATAAGGGAAGAGGCATAACGCAACCCGTCTCGGCCAGGCCAAACACCATCGTGGTACATCCTCAAAACCCGCCTGCAGTGCGCCATTTTGTCTGACTCTCTCGTCGCCCTAGTGCGCACTTTGTGTATCTGTGTGTGCGCCCGTCTCGCTGCCCTCGCAAAGAGGTGAGAAACGCAGAAAACGCAGAGACGGGGACAAGGGCCCCGTCTGGCACGCCAGTCCCAGCTTTTGGGCTTCTGGCTCCTTGGTGCGCCCCGCTGAGTCGCCTCTTCTTTTGCTCTGTTCGCACTTCCCATCGCCACTGGTTCGCCAGTGTCAGCTTGTACCACACCACCGCAAAGAAGCTGTGCTTTCTCGCCATCCCTTCAGACCCCCGCGTCCTTCCAAACATCCAAACAGTCGGCTGTGCGACCCTCGATCCGTCCTCGACCCCGATTCTCCCGACAATCTCGAAGGGTTTCCATCTTCCATCCGCTATCCTACGGAACCCACCGCTTGACCGAGTCGTTTGCTTCCGAACAGCACCGAGCGCCGCCCCGTTGTCGAGGAAATTGGCCGGGCAGATCTCAACCCCCCACCTCCCCCGGTGCAGCACGATCCGTAGAGAAGGAGTCTATCTTTGATGAAGCGACATTTCACAACCTCATCGACGGACCTTACAGATGTTATATGAGTCGAGGGAACCTCCGATCAACTGCCGCAACCTAACCGGTTAGGTGACACCTCTTTTCTCGCAGCCCTTGCTTGCCAAGACCCGAGATCAACAGGCTTCTCTCTCCACGAGCCCATGTGGTGGAAATGAACAACTACTATGGAACCCAGCTCTCCCAAGAGGAGATGCAACGCCGGCAGGCGCTCCTTGCCGCGCAGCAACAGAGGCAGCGGAATCAGCCGCCCAACGTGAACATCGCCGCGGCCAATGCTCAGTCCTTCGCACAGATGGGTCCCATGTCCGCCATGAGCGATGCACCCATGACCGGTGCCGACTCGCTCGACGATATCATCCGCGAAAACTCTCAACAAATACACAGGAGGCGCAGCCTGCCCCAGTCCTATAACCCGAACAACATCGGCCAAGGCGACGCGGATAGGAGAATTTCCATGCTGAACTACAACCAGGACCCCAACAACCCCTTCAAGGACTTCCGGTTTGATGGCATGGGAGCGCAAGCGGGTGGTATGCAAGGGAACTTCTCCGATATGGATACGAGCATGGGCCTCGGAGACGGTTCTGGCGGTTTCGGGCATCCAGGCATGATGCAGCTGCCACCCTCGGGCGACTTTGCCAACATATCCTCCGAGATGATGGGTAACATGATGGCCTTTTCGAACCTCAACATGAACACCCTGCAAAACGGCCCCAACTCGGCCGCAGACATGTTCAACTCTTCCGACATGAACTCGCAATTTAACCCCAATGTCTTGAATGCTATGGGGGGAGACTTCTCGATGGACACGAGCGTCGACAGTGTCCCTATGAGCGCCTCCAGTACCACTGGTCCGACACCCTTTGCGGTAGATGCCAAGGCGGACGACAGCATGTTATCCATGGACCAGGGATTCGACCCCCAGGATGTCATGCATACGCCTCACCAACAGTCCAACCCCGGCGCGCAGGGGTACGCCCCATCGGTCCCAACCCTATCACGGGAGACTTCGAATGCGACGAGCTTTCAGTCTCCAGCCTCGGCGCAGAGCACTAGGCCTAGCATGACCCCGACGACATCATCTGGTGTTGGATCGGGCGTACAGGCTGGACCCCAGCCGCCACCGGACATCAAGACCGAGAAGAGCATCTACTCCAAGAGCGGCTTCGATATGATACGAGCTCTCTATTACGTTGCTGCCAGGCCTAATCCCGAAGTCCAGCTTGGAGCTGTAGACATGTCCTGCGCCTTCGTCGTCTGCGACGTCTCTTTGAATGACTGCCCCATTGTCTACGTGTCGGACAACTTTCAGAACCTCACTGGCTACAGTAGGCACGATATCATGGGACAAAACTGCCGGTTCCTCCAGGCACCCGACGGAAACGTGGAGGCTGGCACCAAGCGCGAGTTTGTCGAGAATAGCGCCGTGTATAACCTCAAGAAGAAGATCCATGAGGGCAAGGAGGTTCAGCAAAGCCTGATCAACTATCGAAAAGGAGGCAAGCCGTTCCTCAACCTGCTCACCATGATTCCCATCCCGTGGGACACAAAGGATATCCGGTATTTTGTTGGCTTCCAGATCGATCTCGTCGAGTGTCCCGACGCTATTTCAGGCCAGGAGATGGGCGGCGTGCAGGTCAACTACAAGCACAGCGATATCGGGCAGTATATCTGGACACCGCCAAACTCGAGTCAGTGGGAGCCGGAGAACGGTCAGACGCTAGGCGTCGACGACGTGTCGACCCTCCTGCAGCAGTATAACCCCAAGGGTGTCGTGTCAGATTGGCACAAGCAGTCCTGGGACAAGATGTTGCTGGAGAACACCGACGATGTCGTTCACGTTCTATCCTTGAAGGGCCTTTTCTTGTACCTCTCGCCGTCATGCAGGAAGATCCTCGAGTATGATACGAATGATCTCGTCGGAAATTCTCTGTCCTCCATCTGCCACCCCTCCGACATCGTGCCGGTGACCAGGGAGCTCAAGGACACGCAGGCTGGCAGCCCCGTCAACATCGTCTTCCGTATCCGCCGGAAGCAGAGCGGATATACGTGGTTTGAGAGCCACGGCTCGCTATTTGTAGAGCAGGGCAAAGGTCGCAAGTGCATCATCCTAGTGGGGCGCAAGCGTCCCGTCTTTGCGCTGCATCGACGCGATCTCGAGGCCAACGGCGGCATCGGAGACAGCGAGATGTGGACCAAGCTATCCACTTCTGGCATGTTCCTCTACGTCTCGTCCAACGTCCGCTCGCTGCTTGACTTGCAACCCGACCAGCTCGAGGGCACTAGCATCCAGGACCTCATGCGAAAGGAAACCCGACCAGAATTCGGCCGATGCATCGAAAAGGCCAGGAGGGGCAAGATTGTGACTTGCAAACACGAAGTCCAGAATCGGAGATGCCAAGTACTCCAAGCACAAACCGTGCTGTACCCTGGCGATGCCGGTGAAGGGCAGAAGCCGACATTTGTCCTGGCACAAACCAGGCTCATCAAAGCATCGTCCCGCCACTTGCCGCCTCCTTCATCCACTACCAAGTCGACGCCGTCCTCGGGGGGTGCTCCCGACGACCGGAGCGTTGTCGGCGGTGGACGCGTTGCCGAAACCAACAACAACGTGATCTCTTCTGCCGCCTCCAAGGGCGCAGTGCGCCTGGGTAATCAGGACGAGGCGCTGGCTTCCGACGACAACATCTTTGACGAGCTCAAGACGACGCGTTGCACAAGCTGGCAGTACGAGCTGCGGCAGATGGAGAAGATCAACAGGATATTGGCTGAGGAGCTTGTCCAGCTTCTGACAAACAAAAAGAAGAGGAAGAGGAGAAAGGGTGTTGGCAACATCGTCCGAGACTGCGCCAACTGTCACACACGGAATACGCCGGAATGGAGGAGAGGTCCCAGCGGGCAGCGCGACTTGTGCAATAGTTGCGGGCTGCGGTGGGCAAAGCAGGTAAGCCCCCCCCCATCTTTGATCTTTCTGGCCCATGGGGAGAAAAAAACATGCCCCTTTTCATGCCCCTTTGTCGGCCACCATTTAATCTCTTATCTCTAACTCGATAGATGAAGACTGGCCGAGTGTCCCCACGCAACTCATCCCGCGGTGGAAACGGTGACACCCACTCAAGAAAGTCGAATTCGCCATTGCATTCATCGCCTCTCCATCACGAGGCCTCGGCCGAGAGCGGGAGCAGCGTTGCTGACGGTTCCTCCAAACGTCCCAGCCATGGTCACTCACGGTCCAAGGGCGGGAACAGCCCTATCGATAACGGGACCATCAATCCCGCGGGCCTGAACGCCCCTATGCCGTCCGCATACACGGGCAACATGCCGCCGCCGCAAAGTCAACCGCACCTTGCTGGCGGAAGGGGAGTATCTGGGACGGGTATGGCGATGGCTTCGATCCGGGAGGAATGAGGCCTCGTTCCCCTTGGTGAGAGAGGACATCACTGCCTGTCACCCCCCACCGCGACAGCGAGCGAGACTTGTCTGCCATATTCTACTGATTCCTGATCATCTTTTCTGGTTCTACTCTTTCTTGAAGGAACTCTCTCTGTCATGAACACCTTACCGAGATACCACTTTCCATTTTGTTACCGTCTTATTTCTGTTCTCATCATCATGATATCAAACAACAATTTTATCCCTACTTTCCGGGTCTTTTCTTTTCTTGCTCCGCCGAACATGAGCAGTCCGTGGCGCAAACCCCTACCGCCTTGAAATCAAGTATCAGACCTAAACCCACTGAGAAAGAGAAGCCCCGCCCATTTGGGCCCTTCCGATTGTATCTATTGTGTTTATTATTCTGGCCTTTCCTACCAGCTCTTTGGGCAGAGTACAGTACGGTCCTGGAGGTCAGCGTCGCCCGGTTGATCTTTACTGTAACAACACACGATTCCCAACCCCCTCACCTGTCTGGAAACCCACCCTCCTGTACCGAAGGCGAAGGAGGGAGATTTTTCCATGAGCTGTCCATTTTGGAAAACCCCATATTCAACCACGCACACTATCAGACGGCTGCATATTTGTCTTTGGATCTCGTATCGGGCAGAGGGTTGCTGAGGGAGCTGTCCTTTCTCAGGTTCATCACACTGCACGCATACACGCTACGTTATATCCACCTACACACAAGCGGCGTTTTTTTTTCATTGTTTTTTATTTGATATGCACGGCCGGCGATGTGGATCACGACGGAGGTACACGAAATGCACGGACGCACACAAGGGGTTCATAGAAGGCTGTTTTTGTTTTGTTTTGTTTTGTTTTGTTTTGTTCTACTTTTCGAAGCCTGTCTTTCTGTCGAGAGGCGGATGAGCGTGTCCCGCCGTTTGAGCGGCTTTTTTGGGCTGGCACGCGCATTAGCGATTATGGATGCGAGAGCTATCTGGATCAGGAGGAACGGCGATAGCTATATATCAGTCATATACGAAATATCAACTCTTGAATAGTCTCAATGGTTTGGGCACCACGTGGTGGCTATCCTATTTTGGCATTTCCTTGTCTACCTCGTTGAAGGGTTGCATGCACAGTTGACAGCATCTAGGATTGTAGCTGGTACTTAATGATGGACCATTCTTGCGTGTACTATGCAAGGCTGTCTGTCAGCTCGCTGCACAAGGGCTCTCGTCGAGTCCATCAGATGCGGACACATCTAAATGGCGTAGCCTTGAAGCGATCTGCCTTGGTAGTTGTTGGTCTCTCTTGGCTGGTAAGATGTACCTGATTATGCTATTCTTGGACAGTACCATGCTTTCGCTGGCAAGAGAGAGGCGCTGCAACTCTACACCAACCTTCCTCCCTCTTGAGAGGGTCACATCTTCCTATTTCACGGATTGCGAGTTGCATGAAGCACGATTGTGATGATAATGCATGCGACCTTGAATCAGACGTCAGATTTATTAATGGCTACCGCTCATTCAAATTCACCGGTGTATGACAAACCGGCAGGCGTTGCTGGCGATGCCTAGCACGGTATACTTTATTCCATGTGCTCTTTCTTTCTAGCGCATCCATGCCTCCTTCTCTCCCTCACGGTCCCAGCTAGGTCACTTTCGGAATACATACCCAAGAAAGCATGAATCCCAGAGACCCCTAGTCTCCAGTGTCAGGTGAGGCTCGGTCGCCAGAAGAGGCATATAGAGACCAGAAGGCATGGAACCCCAGCATCGATGACATAGACAAGCTTATTGATTACATGGAGAGCCTTCGTGCCAGAGCATGAGAGGCTGCACGTCGAAAGCAAGCGGATCATGCCGTCAGTGCCTCTCTTACACAGCCACGGTCGCCAATCTCCGGGGTAGTGCCGGGGCCAGATGCGGTGGGCGACGGCGGGTAGCAAGAAGGGAGATGAAAATAAAAAGTCCGACTGCAGTGATTTTCATGCAAGCTCACGGCACGGACTTTACAGTATCGAGTCTACTGTCTGGCTTCGACGTTTCGTGATGTGCGCAACATTAGGCGTCTTCATAACAAGGTCGGGCGAGTCACATACTTGAAAAGACACGGCAATCACAAAACGACAACTCCAGATAGTTTTCAGCACTCTAACCAACAACCATAAACAAAACAAATTGTGGAAGTAACCGTATGTACCTGGATGCCGTTTCGCGCGGTCGCAACAAGACATAATAAGTGACATGGTTCCAGACACGGGCAAACACGTTCATCCGTCCCTACCCAAAGCGACAGTCCGGACGGGACGGCCTTTGCGTCAGAGGGTTGCAGTGTCAGGGGGTCATCCCCAAGACCGAGATCTCTCGCTCGGCGGCATTACGATACCTAACCCTGTCAGCTCGGCCCCCGGGAGGTGGTAAGGGGAGATCTGCTCCTAGTTACCGTGGAGGGCAAACGAAGGAGCTCCCTGCACGATGGCTGAAACGTTGTTTTTCATTCCCACTCTTGGCTGTCTTGCTGACAGGGGGAAACGGACGAAAGGTCTGGCCCAGCACACTAACTGCATGTACACATGATGTCGACCTGCTTACCGGAGTACCCTACTTGGCATGCCGGCCTACACGGAACCCCGAAAGCGGTCCCTTTTTTCGGTTGTTGATTTATCAGTCAGTTGTCGAGCGAGGATGACATTCTAGCTTGTACATTGTCTGATCCTATGAATACATGCTTCTCATGAGACGAATATGAGTATTGTCTTTTTTTTTTCGCTTTTTTACATGGACCATGGTTATCTCGGCGCATCCGGCATTGCGCCTTGAAAGGTTTTCGACTCTAGCAAGAGCAAGGACCCCGGGTTTCGCAGTTGTGTCGATGCGGCTCCCCCCATCCGGGCGTTTCGCCCATCTGCATCCCTCCATAGTTACCTACAGTCGTCCCATCTTGGTCACTCCTGTCACAGGCGGCTGCCACTCTGCACGCCCTGTCAGCCGCGCCCAAAACTCGGGGTTTGTTTCATCTCGCTCACAGCCTTCCTTTCCCACCCACCCCCCGCACAGGACGGGGACGGATGGATGGACTTCGGACAATTTTTGTGGGATTATTCCGAGGAAAGGCAAAACCAGTGTGGGAATGGCATGGTAGTCAATCAGTACATACTGTACTCCCATGTCCAATGCCTCTTTGCAGGACATCATGCTGGCCTAGTGAGAAAGCGAAGTGCAGGAGGCGAAGAAAATGCAGAGAAGACCGGGGGGTCAGGTTCAGCTCGGCCTTCGAGAAGAGTCCCAGTCGAAAAAAGTCGCATGGCGAAAATGACACAAAGCAAAGCTCCTCTCGGAAACACTAAAAATAAGCATTTTGCGGAGCTTGCAGGCCGGCCGGTGTCGATCCCTGACCACAACGTACTCCGTGCACATGTTAGTACAACACCCAAGGATGCTTCGAGGGCCGAGTCGTACGCCTCCGTTGCATCGAATACCCCGGGAATTGCCCCCTCTTCCCCCCCTTCCAAGGCACGTCAGTGGTGGCTCGTGAAACGGAGATCCCTGCGTACAACAGCTCTGATCTGATCTGCCCGCTGGCCTGGCGGAGATCACGCTCGCCAAACAGCTCCGTGCAGAGGTCATCACCTGCCTCACCGCCAAGTGTCACCCGCGTGGAAACATAGTTGCGTCTTCATCAGGCTCCCCTGAAGAGGAGCGTCTGGACGGTTCCATTAGTTTCACCTAAGCTAGAGTATATGCTCTCCCTCTCTATGCGGATGTCGCATCCTGTAACCATAGAATCATAGTCATTTCCACAACGGGGGGAATATCCTCCTCTAAATGCAAAACAAAAAGCCAAGTTTGCAGAAGAAGAAAAAGAGATAGAACGCTGAGACAATGCAAGATATCAAAAACGCCGAAACCATGCTCTTTCTCCGTAATAATCATACAAATGCAATGCAACTCGCTTCCGAGCTTGATCCACGTAGCCACTCTCAACTGCTCACAGCCTCATCCCATATGCAGCTCCTCCGAGCGCGTAGACATGGTCCGATGCGGCCTTTGGCCCCTGTTCACGGGGCTCACAAAGCTCGGCGAGAAGGAGCTTGCCGAGTCTGACATGGGCGAGACCAGGTTGCCCGAGGAGGTCGAGTTCTTGGATTGCCTCGACCTCTCGGTGTCCTTGGTGTCTCGGCGCCGGTGAGACCTGAGATCCTCGTCGATGCGGGTCGGATTCGCTATCGCCCAGCCGATGGACCCTACCGGCATCGTCGCCGAACGCTGTCCCTCCTGCAGGAACGACGGCGTCATGCCGACGGTCGTCATGCTGGGCAGAGCCTCGCGGACCGGGGAAGCGGGAGGCGGCGTCGCGAGTCCCAATGAAGCACCCACGTTCTTGTCTCGCTCTCCTTGGTTCCACCACTGGGCCTCGAAGCCGTTGTCCACCGTCATCATGGCCGCCTGGAGCGTCTCGAGCTCTCGCGTCTGCTGAGGATCGTTTTCACTGTACATGGGCGTCTCGACCGCGGGTCCCGGATGGGCGGCGACATGACTGGAGCCGAAGTAGCCATCCAGCGAGCCTCCTCGGTCACCCCTCACGGAGCCCGGGGCAGACGCCGCCTCGTCGGGGTCGGCTTCAGGATGGTAGCCCATGGGGAATGTCCATGGCGACGCCCATGGGAGATCCTCCTCGCCCAGGCGGAAGCGTGATGGTGTCTCGGGCAAGGTTTTCCATAACTCAGGAGTCGGGCGGTGCGGCACGGCCCCTTGGCTCCCTGCCGGAAACGCGGCGGGGTTTTGGGTGACATCCCACGGGCTCTCGTTGATGGGGGGAGGTGCGGATCGACCTCGTTCGTGTGAGCCCCTCGACTCTCGCGACGGCCTGCGCTCTCCGTCTGCCTGTTGAGGGCGTGCCTGGTGCTGCTGTTGAATCTGTCGGTAGTGGATATACTCATTCACCTGCTGGTAATACTCAAACTGCTCTTGCGTGTAGATGGGCGGCGGTGGCTGGGCACGCTGTCGAGCCTGGTGATGAGCACCTGCCTGGTGGCTCTGGGAGGGCTGAGTGACCTGGTGTGAAGCTCCATGGTGCTGGTAGTGAGACTGCTGGGGATACTGGGCCTGAGGCTGGCTCCGTGGCTGGTGCTGATGGTGGGCGGGGTTTTGTTGTCGCTGTTGATGATGATGATGACGGCGCGGCTCCTGCGTGGATGGCGCCAGGTAGTTGGTAGTGGCAGGCGGGATATGGCGAGGAAAGTTTGGGGATCTGTCTCGGAGTGCCCGTGACCGGTATGTGACGCCGTGCGAGTTGGGCACGTGTGTCGGAGACCATGAGACTCCAAACTCGACATGGACAAATATCTGTGGCCGTGAGTTGTTGTTCTGTCGGAATAAGCGCTCCGGCTTCTGCTTCTGCTTCTGCTTATGCGGCATCTGCTGCTGTTGAGCCATGATGGGTTCCGTTTGCCAGCAGGTCACCATGGATAATGACACTGTCTGGGATATGTTACCCGGATATCTTGTAGGTGTGTGCGTGTGTTGTGTGGGTGGTGGGTGGTGATGAGCTTATATGAAAGACATGGGCCCAGCTTGACAGGAGGAAGGCAAGAGAACTGGGGTGGATGGTCTAGTTAGGTCGAAAGAGAGGAATAAGTGTATGGGTAGCGCCCCAGTAGGCTAAGTGGGCTGCCAACTTTGAGACTGACTGATCCAGGATGAGGCGATTGGGTGTCTTGGGTGCTTGTGTGTGCTGGTGCAGACGAGGGAAAAAGGACCCCGGCCAGGTGGTTCTAGGTGTTGGGCTAATGAGCTGTGGGTGTGTCCAGACTGGCGGAACGTTGCGTCTGAATGGTTGTCCGAGAGCAGCGGCGCCAGCCAGCATGCGGCGCGGGAGCGGAGAGAATGTGTTATATTGTCGTGTACTTCACATGCGTACACACACTCGCACGCATGCACGCTCACGCCGCAAAACACGGCCGTCTCTCGTTCTGCTTATGGCCCAAGCCCGAGACCTCGTTCGTAAATAGTAGGCAGGCCTCTGGCAGTGAGGGAGTGAGAGAGAGAGAGATAATAGCCCTGGAATAAGCGGTGCCTAACACTGCTCTCCTCTTGCAAGATGAGGTAATAGCCCAGAGATAAACAAGCCTCGGGCTAGGGCTCGGGGAACAGGGCAATGTTCGCAAATGGTACGCCGCCTCGCAGGACAGAGTAATAAGGTGCGGGGGCTTTGCTTGCGATGCGAGATAGAGAGAGGCGCTCAGGGGTGGTGGAGGAGGTGGAGGAGCAGTTTACCGCCTCATCAAAGATACCAAAATGGAGGCGCTATCCTTGTGCCTCAGTCGTCGCGCGCTGGGGACAGAGCAGGGCAAGGATTACTGCTGATTATTCAGTTGGTGCCGCATGGGAACGAGGCGAGCCGTTTTTGGGTGGCTTGGGCGACGATGATTGCATTGCATCAGTCGAGCGGCGCCGCTCTGTCAAGACACAGACGGTGGAGGCCAGCCTGACCAGCGTGATCAGCTTGACCAAACCAAACCCCATAAAACGAGCGTGACGAGAAACATAGAATAGCTTCAGAATGCGTTGCCGCCTCTCGCCCAGGCTTGGCTCGGGTCATACGGAGCAAGGGGACCAAGACCAGGGGCGATTGCAGCAAAAGATTCCGTGACGAACGAGGAAAAAGAAGCCCCTCCCGGCATCGCGGTGGGCAGGCGACTCCGCCTCTTCCTGAAGCAATGTGTCTGAGGCCCAGGCAATCCCTGGTGTAGTGCCAAAAGGTGACCGATGATCCCTGAGGCTGTGCCCCCAACCAGCCGTTCAGGCTAGCACAACCAAGTGGAGAGTTGAGAGGTGTGGGCGCGGACACACAAACAAGAGATTGCAATGTACGGAGTACGTGTGGATGCATGCAATCAGAGACAGCAAATTCCCTGCACCGGCATATGCCGTGACAACATCAAAAAGCAACTCTGCAAGAGGAGTTGTATGTGTGATTCTTGTGTGGCCAATGGAGAGCGCTGGTTTCGCGTCTGCCTGCACGGTTTCTCTCGTCCAGAGCCGGGTTGCTTGTTTGGAAAGCGAGCAGCTCGGACAATTGTCGAAGCCACAGGAGTTCTTGTTGTGCCTTTGCAGCTACGCAGGGTGAGATGGAGAAACACTTTGTGTCTGTGAACAGGGGCTCAAGGGGCCGAGGGCGCTTTTCCCCTCTCGGGGCTGAACAAGGAGAATCCCAGGATTCGAGGTGACGCAGTTGTGTCAGCACCAAAAACAAGTCCGTCCCAGTGTGCGTGTGTCTGGTGTGTGTGTCTAGACGATAAGCATCTTAGATTCGTGAGCATCGTCCATCTTCGGGCAATCACTCAACTGCCAGCAGCCGGAACCGGAGCAGTCTCCGCGAGATCGTTGATGCTCAAGCTTGCAGTACTTTTGCAGGGCCATCCCGCAAGACCGTGGCACGGGGCTCCACGCACGAGAGATATGACCTTGTTCAACGTGCAGACAACCAAGACTTCCGACGGCTGGCCAAGACGATCCGAATGCGCCAGCGGCGTAAAGCGTAAAAATCCAGGGTGTCCCTTGACTGACGAGATGACATCCATGCATGAAGGGGGCGGCCTTCTAGAATGCGTGGAGAATCCTCGCCTGTGAATGAGCACCGGATGCCAAATGCTACGGAGTAAGGTAGTTCTTTCCCAGAGCACTACTAGTACTGGCCACATCGTCCCTGCACTTTTAGTGGGCTCGCTGCTCAAACTCACAGTGATATGGGGAAGGTCCAACCCAACCCACAGCTGTGTGGGGATCTATCTGTTCATCACCAGAGCAGGTGGACCGATTTGACAGCACTTTTCTATTTATGTCACACGTCAATGTCTCAGTGCAGTGGGCACTCACGAGGTGAGGAATCGACCGAGGAATCCTACCTCAGAGCCATCCGCACTCCGTATCTCCTCCGTATCCTCCCTCACCCCTTTCCGACAATCCGGGCGGCAGCGGCCAAGCACACATGCCAACTTTTGTCTTCCACCCAGCTCCCAGGATCACTCGAGGCGAGGGCCTTGTTCTCTTGCTAATCAGGGAACATGATTCCCAAATTACTCATCACGGATCCGCAGCACAGTGAGCGATGGGAAGGAGGAAGGGCCAAGAGAGCGCGCTTACGATAGCACCGCCACGGTCAGTAGCCGCGCTTAGACGCGCCGCCACCCCCATCGTGAAGCCTCTCGACTCTATTTCGGTATTCGACGAGTCGTGCCAAGGATTTAAGCAACTGATTTCATCTTGCATCTTTTCCTTGGGGGTTGTCTGGGTAATGTTGTGTGATGTTTATGTGGAAGCGCCAAGTTCTCCTCCTGAGCGATGTCAACAAATCGAACTGTGTCCAGAGTCCGGGAACCCTCGCATGCGTACGCAGAATTACAATGTTGTCCCCAAGTCGACAAAAAGAAAACATTCCTATCATTATAAATCTATGGTATCATGTGAAACCCCTGAGTCTTGTCGACAAGCTGAGAAGCTCTAAACCTTTATACAGATATCATAGGTTGGCGCTAACATCCGCCAGGAATGACCAACAGAAAAGAAGAAAAAGGAGACTCCGATCCACATGTGTCGTGTGAAAGATGCAGGGAGAATATGCATCAGAGGCGAATACAGTCTAGTGAACGTTCCACGATCCCACCTCTCCCCCCGTCGCTTCTCCCGGACTTGGCAGGCTCGTCACCAGCTAGACCACCTCCCCGCGCGTGCTCGACCCGTACCCGGACGGCTTCAACACGAGCGCCAGCCCGCCGCCCTCCCCGGCGCCGGCGCCGGCACTGGCGGCTTCCCGCTCGTCAATCTCCCAGAACTTGGTCTCCTTGTCCTTGCCCATCGCCAGCCCGACGAGGTCGAACGGGTCCGCCACCTTGACGTACCACGGCCTCTCCCGGCCCGGCGCCCGCGTGTCCACCTCGGTCACGCCGTCGCGCGCCAGGTACGTCCGGTTCGTCTCGGGCAGGTACCGCCGCGGGTGCCGCGCGTTGAGCAGCACCGTGTTGCCCAGCATGAGCCCGGCCTCGAACACGTAGAAGAACCACTCGTACCGCACCAGCGGGCTCAGCGCGTTGGGGTCCGCCACGCCCCCGGCGTTCAGCTGCGCGATGGTGAAGTACTCGGCCGTGCGGAAGACGGTGCGCACCAGCAGCAGCGCCGTGCTGCCGTACAGCGTGGCCAGGGCCCCATAGAGCCCCGCGTTGCGCACGCCCGCCCGCCGGCACCGGACGTGGAAGGTGACGGCCAGGCCGGCGAAGGTGACGATGATGGCGAGCTGCAGCACCAGCGCCGCCTTGAGCAGGGCGCGCCCCGTGGCCTGCGTCGACGCGGGCAGGGTTGTGTTGGCCGTGTTGACGGCGCCGTTGGCGTTGAGCGCCTCGACCAGGATCGACAGGCCCGTAAAGGTCGTGAGGACGCGGCCCGGATGGATGGGCGAGTAGTAGGGGCAGTAGTAGAGGATGCGGCCGAGGATGTAGTAATTCGCGAGTTCGTACAGCGGTCTGTTTTGAAAAAAAAAAAGAAGTTGCGTTGGTAAGTCTTATGTTTTGTGTGAAGAAAGGGCCAATGACTGGGAGGGACGGGACACACAGCCCGTGCTGGCTCTACTTACGGAGAGACAAATACGAGGACGATGCTAGCAATATATATCTCGATGCTCTCGTAGTTGAAGGCGCCTATTTCTCGCATGATGAAACCGGCGGCGAAGATGGTCGAGGTAAAGACGTAGAGGCCTGTGAGCTTCCAGCTCTTGTAGTGTCTGTAATTGCAACATGTTAGTATAAACACTCCGTGGAACGAAAACCATCCATGGCGGCAATGTCAACTGTTTGCACTTACAAGCTCTGCCAGAGATGCAAGAGCCCTGACGCTGCAAATGCTACGGCGAAGAAGACTGGAGCCCCTTTGTTCGGAGCATAAAACCAGATGCTTCCCTCGACTGGATATGCGGTGTTAGTGCACGAACTTCTCAACAAACGCCTTCTTCAAGAGCGCACCCCATTTTCCGTCTTCCATGATGGATGGCTGTTGTTTTCTTCTTCAGTCGCCGTGTGTAGATTGGGGAGATTGGTTGATTTGGATTATGTCTTGGTCCGATCGAGTGTGTTGGCCAGCTCGAGGCTGCAAAGTATCGACAATGACCAAGCGATTGATCTCTCCAGTGAAACAATTCGAGAGTAGATTCGTTATGTTACAGTTATTCGTCCAGTCTCTCCATTTCACCAGCCAGACTTGCCCTCCGTTGCCCTTATATACCAACTGAAGTCCGCCGCCCAGAGACATCCAAATCATCCCACGAAACATCGCAATTCAGCCCTACCACGTCCTCTCCGCCAATCGTTTTCTTCGTATGCTGCCGATTGCACCGCCTCTCCACCTGATACACTCTCACACTGTTGTTCTCGCGTTCCTCGTTTTCCGCCTCTGCCTTAGCTCCCGTTAAAGTGGACACAGCTCGTCTGCATCGTATCGTTACCTGCTTGTAAGTGCCTAAACGGACCAATCACGCGCCCCGCGCATTCGAGCGCTGGGTTGACAGGTTGCAGGGATCCGGTGCCCAAACCCGCGAGAGCTGACGCAACTTTACTCCGTACAACCCTGGCTCCCTGGGCACGGACGGGCATTGATTGAGCTTTTGACGGGCGGGCCGTGAAGCTTATTGTCTATTCCCAGATGCGCATCTCTTGCTGTCGTCCCACTATCTTCCTGTGCTCGACATGCACGTAGCTAGCTGGCTCCGGCCCTGCACCGCCCACAGCGACCGGGCGTAAGTTCAGCCTGGAAGAACGCCCAGGTCACCCTGTTGCTTACTACCTGACACCCCCCTTTCTCTTGTTGAGAGAAGGGATGTAGAGCTGTTACTCTGGTACCCGATATCAAGAGGACCTGCACACCATAAAAGCAAGGGTGGGGGCTCGGCATGCAAAGCTGACAGCACATGTTTCTTCTCCTCATTCACTCACTTACATGTATTCAAGCAGCAAACCAGCCTATCCCATAGTCCAGAGTTGCATAGGTAGTTACAGTCTCGCCTCAGTGGCATTATCGAGCATCCAGCACTGCAAGGTAATGGCAAGACCGCGAGCATCGCCACGCCCTGCATTCGGCGTAATATCGAACCCGGATGTTCACCGTGTAGCCAGGTTTCCCCTTTTCTTGGGCCAGGTCATCTCATGACAGGCAAGGAACAGAATTGTAATAAGACGTGGCTTAAGACATGATGAGGCAAGATGGCAGCCCAGCGAGGTACGTACTCTAACCAGCGTAGACAATACCATCTCTGACTCGAACATCCCGATCATATTCGCACGCATCAACCCCCCCAAAACTCTTCTCCCACCCCGATTTAAAAAGATCACCAGACTCCTACCAGATTGGTTACTTGGAGTGCTGCAACGTCTCGGGGTTATGGGCCACATCATGCCCGTGCTGGTCAGTGAACAACACCTGCGGGCCGCGCATAAGTCAGCACTGCATCGGCTGGAGATGAGACTTCCGCAAATACCGACCTTTGGGGGGTTCTTGACGCCCTCGCTCTTGGCTTCCTCCTCGGACGTTACGACTCTTTCGACTTCACCCTCTCTCTTCCCGCCGCGAATCTTTGTCCATACTGTATCGCCCTCCTTGATGGGCTTCGAGTCCTGGTCCTTAACAGTCGGCATTCTGCGTAGTGGAGGTTGCCACTTGCTGCTAGATTGAAAGCTCTGGGGGATTCTTTCCAAAAGGCAGAGTTGGAGGGATGGAAGAACTCATCCGGTGGGATATGAAGACAGAGCCCACTTGCTTAGTTTCAACTGTCAGACTTTGGGATAAATGTAGGTCGCTGTTGGTGAGGTTGACGTCATGTTTGATTCATCCAGCATCACTACCCTGTACCAACCACATCGACTGGAAGACGACCGCGAATGCCTGGCGGTTTTAGTTCAGCCAGGGCATACAGTCACATTGACACGAAAACCGCAGGGGCACGATTGTTGAAGCCAGTAGTCTTGATTCGCGAGTACATCCCACACTGTTCAAGTGCAGCTATGTACAAAGAGTCCACCAAAGAGCATCCACAGCAACAAGTCAGCCGCACCTTCAATGGCAATCAACATCATCGTCATCGCAGTATCTCGACGTGCACTGAATGATGCCCCACTGGATTGCCTCCATCATCGCCGAATTCGTGCAAGCATAGTTGAGGCACTGGACGAAGCCCATCGTGAAGAGAGGCGAACTTGTAGGGAGGAATAAGAGGTCAGCAAGGCGGGAACCCACTGGAAGACGATAGAGAGTAACATAAAGTCAGGGAGACTGCTTACCTGCAAGCGCAACGCCGGGTGGGCGCGCAGCATTCGGAAAGGTTCCAGGCGTCACGGAAGCAAAGTTGCTTCAGAATCGTTAGCAAAAGGCACAAGACAACTGCAGCACGAACGCAGCCTACCGCGCAGTAGCTGAGGTCCTTCAAGTTGACGCCGGGAATGTACAGGTCCTTGAACTTCTTGTTGTACGGGCATTGGTCACCGACAGTGCCCGCAGCACTCCCGGCCTGCTGAATAGCGATCTTTTGACGCTGGGTGGTCGGCCAGACGATAGGGTTGGTGCTAGGACTGGCGGGAGCAGCTGAAGGAGATGGAGCAGGCGATGGGGAGGGCACAGGGGATGCCGAAGCCTCGGCCTCGGCCTGGATCATGGCGATCTTTGCATCTGCGCTCTGGACGGGCGAGGGGGCAGCCGCCAGAGATGCGACGAAAAGAGACAGAAGAGAGACGGTGAACTTCATGGCGACTGGCGACAAGACTGGCTGGCTTCCGAGGAAGGGTAAGGATTGAAGATAAGACTGACTTGTGCCTTGAGCAAAGGATGCAGAAGCGTGACAATGATGATGGATGGACAAAGGGAAGAGAATCAAGATTGGGTGCCTGGAGGAACTGGACGGGTCCTTATAGACGCTCATCGCCCGGGAGTCGGGCGCGACTGCTTCGACTGGCTCGAGGAATGCCTTCCGTTGTTTCAGTAGGACCTACACCTTGGCAGGCGCGAGGAGATCACTGGCATTCAGACTTGATGTCTGGGGCAAGAGCGCATCGGCACCGAGGAAGCTAATGCCTGATGCTGGCTCATCATGGTAGTCGCTTTCCCTGAGAATCCGAGAACCCTTTCTCGAGAAACACAGACACCGGATCGTCATTGCCAGGTCCAGGCGTCATCCCGGTTGCACATTGATGTGATGCCTGTACTTACCTAAGTTTCTTCGACCAAACAGGAAAGGGGTTCGGGGTTGGCTTCGAAAGTCAAGACCAGTTCACGCTGCTCCCTACAAAGGAATCGCGGTATCCCTCCACGCCGTGGAAGTCGAGTGCGTGGCCCTAATATTTAAGAGCAGTCACTCCTCGAAAAGGGAATTGCCAGACGTTGTGATGCTTGTAGGCTGTCTTCGAACGAACGGCGGAGAATGCTTTATCAGGGTATGCATAACGTGATGCTGTTTGCTCATTCTTCCCGTGCTTGAAAACGGTGACATGCATCAAGTGTGTGTTGAAGGTATTGCTCTCTCCAAAGAAAACGAGAAGAAACTACTTGCCGACTCGTGTAAGTGCGTGTCCTGCCAGAAGCGGCATCTCGACGGCCCCACTAATATTTTCATCTCCGTTTCTCACTTCTCAAAAATCTTCACGTTCACCACGAGACAGACACAAAGTTCCAATCTTGAAAACAGTGCACAGAAAGCCCGCACGTACACACACCGCTCTCATACCACCTCTTTCCCCAATACAATTCTGTCCCCCACCCTTTCGCAAAGCCAAAGATGAGCGACTCTGCGCAGAGCCCCGAGCCGCCCACTACCACCGCCGCCACCACGTCAACGGCCGTCTCGGACCAGTTCACGTCCTTCTACCTGCAGCGCGCCACCAGGGAGTTCGCCGAGGACCTCGACCGCGTGCGCGCCGCCGACGACTTCCGGAACGACGCGCTGCCCATGCTCGTCAAGGCGCTGCAGCAGGGCACCGCCATGTTCACCCCGGAGCAGCAGCGCGCCATTGTCTCGCCGCCGCCGTCGGCCAAGCCGGCGGCGGCGGCGGAGGAGCCCGGTGAGCAGGATGGCGAATGAAGAGAGGAAGCATTCTGGCCTGTAAAAGTGTCGGCCTCTTGTCGAGAAAAGAAAGGGGGCAGGACAGAAGAGAAGGGGTTCCTATCTGGAAACTGCAGGAATCATCCTGGTGATTGTGTCGTGTCGCGAGGTCGAACGACCTAAGAAGTGGCAGGCCCAAGCAAGCAGCGCCTGTCTCGAGCGTTGGCACCATGTCACAAGGTCGGTGCCTATCACGATGGTCGCTTTCATTGTCAGACCGAGCCGAACCAGTGGTTTGAGAAATGCCGCTGCGGGTAGCCAAGCGCGCAGGCCAATCCAGTCAAGACTCGCATGAAGGTGGCTAGGTGGGCTCAAGGGCTTCGATCGATCGAGGGAAGGCTTGTAGAACATTGGAGGATGGCAACTACATGACACCGAGCCACAGAATAGAAACGTGCCTCCAACTCAAGCTCCTTTGATATGCAAACGACTGTGGTGATCCTGTATCTGGTCTAATCCATAGGTATCTCAAAAAATGAATAATAATCTGGTATCCCCTCCTGCCGCGACTCGCAGCAAAAGAGGTGGGTATCGTTAATGGCCGTCATGAAAGAGAAAACAGGTATCAAAAGATATGACCTGGCAATCTAGTCCAGCCCAATCTAGGCTAGACACGCAAAGCACAAACACCAGTGGGTATCATGCTTGTTCCGAAAAAAATAAAACAGCACTCGTCTCCCCGAAAGGGAGAAGCCCGGAGCAGAGTGAGAGAAAAGAGAGAAGAGATGCAATCATCTTCAGTCTCAAATATGCCAGCCCCTCCCAGACACTACCGTCCGAAACCAATGCCCATTTCCTACCAATTATCCGCCCATATTACCACGTCCTCCGAATTCCCGAAGTATCGTATTAATGATTAAGAACTTCCAGAAAATTTGGGCCTCGCCTCACGCAATGCGGTAGGAGCCAGCAGGTCTGCCAGCCTCCTTGCGCACGGCCCAGCCCTTGAGGGCGATGCAGAGCACCTCCCAGGCCATGAGCAGGCCGACGAGACCCATGGTGACGGTGTAGATGAACATGGCGTCCATGTCGTAGTGGATCATGCCTTCGACGGTGTCCGAGGCCTGCAGAGGGGAAAAAGAAAAAAAGAGTCAGCTCGACAAACACCTCGCCCAAATTGCGCGTATTGCAGCGGGGGAGAGAGAAAGAAACAACTTACGCTGGCCATGAAGATGACGCCCCCGGAGATCAGACCAAAGGCAGCGAGAAGCTCGGTGGGCGGGCGCGAGGGCAGCACCGACTTGGGCGGCTTGAGGAACATGACGAGGTAGGTGAAGCCGCGGGCGAACGAGGCGGCCGACAGCAGGTTGCCCCACTGCCTGTGGACCATGGTCGAGATCATGCTGGGCTGCGTGTGCGACGACATCATGATGCCCGTGAGCAGGATGACGAGCGCCGGGATGGGGTTGATGGAGAACTTGTACGTCTCGGGCTGCTCGAGCAGGTGCAGCTCCTCGTCGCGGTAGACGTGCTCGGGGCTGTCGATGACCGCCTCGGCGACGGTCGTGTTGAGCAGGCTCCGGATGCGGGTGGACTCGACGAGCATTCCCATCTAGCGAGGTTGAATCAATGTCAGCTGATGATCGTTCAGATGGTGGGATGGATGGATGGATGACGGGATGATGGGAGATTCAAGGCACAGTGGCGACTTACCAGACCACCGCCGATGAAAAGGACGGTGATGGAGATGTGCTCCAAGTCCTGAGGGCTCCACTCGCCGCCGGCGTTGGCAAGGTGCTCCAGGAAGATGTTGGTCGAGCCGTAGAAGAAGATGAGGAAGCTCTCGACGAACTCGGCAGAGGGTCTCCACTTCTGCCGGGCAGTCCGGGGGCGGACGTTCCAAGCCTATTTTGCCGGTCCTGTTAGCTCCCGACCTCCAACAACGACACACCCGTCCTCTCCGCGTGCGGGGAAAAAAAAACGTCAGCTTACCCAACCCAGTTCGCCAAAGGCACCAGCCCAACGTCCGAGTGTGAAAAGACCCAGCCAGAAGAAGACGCCGCCCTTGATCCAATGCGCCAGGCCGCTGAAAATCGCACCGCCCTCCTGTTGTCAAAGCAAGGTTAGTAAAGCTGGCACTCGAGCGTTGCGTTTCGCGAAACCCGCGCCCAGGTTGCAGACTTACAAAGAGACGGCCGAAAGTGATGATGCCGGTGCAAATCGTGATGAAAGCCAGAGGCAGGATCACCCGGTCGACGATGTTGTAGGCCAGGATCAGCGGCTTCCAGACGCGCGACGAGATCTTGGCGGCGATCTTTGCGGCGACCGAGTGCGCGCGGCCGGAGCGCAGGGGAGCCGGCAGGTCCGCGGCCTCGAGGTCGTCCTCCTCGAACTCCTTGTTCACGTCGCGGAGGGGGATGGACTCCTGGCTGTGCGACGAGAGCGAGCCGCTCCGCAGCGACTCGGTCCGGGGCTCGGTGCCCTGCCCGCTGTCGTTGGAGAAGCGGTACGGGCTGGGGTGGTGGTTGTCGTGCTCCTCCATGGCGTTTGTCGAGACGGGGATGAACTGGTGGCGCTCGTCGGCGTGCTTGGCCTTGTCGGCCGAGGCATTGAAGGCGCCCGAGACCCGGCCCAGCAGGCTGACCAGAGCCTGGGCGCAGACGGTCCAGGTGACGACCCAGCCGAGCTTGTGGTGCGCGTTGTTGGGGTACAGGTCGGGGGTGTTGCCGTTGTAGATCATGCCGATGAGCAGACCGACGGCGTTGGTGGCGAGGAAGACGAATTGCGACAGCAGCGTGTATCGCGAGCGCGCAAGGGAGAACATGACGGCTAGAGGAGTCGCACGGTTAGCCTTGCTGGAACGAAGCTTTTCAAGGCGCGTGCCTTGCTTGACAGCGCCTCTGGAGGTGCAGACTTACAAACGGGCAGCATAAACACCCAGCCGATGATCATGAGGGCGATATGGGCATAGATCGCCGCCTTATGCTCGGGATGCGCAAAGTAGTTGGGAGCGTAGGACTCGGGGTCCGGCTTGGGCTCCTCCTGGCTCATGTCCATCTCGCCGCCCATGTCCATGTCCATGCCATGAGCGAGGACCGTAGGGACGAGCTCCAGGGCTGCTGCGCCTGCCAGCAGCAGCAGGGCGGATCTCGTTGTCGACCGCATCTGGACAGCTCTCAGCCAGTTCCTGTCCTGTGCAATTGTGCTGCCGAAGAGGGCGGTCCTGAGCGCGCGTTCAATGAGTCGGCCGGGAGCTTTGGTGCGCGTGGTGACGTCGAGAAGGGGTCTTTTTCTTTTTTATTTATTACTATCCCGACTAGCTGGGGTGGCTGCTAGTCTGTCGCATGTGAAGCTCCACCACAACACGGGTGGATAAGATGGATGGTTACCGGGTCGCAAGAGGGTAGGGAATGCGCCGTGCCGTTGCAGAGAGGGGAGAAGGATACAAAAGATATATCTTGGTGCACGGGAGGGAAGCTGGCAAGCGGCAGGCTTTTACAGGACGAGCGGAGAGAGACGAGGAAGCAAGGCGCGCAACGCAAGAGGGAGCTGCCGGAGACATAATAAATGGCGGGAATAGAGTCAAGATACATGTACTTGTGCTCCGTACCCGCAGACCAAGAGACCAAGGCCGTGGGCGAAATGACCGATGCCCCGCTTGGTGCTTGGTAAGAAGCAGGAAGAATCATCAGCGGAAGCTAGAAGATGGGAGCAGAGTCATGCCATGCCATGCCATGTTGGGCCCAGAGGCCCCATCATGACCGAACCTTTTTCGTCTGTACGGACGTGCCCAGGTGTGGCCGTTTGTGGTTGCAAAAGGCGATGGAGCGTAATGGAGCTCCAGCAACGTCTGCGATGGAGCTCCGAAGCTTCCGAATGACGGCACCAGCAGCGAAGCGGCGGTAACGAGAAGGACTGCTGCATGGAGCTTCAACTTTTTTTTTTTTGTTGCTGTCGCTTTGGGCTGGTCCGCTTATGCACTCCACCCTTCAAGGTTCCTCTTGCTCCCACACTGTGCGGACTGTGTGGGGGCGAGTCGAGATGGGCTTCATTCCTGGGCGCGGCGGTGCATGGCTTGGCCTTTTCTTACCAGTATGGTTCATCATCACTCATCGAGATAGGTACGTGGATAACTACTGATACTTGCCGATGCACCGACAACTACTGCTCGCAAACAAATCTCTGTGTTTGGCCTAGGTAGATCTCTCACAGGCCATCACACGAACCAGTCCTCTCAGCTTATGAGAGAGGCAGACGCAGCGTTGGCACGCTTGAGAACGACATGCAGTCGGGATTCGTGCGGACCGAGTAGTGAGATGCTGCCGTCAGCAACGACGCAAACCGGGCGGCGGTGCGGCATGGCCACATGGTCGCCCTTCGGGCGTTGAGAGCATCCATCCATCGAGCCGCGATTGCACGCCTGCTCGCTTGTGGTGCTGCCTGCTTGTATCGTACTGACTGACGTGTCTGGATGCGTGGTCGGTCTTTTGTCACCTCTGTACGCACACGCATCCTCATCCATCCATCCTGCCCCGGATTTCTGTCAAACCCGACAGCAGCCACCCCCTCCTTTGATGACCCGAGTTGCAGAGAGGAGAAAGACAGAATACCCGGGCGAGCATCTCTCCCAGGATCGACATCTCACGGCAGCAGCACCTAGCCAAGCCATGCTAATGAAGGCCAAATGTCTTGGAAGCCTTGGAAGCCTCGTGCCTCTGTTGGCCGCATTCTGCTCTCTCACTCCGTCGTCTGGTAGCCAGCTCCGAGCCGCATAATTGCTTACTTTTAAGCTTCTCCTCATGTCAAAACAGACTTTGGTACCATTCCAGGCACTGTACTCCGTACGTTCCACGATGGCTGAGAGGGGGTGGTGAAGGTCACTGAAGGAGGAGGGGTGGTTGTAAGGCGCCTTGAACTCTCTTTGCCGCCCTTCCTCGCGATCGTCTCTGGCGGCACTTTTGATTAGCTCGCCCGCACATGTTTAAAGTTGCTCCATATTCCCCCATCGGACGCTACTCGAAAAGCTGGGAACTGCTGACATATCGGTCGGCTCCTGTGACTCGCTGCTGACTTACAAAAGGTCGTTCGTCGCCCAGTCAGGACCACAGTGCGCCAACCTCTCGGCATTTACGGAGCCTCACCCGCACCGCGATAACGGACATGGCCCAGCGCTAATCGAATTAAACAAATCCATATGCAGCCTGCATCTGCAAGGCGACCAAAAACTCACACACCACCACAGCAAGCATCACCACAATGGAGCCTTCCGTCCCCCCTCAAGTGCCGGTCCGACGTAGCAGTGACTGGGACAACGTCAAGGCCTCTCGTACGACTGAGCGGGAAACTGATCTGCGACGCATCTGTCTGGCTTGCATTCTGACCCTGGATGCTGTGCTTCATCCAGTGCTTCCTCGTCCCTTTCTCCCCCCCTCACTGTCTCATGCATATCCCGACGTGGAGGGAAGAAGGACATTGTCTTGAGTACTGCTTACTTGCACGTCCGGAGTGTAAGGCGAGCGAGCTACGATTTCCCCCAACACAGTGTGATCTGCGATCCCTTCTTTGCATGCGCCCTACTCTTCACCAGGGTACTTTACTCGTACAAAGAACTCTCCGATGTGATCCTCCACGTCTACCATCCGTCCTGTTTGGATGCATGTACCGCTCTGCAACCCTAGCAGCAAGCATGTTTGTTTCAATCTTGGGGGGACCATCACTATCTCAGGCCACTTGGACCTATTGCTGAAACAGCGAGCTTGGAGCTGAAGCTCGGTGACAAACCGCGGGCGCACATGTTCGCAAACAGGGACCAAAAGGACCCCAGACCCCTACCCTTCATCCCTGCCTCGAGCTGTGACCTCTTGGATTGTGATTTGACGAGGCTCGATGGCGTATCATGACGCGGGTCGGATGACTCTTCTGATGCAGGGCACTAGCAGGGGCAACTTATACGGCAGCACTAGCGCTTCCTCTCTTGACCTTACCTCCATTTAGCTCTGAACCCCACCAGCCCGCGCCGCTGATCATGATCCCCAAACACCGAACAAAGCAGCACTGACCGCCCGCCCAGACCAAGTCCAGAAAATCCTTAGCGAGCACCCGCCGCCGAGCAGATCGTGGGACTGCCGTGCTCCGGCGATCTGGAGGGAGAAGTAGGGGAGAGACGACAGGGAGGTGTGTGTGTGTGTGTGTGTGTGTGTGTGTGTCTTCGACTGTCTTGGCAATCTCGGGCCTTGCGAGTTGTCCGCCCCGACATCATCATGGTCTTGTCGGCATGCTTGTAGTTGTAGTCACAGGTCTGTCTTTAGGTAAATCCTGCAAGCCAAGATGCTGCCAGCCAGCCTCTTTCTTTCTTTCTCCGATGGTCTTGGTGGTGAGAACGGGTGTGGAAGTGCCCGACCTCGCTCTCCCCTCCTTCTGGTCTCTCCTGGATACATCCAGTCATATCAACCCAAATCCCGGCTGTCCGCGGAGCTAGATCGGACATGACCCTTGCTTCCCAGCTTGAAGCCACCAGGCAATACTGACTGTCTAACTCCGTACAATCGTCGTCCGGGTTCGGGGCCGATCTGATCGCGATGACAATCGACCCTTGCTCCTCTAAATGTGGGGAAGGTTGCAGCAAAATGCCAGGTTGGCAGGGCTAGTTATGCTCGGATGCCGGAATCAAGGCGGCAAGTTATGAGAGGGCTTCAAACGAGCATCAGTCGAAATGAACAAGACGAGGTAGTAGACCACGACGCCCAATCACCGCCGAACACTTTATTAATCCGCCGAGTCGAGAATCAACACACCCCCGTATGCACTTCGCTCACCGCAAATGCACCGTTTGCGAGCGGTCATACATGCACACAACGCATCGAAACGATAGCCGTTGGAGCCCATGCAGGCAGAGTGTCGAGCGAGAGCTTACTCAGACCCAAGAAGTCATCGGGCCATGCTCGCCAAGCCCGGTACAGTGCCAGTGAGGTGGTCGATCCAGTCCAAGACGCTAAACAGGGTCATCCAGCGGTTGTTGTTTGACACCATGATCAGAAAATCCCGAGAATGGTAAATTCTGTAAGCCTGCCTGCCTGCCTGCCTGCCCAGCCTTCTCACTTTATTGCTCTGAAGCCATTCCGGGCCATCCGGGCGTCTTTCGCTGCCCACGGACCATCTCGAACCGGGGGGTCCCCTTAATTCCGTCCCCTCATCCGGAAGGAGCTCCATCTCGGCGGACTACGGCACCGCTGAAAATGGTGCCCATCTTGGGAAATATTGCAGCGAGTGGCTTGAGACCTATTGCCTTCCCTTAAACTCCGCTTCGGTGTTTGACTCAAACGCCTCATCTGAGAGCCATATTCTGGTAGGCACGTTAGACTAATGAAACTCAATGATAATATTGACGTCATAAATGTCTGCCCTATCATCACGCAGCCGATGACCTGAGGTGAGTGCCACTATCCGTAAACGTTGCATCACCGGTGGCCAGATTGGTTTGGAGAAGCTACTGTGGTTCATAGTGCTGAAGTGCTCTTCAGCTTCCACCTCCCGCCGTCTAGCCTCTGCACCCTGCCCTCCTTCTCGAGCTTGTCGAGTATCTGAAGCAGCCCCCTTTCAGCCGCAGGATGTAGATCTTCTCGTACGTCCCGGTAGATCACCCTGACTAGTTCTATGGCGGTCCACGTACCCCCGTTGGCAACCTCGGCGCCGGCCTCGCCGTCCCTTTGGGACTGCAGCGTGGCCAGCACCTGTTCCTCCCGCTGCGCGCGGTGGTGGATGTACTCGGCGATCTTGGCCGGGCCGTCCTCCAGCACGGGGCCGTGGCCGGGGTAGGCCCTGCCCTTGAAGAGCGGCTTCATGCGCGCGAGGCTCCGGAGGTAGACGGCCAGCTCCTCGAACACGGCCGTGCCCTGGCCCAGCACGTTGTCGCCCGTGAACATGGCGTCCTCCTCGCGCAGGACAAAGGCCATGTGGTCGACCGTGTGGCCCGGCGTGTGCACGGCCGTCAGCGACGCGCCCTCGGCCTCAAAGACCTGCCCGTCGGCGATGTCGGCCATGGTGCTGCCTCCGGCGCCGGCGACCGCGCCGGCATCGGCATCGGCATCGGCCTGGCACTTGTAGATCTTGGTGTCGGGCGACAGCGCCAGCAGGTCGCCGATGCCGCCCACGTGGTCCGGGTGCCAGTGGGTGATGAGCGCCGCGGAGACGGAGGCGCCCTCCTCGGCGAGGGTGCGCCGGACGGCGTCGATCCAGGCCGGCTTGCCCTCGGCCGTGTCGATGAGCAGCCGCCGGCGGCCCGTGCCGACGAGATAGGTGTTTGTGCCCTGCAGGGTGAACTTGCCCGGGTTGCCGCCGAGGATGCGGATGCAGCGGGGGCTGAGCCGCTCGACCTCTGGGAGCGGGACGAGCTGCGCGGCCATCTTGGATCTGCGGAGGAGGAAGGCCGTTCCCCGCATTCACGAGCCTCGGAAGACGAGGGTGTGTGTATAAGTCACGGAGCGTACTGGTAGGTAGGCACGTGTGCTCTTTAGCAGCAGTCTAGGTACCCCTGAGAGAAAAGGGGCAGACACGCCTGGCAGAAGAAATCTATGAGCCCCGAGTCAGAGGGAATATGGGTGATGGTATGTTTGAGTATTTGGTACGGCAAGCCAACCAGAGTTGTGATGTCTCGTCCGAAGGATGTGGTGCAAAGGCATACAACCCGTAGTGGGGCCGCTACTGAATGATGCTCCTCTTGTAGATTGCCCGCTACCGAGGCTCCAGCTCTGATGCCGGAGAGGCCTGGGCCAGCCTGTAAGAATGTCGCGGTAAGAAAAAATTAGCCCTGGAAATGCCGCTAAGAATTAAGGCGTAGCGGGATGGAGGGCTGGGTCCCGCTGTACACCCTCACTAGGGATTGGAGTAAGGCGTAGACAGGAACTGGAGGTACCCTGACCGCCGCCCACCCGCCCCCGATAAGGCCCTGAGATCAGGTGTAGATAAGGAATTTGGCCAGGCCAAGAAGACAGGCTTGATGTCAATCCTGCCCTTTTACAGTGACGGAGGAGAGGGCTCTTCAGCGCCATCAGCTTTGGAATTCCTCAAGAGAGTCGAGACTTTGGCAACCCAGCTGAGGCTCGGTCCACCATAGAGCTGGTAGGTTTGTTTCGCTGGCAGGCGCGCTGCGCATGTGAATTGGCGACCGAGTTTTGCTGACAATTGGGTGGTTTGATGGGCTGCAGTTCGGCACAACCGCCCTGACCCAATTCGCCTTCGCCGCCGTCCGCGTCCCCTGGAACCGAAACTTATTAGCGATTCGCGGGTCAGTCACCACCAAACATTCGCAGCTGCGCCGTCCAAAGTGTCGAGGCGACAGTCAATCACAAACAACCTTGGAAACAGCAGAGCCCCAGAGTCTACTGTATTTCCATCCTCTCTCTGCCGAGAGATTGCTTGCCCATCTCGCCACACCGTCTATTGGAAGCTGCCGTCACAGCCAAGTTGCCTAGCCTTGCACTCGTGAGGAGGATTGCACCTTTCATAGCAGACGGCCCCGTCAACAACGGTGGGCGGGCTGCGCAAGCGGAGGAAGCGCAGAGGAACGGGTGCCCCGAGATACAAGGACTGCTTAGGAACAGCTCGTCGACATGGCTGCCGTGCCCGCCACCCCCAACTCGCCCAAAAACGTTAAGATCAAGTCTCCGGTGGCAGGTAGCCCCATGTTCGGATGCGGTATGCGATGGCCTCCTTCCTTTTCGCGCTCTGTCTCATCTCCTCCTCCCTCAACCTTACTGATCATGAATTTCCTGCGCAGAGCACATTCAACGGCTCCTGAGCCAAGGCCAGGAAGTCACAAATACTTCGGTCCAACACTACAAGATCATTCTTAGGAAGATCTTCGACACGACCCCGATTGTGCCACAGACCTCCAAGACGCCCGAAGGCCTGCCGATCACAAGCTTGACCTCCAACTACCTCTGTCTCCAATGTCCTTCCACTGTCACAGAAGAGGAGCGCTTAAAGCATGGCACAAAGAAAGCACATCGCTTCTGTATGGCACCCACCCGGTGTCGCGTGCTTCCTCTGTACTGCTCGCTGACCTTGACCTGCTAGATGTCGACTCTCGGAGCGGTGCGCTATACTGCCAGATGTGTGATGATTATGTATGGGATCCTACCCTCGAGGACCTGAGGCTGAGAAAGATCGGCACCGGTTCCTTCTCGAGTAAGTCGCCGACACTGCTCTGGCGCCATGTCCTGTGTGGTGTGCATAACGTCTGCCAAATATGTACTTACACACCTCCCAGCCGCTCGCAAGAGGAAACATGACGAGCTCTTCTCTGGAGACGCCATCAAAGATGACCCCAGATACATCACCTCCAACACCACCACGGCCTCCTGCCGGGCGAATGGCCTGCGAGGCATCTACAATGCCGGCGCCACCTGTTACCAGAACGTCATCCTCCAGAGCTTTCTTCACAATCCCCTACTACGTAACTACTATCTCAGTGATGGCCACCAAGGGTCTGACTGTCAGGCCTCGCACTGTCTGAGCTGTGCCATGGACGATATCTTTCAAGAGTTCTACAGCCAGGAGGCCACGAACGGCTATACCGCGGCTAATGTCCTCTCTGGCTTTTGGATCTCCGAGAAAAAGGCTTTTGAGAACCTCGTGACCACCAAGGAACAGGACGCACACGAGTTCTTCCAGTTCCTGGCCGAAGAGCTCCACGAGCGCAACGGCGACGGTAAGAAACCCGAGGTGGGCAGTGAGCACTCGTGCACCTGCATCATCCACCAGACGTTCTACGGCAAGCTGCAGAGCACCACGACCTGCCAGAACTGCCACGGAGTGACCAACCAGGTGCAGTCATTCCTGGACTTGAGTCTCGGCTTGGACACGCTAGCGCAGCGCCGCCGCAAGCAAGGCCATAAGAACCCGACCTTGACACTGCAAGAGTGCCTTGACGAAGAGTACATCAAGTCCGACAAGTGCGAATATCGGTGCCACAAATGTGACTCGATGCAGCAGGCGAGGCGGCATACGAGCATCAAATCGCTTCCTAACGTGCTGTCGATCCAGCTCAAGGTTAGTCCCCTCAAGAATGCAATGGCAGGATATCACCAGCAGGGGGTCTCACTGACCATTACTCTTGTAGCGCTTCGAGTATAAACAGGGGCGTCATGACAAGGCTGCCAAGATCGACACGCCTGTACAGTTTCCTCTGCAACTCAACATGCTGCCTTACACGAACAGGGGCCGGGGGCAGGACCCCCGAGAGAACATCGAGCTCGGCAGATCGTGCACCTACGACCTGCTTAGCGTGGTGGTCCACGTTGGTGAGATCGACACTGGCCATTACGTAGTGTATTGCCGGGTCGGTGATCAGGTATGGCGACGTTCTTTCTTGTCTTTTGTTTCTTCACGTGTCAGCTAACACGGAGCAGTGGTTCGCATTCAATGATCACAAGGTCGAGATGGCGAGCAAGTCAGAGGTCTTGAGCGCCAAGGCTTACCTACTCTTCTACATCATTCGGTCCCTCTCATGAGATCAAGTGTAGGCAGTCCCTTTTAAGGGATTGACTACACATCCACACAATTTTCAAAAGAAAAGAGATACCATACATCGTATACACTCACCCACCGACAGATTACCTCACCTCCCACTCATCATGGTGGACCCCAACCAGAAGGGGCTGGTTTGCATATTGTGTTTTTTTTTTCTTGGACGGGGACCAAGGGGGGGAGAGGCATCCAGCACGACTACATACACGTCCATCAAGACTGCACCTTCGTCAATGGAGGGCAACGCGGCGTTTGTTTTCTTACTTTTCTTTGTTGATTACATTGTGTTTGTCGTTGCATCAGGCGCGTCGGGCCGGCCACCAGGAAAACAGGAGAGCGTTTGTACGAAGTTGCACTTGTCATCATGAATACCAGAAATGCTAGACGTCTGACCATTCTTTTCACTCCCCTTTTCAGTATTGAGCCTTGCTAGTGATTTGAGATATCTGTCTATCCCCGAGCCATGCATAATATCTAATGTCCACGCGTGCCGATGATCAAGGGCATATCTTTCCCTGCCGGCATACAAATCTCGATGACAGACCGGACTGCCACCATAATCACGACTTGCGCTGAGCAAGTCAACCTCGTAGCCTAAATCCCTACTACTCAAGCCTTCCACCTCCACTCGCCGCACTCGAAGCTGGCGTAGCAGTAGAACTCGTTGCTCAGGCCCCGGGCGTGCACGGGCTCGTAGGTCGTCGTCCGCACGCCAAAGGACTTGTACAGGCGCGTGACGAGCTCCTCCATGCGCTCGCCCGTGCAGACGACGAGGCGGTTCTGCGAGGTGGAGGAGGAGGAGGAAGAAAGGGTGGGGGAGGGTTTGGCGAGCCAGCGGACGGTCATGGCGGCTGTTTCCACGCGAGAGATGTCAGATGTTAGCAAGGGGCGCAATTTGTGAGAGCAGGTAGGTTCAAATGGTGTTGTGCAGATCGTTACCTTTGGTCTGGCAGTCTTCGCTGAGGAAGGGCGGGTCGCAGATGATTCTCGTGACTGCGCCTTTGAGGTTCCCTGCATACGTGCATGTTAGTCCCTTCCCCCAACTGACCTTGTAAAAGAGAGCAGCGACTGTATATCCGCTGCTCTCTCTCAGCCTCATCAGAGGGCAAAGAGTGGCGCAGGATACGAAAACTCACCGGGCAGCTTGAACGGCTCGACAAAGTCATAAAACACAAACTCGTCCCCAAACACGGCGAACCGGTTGTCGTGCTCGAGCAGCACCATCTTTGGCGGCGCGGGCGCGTCCGGACCCCTCTCAGCCTACGCATATATGCACCCACGGGAACCTCTGTCAGTGTACATGTCTTCCTTCCCCTAGGCGTGGGTCGAAGAAAAGGGCCACAACTTACCACCAGGTTCTTGAGTGCGACAAACACGCTCGGCGCCGAGACCACGGCGACCGTGTCCTCCGGCCCGGCGCCCTCGAGGAGCTGGCCTGCGAGCAGACGTGCCGTCTCGTCGGAATACTGAGATTTCAGCAAATTAGCCATCCATTGAAACTTTACTTCGGAACTCCCATGCCAAACCACGTAGCCCACCCCTCTCTCCCTCTCTCTCTCGACAGGCCCGAGAGACAAGACCAACACCCCCCTTATTATACCCATCACAGGGCCAGCAAATAGGCAGAAAAGAAGACCAACGCACCCAAAACTGAGACTCGTTCCAGTCCTCCGTGAACGCCTCCATGCTCAGCGGCTGCTGCGGCGCTCCACCGGCGGCCGCCCGGGCCTCGGCCGCAGACTGCAGCTCGGCGAACTTCTTGTTGTGCGCGTCTCTCTCGGCATAGAAATCCTTGAGTGCATCGAGCGCGTGGGAGGAGAGCACTCTTTATAACGTGCCCAGAATGTCTGTCAGGGAGAATGACTTTACATATGAGGGGGGGGAGATGACTCACAGAGGCTCATCGTCGCTTTCGTTGCCGGTCATGATGGACCTTCAAGCAACGAGAAAAGAACGAGGATGACTAGAAATATTCGACTTCGGTGTCATGGGCGACGCGGAGCAGATCTCTCGCAAATATCTGCTGCGGCAACGTTTGATGGGGTAGTCGGGCTGATATGTCGATATTTTAAGAGGTTCACAGAGCTAAAATTGGGGAAAACCAAAGTTTTCATCCAGCTCCCAGCCGTCTTCCGCTCGCATACATTCACTTACACCACCAGTTGAACACGGCGCAGCAAACCCCATACAATGACTGCACAAAATAAAGTCCGGGTTGGCTGGACATATCCTAACCGGATTTGATAATGCTGATTTATTTCACCACCTGGATTCAAGGAAACCTCTAGTTGTTTACATATGTACACTCTACAACGAGCCCTTTTGAAATCCCCAAACGAGCCTGTCGTCAACCGACACCTCAACTCCACTACTGGTCGTCCAGCACGTGCAGGTACTGCCTGTCCTCCCTCTTCTCCTTCTCCGTCGCCGGCGGCAGGTCGTAGAAGGCTGAGCTTCGGTATCCTTGCTGAGGGGTTGTAAGCAAATGGAAATGGACTCGAATGGAAGGGCCTGACGTACCAGATAGTGGTAGGTGAACTTGCTAATATCACCGGGCTCGATGCCGAGGTCCTTGAAGGTCTTGGCAGTAGGGTCGATGACCTGATCGAGGAACTCGCGCTCAACCTCGTCAGCGGACATGACGGGCCACCACAGTGCCCTGTTGAGGATGCCAGCGGCGGGCTTCAGGATGGCCTTGGGAACGTTGATGTGCCTCCGCTTCTTGTAGATCTCACGGTCGACCATCTCAGCGATCTCTGCCATGGAGTACTGCTTGGGACCGTACAGCTCGTAGGTCTGGGAAGCAGTGTTGTCGTCATACAGCAGGACCTCGAGTGCTTGACCGACGTCGATGACCTATACAAAATTAGATTCATCCAAGCAGCCGAGGCCGGGTCTCACTCACGTGAGCAGGGGCAAAGCGCTCCTGCATGTTGTTGGCAGTGAACAGGTTCATGACGCCCGCAAGCTTGAGAAGAAGGTTGTCCTCAAAGCCGAACATGGGCGCCGGTCGCACGATGGTAGTCTCGGGGAAGATGCTGCGTGCGACTTGCTCGCCAATTGCCTAGTATTCACTGTTCAGTTCCGGGTTCTTTATCTCACAGCACGCCGCATCGTACCTTGGTCCTGAGGAACTCGGAGGGCGAGTTGGGGTCGACGCTGTGGGAAGAAACGTGGATGAAGCGGTCAACATCGTACTTGGCAACAGCCTCGGCGATCCTCTCCGTGCCCTCGATGTGGACGTCCTCGAGAGAGAAGTTCCTGAAACTCATCATTAGATCCGATGCTCATAGAGTACTGCTCAGTGTCCGAATCATCCATACTTGGTAGGATAGTTGCGGCCAACCAGGTTGTAGACCACATCGGAATGCCTGACGCTCTCCTCGATCGAAGCCGTGTTTCGAAGATCGTACTCCTGCAAACCAGTTTTAGCATATGCATATTAGTTCGCAGGCATTGGCAATTCCATACAATGTAGGTAACCCGGCCCAGGTCACCGGAGACCTTGAGATGGCGCGAGGCCATCTCCTCCCGGAAGGGAACGACGACGTTGCATCCTTGCCGTGCTATTTGCCAGGCCGTAAGCATAAACCCTTCGACCAATTGATCGATCCGTAGAGCGCACCTAGCCTGTTGACGATGTATCGTCCAAGAGCACCCGTTGCACCGAAGACCGTCGCGGTATGACCTGGAGGGCTGATGTTAGGTTCCGATTCAGCTTCAACTTCGTGTGCGGGCATCCATACCTCCAAGAGATGACCTAGAGAAGATTGCAAGTCAGTCGGGATTCGGTTTCTGGCACGCATCGGGAGTGCTTCCTTACCTTCCACCCTGTGTCCTGATGATGGGTTTGCCGGTTCGGGTGATCGTGACATCGGACAGCGACCGACGCTGTTGGACGACGCTCTGTGCGATCTTGCGGGTCGACCGCATTGCCGCAGCAGGGGAAGCCATTCTCGCGGGGGTTCTGAAGTAGCAAGAAGGGCTATGCCTCGCCAATTGGCCTGTAGAGAAACAATTGAATCTCGAATCGGCTCGAGCTGGGATGCCGCAATGCACGCTTTCGGCCTGCCGTGATTGGCCGGAGCTGGTTTTGCGTGGGTCACGTGCGTGCGCCAGTCATCAATCGACCCAGTTCGGCGGCGGGTTATCCTGGGCGCCAGTCAAGAGCGCTAGCACGTACCAACCAGCGCAGCTCAGCACTGGCCCACTAGGTGCTTCCAGCGCTTGCTCTCAGCGCTCCACAATCCCTCCAGGCTGCGTCGCAGCCGCGTCAAACACTACTGACCGCACTTGGAAGCTCCCCCCAGTCTGAGGTGGTTTACCTAAACTGCTGTGATCCGGCCTCGCAACATCAACGGACATCCAACTCTCTCAACCTCCGATAATCCACGCTTACACACGGCCCTTTCTACCCTCAACTCCCACATCGAAGTCCTTCATACCTCCAGGATCTCATAAAGGCACCACATCGTCGCATTCAGCTAATAGCTCCCCTCCCCCGGTGCCCGCCATGAATGTCGATACCATCTCCGACTTCCTTGCGGAGCAGCGAGATGGAGCTCCCGACGAGCTTCAGCCCATGATCCTGCAGTTTGAGGACCTGTGGGAGCGCAAGCTGTGGCATCAGCTCACCGACTCCCTCCTCGAGTTCTTCAACCACCCCGACAGCGCGAAGCTGCGGCTACAATTCTTCAAGGTCTTCGTCACAAAGTTCGCTGATAAGATCAACCAACTTAAGCTCGTCAACCTTGCCCTCAAGGCAGCCGAGTCGTGCAAAGGTTGGTTCCCGGCCCTCTCTCCCCGGGAATGGGACACATTTTATCTGTTTACCTTTTCTTCTCTAACACTTTGTACTTTCCAACAGACCTCGACGAGCGCCTGAGCTTCCTCGAGACCGTCGCCAAGAAGGTCGACGGCGAGGACTCACAAGACGCCTTCGTCTACGCCACCATCGCCGTCGCCCGCGTCAAGCTCGACCTCGAGGACTTTGACGGCGCCCGCAAGGACCTCGACAAGGCCGAGCGCATCCTCGACTCGTTCGACTCGGTCGAGACCATCGTCCACGCCGCCTTCTACGACACCAACGCCTCGTACTACAAGGCCAAGGCCGACTTTGCGCTCTACTACCGCAACGCCCTCCTCTACCTCGCCTGCATCGACATCAAGTCCCTCGGCGCCGGCGAGCGCCGCCAGCGCGCCCTCGACCTCTCCATCGCCGCCCTCGTCTCGTCGAGCATCTACAACTTCGGCGAGCTGCTGCTGCACCCCATCCTCGACGCCCTCCGGGAGCGCAAGGAGGACGCCTGGCTGCGCGACCTGCTCTTCGCCTTCAACCGCGGCGACCTGGCCGCCTACGACGTCCTCTCGGGCCACGTCGCCTCCCACCCGCTGCTCAAGCAGCACTCGGCCCAGCTGCGACAGAAGATCTACCTCGCCGCCCTGACCGAGGCCGTCTTCCGCCGGCCCCCGCACGACCGCGCCATGACCTTCGCCACCATCTCCCACGAGACCAAGGTCCGCCCCGACGAGATCGAGCACCTCGTCATGAAGGCCCTGAGCCTCGGCCTGCTGCGCGGCACGATAGACCAGGTCGACGAGGTCGCGCACATCAACTGGGTCCAGCCCAAGGTACTCGACATGAAGCAGATCGACAACATGAGGCTGAGGTTGAAGGACTGGGACTCGAGCGTCAACCAGCTCGGCAACTGGATCGAGGGGGTCGGCCAGGATGTGTGGGCCGCATAAGGAGAGAGAGAGAGGCCAGGGGAAGGCAGCAGGAAAACGTGTCACAAAAGAGATAGAAGCAGGGGGTGTGCGTGTATGTGTGGTGTTTTGAGAAGCGAAGCGGAAGGGGAGAATCAGATCAGACGGAGCCAGGTCATGAACCAACTGGCTTTGTATTATACGACATTAATTAGACGCCGGAATACAGGAGTCAAGATGCCATGGGTTTTGGTCACCACAAGCGCTCCCGCCCAACTGTCTGAACTGCATCTGCTGCGTCTTGATTTACATCTTCACGCGTTGCCATTGTAACTCTATTCAAGGTCTTGTTCTCATGCGTGACTACTGTACAGTATGGTCGTCTACATGACGTTTTCTCTCTTAAAGCATGCCCTCATCTCTAAGTACTCCTTTCTTCATCTCTTTTGTCTCGTGTCGCACACTCCTTTTTGAACTTCTTGCCTACAACATACATCTCTGGCAGGCATCTGCCCCCTGTTCTGACCTGACTACGCAGCCTTGGCCTTGCGCGCCGCTGGCCGCCCCAGCACCAGTACCGACGCGACCAGCCATGCAGGCCACCACACACACCACACCACGACTGGCGTGTACATGCCCCAGACGTCCCAGCCAAACGCCGCGCGGCGCAGCACCTCGCCCACGCCCAGGCCCCAGCCCGCCGAGCAGGCCGCCAGCACGGCCGTCGGCGCCATGAGGTTGAGCGCGAGGGTGAGCAGCCAGCGCCGCAGCGGGGAGGCGGTCGCGGCGGCGGGCGAGGCAGGCGGCTGCATAAACGTCAGGGGGCTGGCGACGAGGCCGACGAGGAAGGCGACCGAGAAGTTGAGGGTGGCGAGGGAGGAGAGGAACATGCCGAGCAGGAGGAGGGAGAAGGACTTTGTCAGCTGGTACTGCTGGACCGTGGCGGAGCGGGCGGTGAGGAGAGAGGAGAGGACGTGCGGGAGGGCGCTGTTGAGCGCAGCGAAGAGGATGAAGGCTGGAGTGAGGAGCTGTGGGGTGGTTAGCGATGGCCACCAGGTCAGGTGCAGGCTGTGGTGAGGGACTTACACTGGCGGGGAGGTGGTTAAAGAGGTACAAGGGCACAATGCCCAGGGCGTGGCATGCCACCACCAGGGCCAGGGGCAGGAAAATATCCCTCTCGACCGTCGGTGCGGGTGCGTCTTCGTCCTTCTTGACGGCCTTCTTGGTCGTCTCCTCCTCAGGCTGTCCACTCTTGATCCAGAATGCGATGGCCATGATTGTAAAATTGGCGGCCAGCAGCATAGCTCCCGGCAGGTATGTGCCGATGCTGACGAACCTCTCGCGCTGCATGAGCAGGTAGAAGAAGAAGCTCTGGTGCAGGTGCTCGAGGAGGTTGTTGAGACTGCGAAACGTGCCCTCCACCACGCGGCCCATGGCCATCTCGTCCTGCCACCCGTTGCCAAAGGGCTGGAGCGTAACGGCGTCGACGTGGTATGCCATGAAGGAGCTGTGCGGCCCCGTCGAGATGCCAAGGCCCTGCTTCATCATGCCCCTGAGCATCGTTCGGAGCCGGTCCTCGTACCTGTCGTCGTGGTTCCACATCTCGTGCAGCGCGACGCCCATGCCCATCTGGCCTCCCGCCACAGAGTTGACACTGTTGATCAGATCCAGGTTCGGCAGCTGCCCATTGACGCCGTCGTAGATGATGTGCACACTCTCGAAGCGGTCCTCCTGCGCATAATCGACGGCGATGGCACCCTGCAGAGCTCCCGACTTTAGGGGCAGAGAGCTGACGTGCCGTCCGTCGTGGGCATCGTGATAGGCGTCGACCCAGGCCTGCGGACCTGCCAGGCTGTCGGGCGGGAACAAGAAGATGATATCTTTTGACCAGAGAGACCACCGGCGGAAGTAGCGGGCTAGGGTGAGCGCGAGAGGCACGCCATTCCGGTTGAGGTCGCCCTGGGCATTCTTGTAGGCGGCGATCAGCACGATGGCTTCGGTAGCATCGCCGCGAGGGGCTTGGAGAATGGCGTAGAGGTTCTCGCCGGCATACGTGTCGCCCGAAGATGTGTAAGTGAAGTTCTGACGGCCAACCTTGAGCCCGATGCCAGTGAGGATGGACTGGAGCTTATCGTTGATTCTGGAATGGGACTCTGTTAGCAACGGGTCCATACACACTCCCGGCTTGCCGGACAGAGACATACACGACATTGCTCTTATCTCCAACCGAATTCACCTCGTGTTTGTAAGCTCGGAAGACATTCTGGTCGCTCCCGCCAAAATATGTATGCACCTGGCCAGGGAGAAGCGCATTCTCAGAGATATACGTCCTCCTGGAGTAGCTGTCCAGCGGTAGGATCAGCAATGACACAACGCCGACGAGGATGAAGAGAAAGGAGACGTAGGGAGGCAGCTTGAGGATGCGCGGGTCCCGCCTCAGGCTAAGGGCCGTAGCTGGCATGATGGGCGCGTCAGTATGTCAGACAGGCAAGACTTCACAGAAGAGTCGAGGACTTCTCGTGCAAAGGTAGGATCGCTCACAGATTAGACGCGGCATCTTGCAATACCGTTGACAGCTGCGCTCTTGCACCCTGCGAAAGTGACAGCTTGGAGGTTTGGAGGCAGGAGCTAAAGAGTGCAAGTACGATGCTGGCTGGTCAATCCGCAACCCCACACAGACCCTTACAAGTACTGTACCCCCCGATTGCTGCATAAGCCACACCCAATGTCAACTGCAATGCAGGCATCACTCTCGTGTCGTGACTGACATTGAATGCGATATTTGTGGTATGGTTCATTAGGAGATATTGGTTCTGAGGGCATAACGGGACTGGCTGGGAATGGCTCGAGGCACTCGTGGATCTTGGACGAACAGCAAGTACATGCCTGGACGACCTGGTTCAGAGCTTCTTTCAAGCCATTAATTTGTTGTATTTTAGAATATACGTCGCAAGGGTCTATCTGACCGAGACAAGTACAGCATCCTTTTCACACGAGTAGCCCCTTCGGCCTCCAACAACGCCCACACGCTGTGCTCGGATAATATAATACACAATAATGCCGCCTCCATAACCGAGCTTCAAGATGTCGTTCACTTCTTCAAGGCCCTAACCTCTGTGTAGATCCAACATATCCCAGCGGCACACCTGAGCCGCCGGCAGAACCGCCCGAAGACGGAAGCACGCCGAACCGGCCGTACGTCTTCTGGTCCACGCTGACGTAGTGCGGCAGCCGTCCCAGCAAGTTCAGCTTGCCCTCGATCCACCGCAGCGCCCACTCGGGTGGTGCCACAAACTTCATGTAACCCATGCCAGCTGTTTGCCATGATAAGTCGTCACGCCCAACCGTCAAGAACAGGGCCGGTGTGAACTTACCGAGGTAGCCAAATGCCAGCCCACAGAGATGCCCGAGGAGACTGGTTTGTGGAACAAGGGCCGAAAGGACAAGGAGGAGCATGAGCGGCGTCGTCCAGGTCGGGATGTGGTATGTAGCGATGACCAGGTGGGGATTCGTGCGGTATGTCCGGATGGCCTCCATCCCCAGGAGGAGGAACACCCAGATACTGTTGTTGCCAAGCTCGTTAGCAATGCTCGTCTTTGTGTCTTCGCTAGCAACGATGTTCACAAACCTAGCGCCCATCACAGCCGTATTACTCCTCAAGATCCCCCGCTCGATGAACACGTATAAAAGTGCCGGGAAGGTGGATAGAGCTAGCAGACTGTCAGCTTTCTCCGGTCATGCTGGACACAGGGAGCAGCACTCACGCCCAAAGAAGAGGGCCAGCGAGGTCAGCGTGCCATATTCGCTCTCGAAACGCTCGAGGAGGGGCGTCAGCGCCAGCACGTTTATGAGCGCATGGAAGAAGTTGAGGTGCACGAGTGGGAACGTGTTCGTCCTGTAGGCTGTATGAAGAAAACAACGTGAATCAGCTGCGTCCTGCCCACCGAGTATGCCGCACTCAACCGGATGTCCTCGCCCTGCACCTTATCCGTTCGAGCACCAACTATACCCTGTACGGGCCGACATGCGCGGATATGCCAATGCCAAAATGCGTAAACTTACCCGTCGTAAACCCAATCTTGTCCGGGACCAAAGCCCCCCATTCCTGGACGTCCCAGGTAGACTGCAGACTGAGGAACCACAACAGCACAATAAGGAAGACGATCAGGCGAGTGAACAGCGGCAGTCGGAAGACGTAGGACCTCGTTCGCAAGAAGTTAAAGCTCGGCATCCGGCTTGCGCCTGTCGCAGACGACGATGAAGGGGGCGCCATGGCGGATTCGACGGAGTGCCAGTCTCCTTGCCTACTGCGAAGGTGCTGGATTGGAGACCTCGGGCGCTTCAGCGGTGCCCGTGGAAGCGGTAGATATTTGTTGGCAGGAAGTCGAACAGGCCTTTCACCATCATGAGCCGCAACGAGAACGGGCAAACATCGGCCAAGCTCTGTGCAATTGAGTAGGAGTTGGAGAGCGAATGGGCCTAACTAGGAGTTCTCTAGCAGTTGCTTGTCCAGTCGCGTGAGACATTGATCCATACCAGGCCAAATTGAACCTAAATCGCCCCTTATCGTCCCTATCGGTCCGTGCTTATCTGGCATTTTCTCAAAGCACTCCAGTCTGGTTCAGTACATATTCTTCTATCGAGGAGCACTCAAGCCCCAAACTGACTAATACATGGAGAGAACAGGATCAGAGATTCATGAATGTCTTGGTGGCCTTCGGTGTATTTTCACATTTTTAATTCGTTTTTTGTACAGCTAATGAAGAAGTCTCTCGAGTGTCTGGTCGGGGGTTGATGACTTCCTAACAACATAGAAAAAGATTACAGAGACTCCAGCAAGATTCCGCGCAAAACCTCCAGTCCCGCCCTCGCACAATACAATGTGGTATGATATGATGCTTTTGAAATCAACGCTTATCGTCAGTGCCTCACATTCGTCCCCTACAACATCCTCAAGCGCTCATACGTCGCTTATTTGTGGGCCTTGGCCATGGTGTTGAGAGCGCTGCCGTTCTTGAACCACTCGATCTGGCCAGCGTTGAAGGTGTGCTGCAGCTTGACGTCAAAGGCCTCGCCGTCCTTGGGGTGGACGCGCATGGTCATGGGCTTGCCAACGGCGAGCTCAGTGCACATGATGTCGACCTACAATTATTGTTAGCTACACATGAACTTTCGAGCCAGGACTTTTCAGAAGCTGTGCAAACTTACCCGGTCATCGGGGCGGATCTTGTCGTAGTCGGCAGGGTCAGTGAAGGTAAGAGGAAGCATACCCTGCTTCTTCAGGTTGGTCTCGTGGATACGGGCGAACGATCGAGTGACAATGGCAAGACCACCAAGGTGACGGGGCTCCAGAGCGGCGTGCTCACGGGAAGAGCCCTCACCGTAGTTCCAGTCGCCAATGACAACCCACTTGATACCCTTGGCCTTGTAGTCACGGGCAACGGCGGGAACAGCGTCGTACTCGCCAGTAGTGGTGTTCTTGATCTTGTTGGCCTCACCGTTCTCAGCGTTGATGGCACCAATCAACATGTTGTTGGAGATGTTGTCCAGGTGACCACGGTACTTGAGCCAAGGGCCGGCCATGGAGATGTGGTCAGTGGTGGTCTTGCCCTGAGCCTTGATCAGAATGGGGCAGTCGAGCGCATCCTTGCCATCCCAGGCGTTGAAGGGAGACAGAATCTGGAGACGGTCGGAGCTGGGGGAGACCTGGACGTTGACAGAGGCGCGGTCCTTGGGGGGAGCCTGGTAGGTGTCTTGGCCAGGGTCGTAGCCGCGCTCGGGCATGGCAGCGACGTTGGGAGGGGTGAGCATGAACTCGTTGCCATCCTTGTCCTTGAGCTTGTCGGTCAGGGGGTTGAAGTACAGCGAGCCGGCAATGGTCATGGCGAGGACCATGTCGGGAGAGGTGACGAAGCAGTGGGTGGCCGGGTTGCCGTCGTTACGTCCGGTGAAGTTACGGTTGTACGAGCAGACAATGGTGTTGGCCTCGCCCTTCTTGACGTCCTGGCGATCCCACTGACCAATGCAGGGGCCGCAGGCGTTGGCAAGAACCATACCGCCGAACTCCTCGAAGGTGGCGAGCTGGCCGTCGCGAGCAATGGTGGCGCGAATCTGCTCGGAGCCGGGAGTGACAGTGAACAGAGACTTGGCCTTGATGCCGTGGTCCAGAGCATCCTGAGCAATGGCGGCAGCACGGTTCATGTCCTCGTACGAGGAGTTAGTGCAAGAGCCGATGAGACCGACCTTGACCTCCTCGGGCCAGCCGTTGGCCTTGGCAACCTCCTTGAGCTTGGAGATGGGAGTGGCAAGATCGGGAGTGAAGGGACCGTTGACGTGGGGCTCGAGCTCAGACAGGTTGATCTCGATGAGCTGGTCGTACTCGGCGCCCTCGTCCTCACGGAGCTCCTTGGCGTAGACACGAGCAAAGTCACCGATGTCCTGGCGCTTGGTGGCCTTCAGGTAGTCATACATGCGGTCGTTGAACGGGAAAACACTCGTCGTGGCCCCAATTTCAGCACCTGCCCAACAACCAGGTCAGAAAACAGCAAATCACATCAAGAAGGGGGAAAACGAACCCATGTTGCATATTGTGGCCATACCCGTGCACGAGAACGACTCGGTACCGGGGCCGTGATACTCGACGATAGCACCGGTACCACCCTTGACGGTGAGGATACCAGCAACCTTGGTGATGATGTCCTTGGGCGAGGTCCAGCCGGACATCTGGCCAGTCAGGCGGACACCAATGACCTTGGGGGCCTTCAGCTCCCAGGGAAGGTTGGCCATGACGTCGACAGCGTCAGCACCGCCGACACCGATAGCAGCCATACCAAGACCACCACCGTTGGGAGTGTGCGAGTCAGTACCGATGAGCAGACCACCGGGGAAAGCGTAGTTCTCGAGCAGGATCTGGTGGATGATACCAGAGCCGGGCTTCCAGAAACCAATGTTGTACTTGGCGCAGGCGGAGGCAAGGAAGTCGTAGACCTCCTTGTTGATGTCGCAAGCGCGAGCAAGATCCTTGGCACCGCCAATCTGGGCCTCAATCAAGTGGTCGCAGTGGACAGTGGTGGGGTTGGCAACGGAGGGCATGCCGGCCGACATGAACTGGAGAATGGCCATCTGGGCAGTGGCATCCTGGCAAGCAACGCGATCCGGTCGCAGCTTGAGGTAGGAGACGCCACGCTCAATGTCCTGACCGTGCGGGTCATCCAAGTGGGAGTAGAGAATCTTCTCGGCATAGGTCAGAGGTCGGTTGAGGCGACTCCGGACAATGGCGAGGTTCTCAGACATCTTCTTGTAGTTGATGAAGTTGTTCTCCTCCCAGTTGTTCTGCCTGACCTGTTATTGTGCCGAGGCATCACCGGTTAGCTATCAGAGAGCAACATACAGAGCCCACAGCGTGGAAAAGCCGCTCTCAAGACTCAAGGGTTCTGGAGCTTACCTTGCGGTCGAGAGGGCTGTCAGAGACAGTGGCCATGGTCCGTCGCAGACCCAGGCTGGCCATGGGGGCGCGGCTGCGGGCGACATGGCCCAGCACCTGACGAGTGGCCAACATGGTGACGACAGGTGGTGATCTTTGCTCGTGCGGGGGAGAGTCTCAAGCAGAAGAAAGCTCAATTGGAGTGGAGATACTGAAGAAAACACCACTTGAAGCTATCGCAAGGAAGAAATGAATCTATTATCAAGTCTCCTTGGGATGCCGACACAAAACAAAAGGAAGTCGTGAGTGTGAGGAAAAGAATTGGGTGGAGAGATTGGAGGAGGGTGGAAGAAATAATGAAGGCAGACAGGATTTGGGCTAATTGGCGCTAGATTGGAGGTGCTGCTTTCCTGCGTTGCCGTCGCCGCCTCCACGGCGAGGTACTTTCTCGGCTATGACGATGGGGATGGCGGGCCAACGGGCGAATCAGACGAGTCTGATTATTGTACCAGCAAAAGCGGGTTTGCGTCTCTCGGCCTCTCCCCTCTGAGAGCAGGTCAACGTCACAAGCTTTTCCCTTCTACCCTGGCTACGGGTGGAGCTCACAGTGGCGCTCCCTGCTGCCAGACCTGTGGCCAGGTGCTTGTGGGTGGGGCCAGTCGTGCCAGTGCAAGGTCCAGCGTGTCTCGACTAAGCTACCACTTGGCTACCACCCCCTGTTTTAGGCCTTCCCAAGCCCCGAAATGCCACTACCACTCGTATATACTTGCGGATTTGCGAGTGGTGGCCGGCCATGAGCGGCGAGGCTGCTCGGCATCTCCTAGATCACAGCACTGCATCGCATATCATGTCCGATCTGTCTTTGCTGTTGGCAGATGACCTTAGGATCCGAAATGCTCACTACAGTACAGTATCAACACCACAGCCTGAGGCCGTGAGTTGTGGTCAGGACACACTGAAGAACTATCGAGCCGACTGATTCGGGGTCCATCGAGATCATGGAAGCAGTATCTGACAAACCTTGCCGACGGGAACAGCAATTGTTACAGGGCCCTCAATCAGGTTCCCAATTCACATCCCAGAGGGTTATCCCACTACCTAAATCTGTGCAACATATTCCATGTCCCATGTGGCGAGGGAGATATTGACTGCCTCATTGGGCTCGCTCCTGGGGGTGAGAGGATGCTTTGGACCAGAGACCCTCGGTAGAACGGCACTTGACTCTTTTTGTTAATGATTTATTTGGGACACTTCTGATTGGTTTTTGTTGTTGCTTGAGCAATTGGCGTTCACGCCAATGGTCAGCAAGGTTGAAGGTACATGGACTGCCCTGATGCAAATTCGGCCGCCGACAGTGCAAAATGCCTCACGGCCGGCTCGGTACACGCCGGTACGCTGGCTTTCCTTTTCCTTGGACGTGGGGCGTCGCGTCTCCCCGGCCAACTGTACCGCCAGCTCTTCCGGCCTGTCCACTGTGAAAAAGGCTGCAGGGCTAGGTACTTTTAATCAGTTGCCGCTGCAAGAAGGTCCATCGATGTACTTGTACAGGCTCAATGCGGTTAGCAGCCTGGGGTAAGCTTTGTTCAAAAGGAACAGAGCTTGCAAGGTACACTGGGGAAATCTGGTTGACAAAAAGTGCCTTGTACGTCCTCTGAACTTGAAGGCTTCATCTGAACTGCAACACTGCCGGGGCAAGCCTCTTGTGTACCCGAGATGCCAATTACCAGACTTCCGGCGGCTTGTCAATTGCAGCTAGCAAGAGGGCTGCCACGACAGAAAAAAAAAATTGTTTGATCTGGAGACCTGGACATGGGGGTGGGTATGAGCTTCCCAATTCCAGTGGGGCGGTCATTGTTTTAGCTCGGCGATGCCCCGGTTCAGGCTCGGGCGCGACAGGCGTTACGAGTTGCTTCCGACCGAGCCTTGGCCTACAGTGCCCATTCCATGCACTGCAGGCTGATTCAAATCATCATGACAATGGCAAAAGAGAGGCAAATGTTTGGCATTTCTCTGGGATATTCATTGATCCATTGTCACGCCCAGACTTGACCGAAAAGTTCTTACGGAGGTGAGACGTCAGTATGTTGCAGAGGTGTGGTAGGATGATCTCATAAGGCAAGACCTGCATCAATCACCCATCCACAAGACAGCATGTCATCAGGTATGACCTGACATTGACTGGCAGCTGCAGGTCGATCCAGCCTGGACTTTGTTGTTATTTAGCTCGGCTTCCAAGGTTGCTTGGGCCAAAAGCCTTGGGGTGAGCCTCCCTGGCTAGTAGGTACCTCACCTCTGTACCTCTGTACCTGGCCCGGTCACTAAGGTAGTGAGCTGGACATGGAGGCTCTTCTCATTCTTATCGTTATCTCTACCAGGCCAGCCCACTACAGCCCCACTAAAAAGTTGCAAGTGCAAGATTTTCCCCAGACGCTTTCACCTCTTTCATGTGAGCCGGCCGCATTGAATGACAGATCGATCTACCCTTGCCCAGTCCTCAGCGAGAGCAGCAACAATAAGGCTGTCCCGATTACCACATAAACACGTTTCAAAATGGGCGTCCCCAACAAGCGAACCATCACCAAGACGCGTAACAAGACCAGGTATGTTCACTGTCACCGTTCCCATCCCACTGCAATGTCTCTGACGTCCAACCAGAGATGTCGACCAGATTAAGGCGGATTTGCTATCACCAAAACATCTCGCCCAGTGGAAGGACACTAAAGCAGCTGAAGACCTTCCTGGCCTAGGGAGGCATTACTGTGTCGAGTGCGCAAAGTGGTTCGAAACCGAGGTCACCCTCGTCGACCACAGGAGGGGAAAACCGCACAAGAGAAGGCAAGAACCCCGCGGGTTGAGAATGGGATAGCGAAAGGTCTATCAAAGCTGACACATCTTCTTCTGCAAAGGGTCAAGCAACTCAAGGAGGAACCATACTCGCAAAAGGAGGCCGAGGCCGCCGTCGGTTTGCGCACGGACAATGGCAAGCCCGAGAAGGCTCAGAACGAAGATGTCGCCATGGCGTGAGGCATAAGAATACTTTCACGACAAATCCAGTCAGACTTCAGCCCACCATAGACGCTGGTGTCTGCTCACATAATTGTGTGGCTGTGTGTTAGAACGTCGGGCGATGACTACACGGCGAGAGCCATATATCAGCGATGAGTATTATGAGGTTTGCCGGGCTTCTAGGTCCGACATCAGAGCCACCAGCAAACCCAAATACCCGCGTCGAGCCGGGAACCCAACTCACAGCAATGCGACTGGCTTCCGGCGATCCTTAATTGGCCTTCATGTGCCGAGATATGCCGGATCAACATCACTGAAACGAGGCGGACTTCGCTCTAGGGACCACAGGCACGTCGTAATTCAAGCATACCTTTGTGTCGCGGTACTATTAGACCCATTGCGAGGCACCCGTTCATCTTGAGTCTTCGAGAACTTGACGATCTCAACCAGTTTCGATGTCTCGTACGGGAGATGATGAATAGATAGCACGCAATGAGCAATTACAAGAGCATGGGGCTTAAGCCCCGTCAAATATAATCAACCCAGATGTATATGCCGAGCAAATTTGAGGTGCTATGGATTCAAAGACGGATCATGCGAACCTCCTCTAGTAACAGAGCAGTCTCTGGCAGCTAACATCGTCACCCCCAAAAAAGATTGACTTGCTTCTTGTGATCTTGAAAGCCCAGATGATTCAATGGCATCTGAATTGAGATGAATCAGTGACACCGCCTTGACGCCCCCGCTTTTCCTGAGTGGCAGCTATTGTACCTGAACGTGCTGGCATTCATTCGTACCTCGATGTAGTACCTGATAAGATAAAGAACACACCCATGTCAAAGCTTGGCCTTGCCCTGAACATCCATCAACCACCCCCCCAAGACCACGCGACCATCTTCCATCCGCCATCGGCCATGACCTCTCCATGCATGCTGTAGCCAGGTCCACGCGCATCGCCGTATCCAACCGAGCCATGACTTCCTCCGCATACGCCAACTACGCCCGGTTGGCGCAGAATGGCTCCCCTGGCGTCGCCGCCCCGACCAAGCAGCACCTGCAGCAATACACCGTCACGGCCATGAGCCGCTGGTCCATCTTGAATAAGCAGCTTCCGCCCGTCGACAGGATCAAGGCGCTTCATGTATACGATTTTGACAATACTCGTGAGTAATTGGTCCCCTGGACACACCATGGCCCCTACCCAACCCAATATGAACAGGCCTTGTAAACTGACATCATTTGCTCCTTCCCAGTGTTCAAGACCCCGCTACCGAATCCGAAGCTATGGAACGGACCGACTATAGGATCGCTGGCCAGCCCTGATGTGTTCATAAATGGTGGCTGGTGGCACGACAGTCGCATCCTCGCCGCCACTGGCGACGGCCTGGCCAAGGAGGAACCCCGCGCCTGGGAAGGATGGTGGAACGAGAAGGTTGTTGAGTTGGTTCGCTTGAGCATGGAGCAGAAAGACGCCCTCTGCATCCTACTCACGGGCAGGTCAGAGACAGGCTTCGGTGAATTGGTCAAGAGGATGATTACAAGCAGGGGGCTTGAATTTGACCTCGTTACACTCAAACCCGCCGTGGGACCCGACAACCAGCGCTTCAACAGCACCATGCATTTCAAGCAGGTCTACCTTGAGACTCTGATGGAGACATACAAACACGCCGAGGATATTCGCGTATACGAAGACCGTCCGAAACACGTGAAGGGCTTCCGTGATTTCCTCGCTGAATACAACATGAGACAGAGTGTCCCAGGCCCTCCTGGCCGGACTCGAGGACCCATCGGTGCGGAGGTCGTACAGGTTGCCGACCTCGCCACCAATCTGGACCCTGTTGTCGAAGTTGCCGAAGTGCAACACCTTGTCAACGCGCACAATGAAGCTCTCGTCAAGAGGTCCCACACTCACCGCGGCGACAGGCTGATCATCAAGAAGACCGTCTTCTACACTGGCTATCTCATCAGCCACGCGGATACTCAACGTCTGTTGACCCTGGCGCAGCTGCCGGCTGACGTCGCAGATAGCGACCTCAAGATCCTTGCTAATAACATCATGATCTGCCCGCGCCCTTGCCCGCGTAGTATTCTGGACAAGGTCGGCGGCATGGGTGCCAAGATGAAGTGGGAGATCACCGGCACGGCTTGCTTCGAGAATAGCATCTGGGCGGCGAGTGTCCGGCCTGTCCCGCGGGGCGCAAAGTTCCACACCGACAATCCGAGCCCGTTTGTGGTGCTCGCCGTACGCAAAGGGTCCAGGCCAGTCGATGCTGGGAAGATACAGAATTGGAACCCTGTCAGCCCCGAACAGGCGCACGTATTCGAGACCACAGTCGGAGAGAAGGTCCTTCTCAGGATCGAGCCAGACAACCCCAGTGAGAATGCATACGAGAGCTTGTTCCCCAAGCTAGGCACCGGTGGGAAGCGTCCCAGACAGCCTGATGACGGCGGCATCGAGCCCTCTCTCAGGCAACCGGGTGTGCCGCAGGGACCTAGTGGTGGTGGTCGTGGGTTTTTCCACCAGGGAGGCAGAGGTGGTCGCGGCGGCCGAGGCGGCAGGGGCTTCCATACCGGAGGCCGCGGTGGTCGAGGTGGCCGGGGAGGGCGGGGTGGCAGAGGTAAGCACCACTATCACTCACTTGATGATGTTGGCCGAGGCAGTCATCAAGTGGACTATGACGATAGCTCCCAGCAACAGCAGCAGGCTTTTGCCAAGAACAACACTAGCCAGAACCCTAGCGGATGGCAGCAGCAGCCACCGACTGGGCCGGCAGCACAGGTTGGCAACCGCGGCGGCTTTGGCTCTGGAGGCCCAGAGCTGAACAACTACTACTGAGTGGCAGTCTGCTCTGGCTCCCTCTGTCTTCCTCGGAACCCCTCATCTGATCACAGACCGTGCTGTCTTTTGTTTTGTAGCCTTCAGGCTTGCATTTAGCTAGGAGTTTATTTTCCCAGGTTTTTGGCGGGTTTGTCTCTATTGTACGGTCTCTCGAGGGAGTTAATCGGTACTCATCTATAAGGCTAGTTCTCGAACATCGGAGGGCTTTGTTAAGCAAGGTATAAGGAAAATGATGTATGCTTGTCAGGTGCCCAAGAGGGGCTTGTTTTTCCATTTATTAGGCTATACCCGGAGCGAAAGGCATCGCAAAATGAGACATTTGGGCCAATTGCGGCGAGCACAAGTTACTTTCCAGGTGGCGACGGCGAAAGGCTCTGGACGATCTTTTGAGCCACTCCCAAACTATGAAAGATGTGTGAATTGTCAAGTCATCTGGATGATACGGGTTGCATGCATGTCAAGATCCGAGTGAGTAATATTCGTATTGATGAGTAGTTCCTGTGGCCATCTAGAAGAGCATATGAAAAAAAAAGCAGCATCTGAATGCTCCCCTGCCGTACGCTGTACCCTGTCAAACTCCAGAAGAACTCCATGCTGGTATGTCATGCGTAGTCTTTGCTCAAAAACAACTGCTTCTCTTTCCATGCAAGAAAGCATGCCAAAAATGCAACAGTCTTGCCTTGCCCATGGGAGAACAAGGTAATCTACCCACTAGCAATGTTGGACTGATTGCCGTCGTCTTGGTCTGATGGATTTAACAAGTCCTGAACCGTGAGGCTTCTGCGCTTTCTCTTCTTTGGAGAAGGAGTCATGTCGCTCCTTGACCGCTTCCTGCTTCTGAGCCTGCTGCGATAGTCGCCCGCGTCATCTTCGTTGGATGGGTTCAACAAGTCGTCAATGGTGAGACTTTTGCGCTTCCTCTTCTTTGGCGAAGAAGTCATGTCGCTCCTTGACCGCTTCTTGCTCCTGAGCCTACTGCGATAGTCACCCACGTCGTTTTCGTTCGACGGGTTCAATAAGTCGTCCACGGTGAGACTGCTGCCCTTCCTTCCTTTGGGTACATTGCCCTCGCCGTCCTTCGATGCCGTCTCCTTGCCTCTGGCCGTAATGCAAAAGCCGCTCTCGTCGTGGTCAATCGACGCGGAGTTGTCGTTCCACGAGTCCCACAGGCTAGCGACCGTGATGCACTGGCCGCGCTCCGCGTCCGACGAATCGTCGCCCTCGCAGCCGCAGCTCTGAGATCTACGGACCGTGATGCACAGCCCGCTGTCCCCGTCGCTCACCGTCTCGCCTTCGGCGTCCTCGTCCGACGAGCTCTCCCAGGGGACACGCTACGCCCCGGCGCCGGCGGCGCCGACAATGTCCTTCAGGACGCCCTTGTCGGCCAGCTTCTGCACCCAGCCGTGCAGCAGGGGGCCGTAGTCCTTCTTGCGCCCGTCCACGCGGCGCGCGTTGTCCTCGTCGGCCGACAGCTCGGCCGCGTACTCGGCGCGCAGGCGGCGGCGCTCGGCGTCGAGCTCGGCGCGCAGCTCGAGCGCCCGGGCCGTGCCGAACTCGGCGTGCGCGATCCGGTCGGTGAATTCCCGCGGGAGGGCGGCCGCGGCGTCGCCTACGCTCTCGATGTCGGCGGCGCGGTCGAGGCCGAACTTGGACACGTCGGATAGGAGGTCGTCCGGCTGCGGCGCCCACCCGCCTTCGCCGCCCCGGCCGAGCTGGTGGGCGTCGAGGACGAGCAGCTGACGGAGGGTGAGGGCGAGGCTCTGCCGTATGGCGGGCAGGGCGGAGCCGCAGATGGCGAGGAGGTTGAATGAGAAGTTGTCCTCGTCGGCGTCCTGGAACATGCGCAGTTCGATGCGGGAGCGGGCCTCGGCGGCCCAGTCGTCGCCGTCGAAGGTGCCTGGTCGGTCGGAGGTTGCTTGGTTAGAGAGGTGCAAATCTTTTGCGAGGAATCTGGGGGATGAGGGGATGGATCGCCCTTACCTAGACAGAAGGGCTTGTGCTGCAGGCCGTCCAGCTCCCAGACCTTGTCCTCGATAGGGACGTAGGCGATGAAGTGGAACGCGGCGTCGACAGCTCGCTTCTTTTTGGATTTGGGTTTTGGTTTTGGTTTTGGCTTGGCTTGCTTTGCCGGCGGCTTCTTGCTCTTTGAGGGCGAGGGGGAGGGTGATAATGATTCAGGAGCTCTGGCTGCGAAGTCGAACTTGTTGTTCAGGTGGAGGTCCGCCCTGAGGATGTCTATGCGTCTGAGGTATTTGTTAGTTGTTGTGTACGGGGGGGGGTGTGCGGTAGAAGATGTGCCTCTCGAGGACGCGCGATCTTACCTGGCAAAGGAGTTGTGGGCAGCCCTGATGGTCGGGTTTCTGCTCATGGCGTAGCCGCGTAATGCAGGGCATAGATTCCTGGTCTCGGCCTTGAAGTCGTCCAGCGTCGGGCCCAGGTGTAGCCCTGAGCTGTTCATGGCTATGTTGAGCATAGCAACAGTAGCACAGGCATCTGCTGTTGTCTAGGGGAGTTCTGTTAGGTTCGGGGTCATATGAGAGAAGAGAAAGTCACGGTCGTACCTGATTCGCAAACCAGACTCCCTCTGGGCAATCTTGCCTCTCCTCCTCTTCAGACTCCTCGACAAATTGGTAGAGGAATATCAGACCATGGATTGGTTTGCTTGGAACACTGTCAGCATCAAGGTGGCTTGCTGGGCTCACTCGGCTGTCACTCACGGCACAAAAGCAAAAGCGTCTTCATCGATAGAAAACACCTCCTGAATCTTGGCATCTTCTATACCAATCTGCTTCAAAATATGATTGAAAAAGGCCTTGGAGGGGTTGTTAGTTCATGATGGGGATATCTGACTTTCGAGGCGTGAGGCGAACTTACAGGCTCTGATTCAACCTCGGTCCAGCCTCGCCACTGCTGGAGCTCCTCTGGCCGCATCGGCGCGAATGCCTCGAGAAGCACGTCGTCTGGCAGCGGCACCTCTGGTGGCGGGGACGCCGTGGCCTTACGCGGCGGGTTCCGTCGCTGCACAATCTTGATCCTCTTGTTGAGCTCCCCCCTCGAGGCGGAAGGAGCAGGCTTGTACTCGGCTTCTTGATCGAATGCGGCCGGCCTCTTGCGGGCACGGGTCGACCGCCGGACCAAGGGCTGAGCGTCTTGGACTTCTAGGGCCTCGTCTACCTGACGCACCTTTGCGCGCTTCATTTTCGGGGGCTGACCGGTGTCTGCGGGAGAAGCTGCGGGTGGTGGTGGTGTTCGAATGAGCGGGACGGCCATGAGGAGGGGCTGCGGTGTGACAGCTGCGACGAAGAGTCTGGCCAAGACAGAGAGAATTAGGAAGAGAAGGTTGATAAATGCGACATGAAGTGGTTTTGTAAAGAAAATTTATGAGTTTGGTCGTCTATTCGGGGTCTTGTGCCCGGAACAAGAAACAAATGTTGTCACTCCAAGCTGTTCGGGAGCCGTTAAGGTGACTTTGACTTGAGCAGGAGCAGCAGCGACCACACACCCGGGCTGGAGGGCAGCTCGCCGTTTCGACTGAATGGTCATATGCTGGCAGCAATGGATATTCACGATAAGCTCAGTCGTATATATTAGTGTGGACTGAATGGTTGATGTGACTTCTTTCAATAACTGCATTGAATAGGCAGGCTCTGACGTAGAGTCAATTCAAAGTAATCAGGCCCTGTGGGGGCGGGCAAACAACATCTTTCGCGCCCGAGCGTAGCTCTTCATACCCCTTTCGAGCTTGGAGGCCCTATTGAGAGAATCGTCAAGCCTATTGTTGATTGACTTGGGTTTTGTTTGAGAAGTCCTGGCTTTAACGAAGCTGCTGGAGTTTGATATCTTGAGATGCACGTAGGATTGATATAAGATAAGCTCCTTCAGCGTTCAATTGTATCTTTTGAATTATCTCTGCTTTAAAATAGGGGACAATGACTAGTTCTTAAAGAGAAAACACAAGTTAATTAAAAATTATATAATATAAATTACAGAAAATCAATAATAAGAGTAATTTTCACTAGCTAGATACGGTTAAATAAGTGATATATCTTTTGTTTATCCAGGTGGTTTCTCTAAGTACTTCGCCCTAGCTCTAGAGGCTCTGTTAAGAGCTTTGGAAAGCTTTGGCCAATCAGAGTCGGCAGGCGGCCCCACAGTTACACTGGTGCCTTTTGTTGCTCTGCAAATCGCCGGCGCGCGTTACTGACGTGACGAAAGAACCACGAGGAGCCCCAGCAGCGCTATGGAATTTTTGGCTGGACAAAGGATTGGTCGACAACGCTGGTGAGCCTGTACGTTTGCATTTTGCCCTCACTCGCCATCCAGCCCCTCTGTCGCTATATCCGCCTGGGGCCCAAAGAGAACTGGTGCGTGTCTTTTTTAATCTACGTCCTGCTTGTAACCAAGCGCCTGGCCGCTTCTCTTCTCCAGGCTGACCTCTGTTTCTAGTTCCAGGCTCACGAGGCCTCTCCATCGCGACCCGCTTCGAACATACATCTCTCCCCCAGAAGTCTGGCATCACGGCATGCCATGAGCGCGACGCCCAGAGTCCGGTCGGGGGCTTTCCCCCAGACCCCAGGCACCGTCGCGAGAGGAGCTCCTCCCACTCCTTCACCAACACCGCCTCCCGCCGCTTCGCGAAGAACATCGCAAAAATCTCCCTTGCCTGTCGCTCCGCGGGACAATGCTCCCCAAACCGCCGCCGGCCAGCCGGTCATCTCTCTCAACATCATCCCAGCGCCGTCCCAACGCTTGTATGCTTGCGCCGTCTACCTTGCCCTACACGCATACCGCATCTACGACTGGGTGCAGCTGATAGAGGAGCATGCCGACTCGGTGCCGCTGTTTCTGAAATGGCTTATCATTGACCTCGCTTTTCTGTTCGGCCTTCCAGAATTGAGGATACCATGGCTGGAACTGGCACAACCAACAGTAATCACACTGTTCCTCATCCACGCCGTACTCAACTGGATGCTCATGTTCAACATCGCCATGCCCTGGACCTCCTTCATGCTGGCATTCGTCAAGGTTTTCTACGACAAGGAGCTCTCCATCTCGGAGAATTATGTCCAGACGAGCAACATTCTGCATAACCACTCTCTCATCATGGGAAAGCAGATTATCAATATCCTTCCCGAGGGCACCGCTATCATGAACCCGGAAGGCGTCCCCTTCTGTATCGGAGGCGACAAACATTCGGCCTCGATCCCGCTCCACTTCAACGCAACCGCGCCCGTTGAGGTGGAGCTGATTCGAGTCGACTTGGATACGAATCACGAAGAGTCCCTCAAGCTTTCCAAGTCGCAGCTCCGCGAGATTGAAAAGCTGAGCAAGCGCCAGGCGCACGAAGGTGGCCAGACCGCAGTGCAGTACAATTTCCCAGTCAAGAAGACGGGCGCGTACAAGCTCGGCAAGGTCCTCGATGAGTACAAATTGGAGGTTCAGAGACACAGTCCCTACACGTTCGTAGTGGCTTGTCCCAGCGCCCGCGTCCGGGCCTCGCCCTCGGCGATTCGCTGTCTTGGTGACCTCTCCGACCTGTCTCTTCAGGTCGATGGCACGCCACCGCTCAAGATTGTCTACAGTCGGACCATCAATGGCAAGGATCACAGCTTCCACTTCCAGAGTTTGCAGCCCGAAGGATTCTCATCTCCGCTGATGGGATCACTCCGGTCCACTACCCTCACCATTCCCGACGAGAAGGACATCTCCTGGGCCCGGCCTCACCAGGTTATGGTCAGCCTGAACGAGTCTATGCACGCTGGAGGCGATTGGCAGTACTCGGTCGACGAGGTCCACGATGCCTTTGGAAACGTTGCCAAATACGTCTCGCCCGCTGAGGACCCTGATATGCGCCCTAAGCCGAAGCATCTTGTCCAGAACTTCCATGTGCAGGAGCGCCCGCGCGTCCGTCTCCAAGGCTGTGATTTGCGCAATCCGCTCAAAGTTGCCAAGAACAAGGCCACCCCATTGCCTGTCAACTTTGAGATTGCGGGCAAGGTCCCGGATGACACCTCGCACACGATCACTTGGCAGTTCTCACCCATCGACACCTTGACTAAGAGCGGCGATCATGGCGATGTGATCACGGAGGGCTCGTACCAGAGCAAGACCGCGAGGGACAGGCCCATGATCTCAGCTCCTGGTCTGTATACGCTCAAGTCGGTGACTGCGGGGTCCTGCGAGGGCGAAGTCCAAGAACCTGCCTCGTGTCTCCTGCTCAATCCCTTGGAGCCAAAGTTGACGCTGCGGTCCGAAGAGATTCCGGACACGTGTGCTGGAAACTCCGTCGGCCTCCGTGTCGATCTGGATCTCGTTGGCACACCGCCCTTCGTTGTCTACTACGACGTCGTGACCAATGGCGATCCAAGACGCGAACGAGTCAATATTCCAGGCATGCGATATCAGCTCGAGCTAAGACCGCGTGTTGCAGGAAGGCATCAGTACATTTTCAAGGCTGTTGACGACCAAGTCTACAGGGGCCAACTGCTCACTGGGGCTGATAAGGCCTTGTACCAGGATGTCAAACCTGCTGCGAGTGCCAACATCCTCCGACCCACCGGCAGGATCAGTGCTTGTTTGGAAGAGCAAATTGGAATAGACATCAATCTCTCCGGCGATGCGCCCTTCACCCTCGAGTATGAGCTCCTTCACGAGGGTAAGAAACAGCAATTCAAGGCTGCAGACATCATGGAGTCGTCGCATAGGATCACGACGCCACCCTTCGTTGAGGGAGGGGAGTATGCGCTTGCTCTGACCAGCATTCGAGATAAGAATGGCTGTCGCAACTTCTTGCAAGACGAACTGAAGATCTCGGTCCGCCGTCAACGGCCCAGAGCCGCCTTTGGCTTCATTGACGGCAAGAGAAAGACAAAGGTCGTGGAAGATGCCAGGGTCAAGCTTCCTCTGCGGCTGACTGGAGACGGACCCTGGAGCGTCACCTATCGCAACACAGATGCCGACTCTCAGCCTATCAAGCGGACCCTGACCAATGGTAACGGCTTCATCGATGTTAATGGCCGCGGTACCTATGAGATCGTCGAGGTCTCGGATAATCAATGCCCCGGAACAGTTGACCGCAGCGCCGCAACGTTCGAGGTCGACTGGTTCAAGCGACCCGAGCTGGCCTTGGTTTCGGGAGAGAGTATCACCAAACAACACGGCAAGTTTGTCAAGCAAGACGTGTGTGAAGGTGACATTGACGGCTTTGAAGTCAATCTCCAAGGTAAGCCATGGCGTTTGACGACTTTCATTTGGTACTATGGACTAACAGCTGTCAGGCTCCCCCCCCTATCACGTCGAGTATGAGATTCGACATAAACCAAAGCAAGGCTCTAGTTCGATGAGCCGCAAGTCATTCGACGCAGTCCTCTCCAAGGCTTCTATCCAGATGGATACCGCAAAAGCCGGCTTGTACACTTACAAGTTCTCCGCCCTGGCGGATAACCTCTACAATGACGACAAGAAGTTCACGCCGCTCGTACTGGAGCAGACCGTCAACGCCAAGCCATCTGCAACTTTTGACAAACCAGGGCTCTCCTTCAAGTACTGCAAGTCAGAGCAAGAGAATGAGGAGACGATCCCGATTACGCTTACTGGTGTCCCGCCATTCTACGTTGAGATTGAGATCAAGCATCAGAGCGGCTCAGCCCCGGAGACGTACCGCATTCCCTCCATTGACACCCACAAGTATGGCATGAAGATTCCGCGCGAGCACCTCCGTCTTGGCACTCAACATGTCCGCATCCGTCAGGTTCGGGATGCTAGGGGCTGTCAGCGGACATCGGAGCTCGGTGGTCCGTCGGTGCAGCTTCAGCTCTTCGACGCACCGGCAATCTACCCGCTCGAGACACGCACGGATTACTGCGTCGGCGAGCGTATCGCCTACACCCTCTCGGGCACACCTCCCTTTGAGGTCTGGTACACGTTTGACGGGGTTAAGCGCCGCGCCAAGTCCACCACAACCACCTTCCGCCGTGTCGCCGAGGCTCCCGGCGAGTTCTCCATCACGTCCATCAGCGACAAGGCGTCCGAGTGCCAGGCCGCTGTGGGTCTCACCAAGACCATCCACCCGTTGCCGTCGGTGCGTATATCTAAGGGTCGCAACGTCCGCGTCGATATCCACGAGGGTGGGGAGGTCGAGATCCTCTTCGAGTTCTGGGGCACGCCGCCGTTCGAGTTCACCTACACGCGCAGCACCAACGCCAAGAAGGGGCAGAAGTCGCAGGTGCTGGAGACCCGGCATGACACTTCCTACGAGCATAGCAAGGTCATCCGTGCGAGCCAGGAGGGTACGTACGAGGTGGTAGCCATCAAGGACTACTACTGCGCGTTCTCGACACTGCAGGTCGAGGGTGGTGGGTCGAAGGATAAGGGGCAAAAGCTGCTACAATATTAAGGAGGCCCTGGATGGGGAAACCTGAAAGGAATTGTATATAGGTAGATTTCAGGGAACTGTGTAATATGCATGAGCATGGCGTTTATGGAAATTGGGTTACTCGAGGCTGAGAGACGACGAGAGAGACAGAGAAAGGAACGAGCAAAGAACTGCCACTTTATGTTTTGTTAATGTCTTTAGAGAAATGAGAAACATCAATCCTCATACAAGAAGAACTTGAGTCAATATCACGATGTTGGAGATTAGTGCTCATCTAAGCACCAGGTACTCAGCCGCTTTTCGGGACTCGAAAACTGACAATCTGTAGTCGGGAAGGAGCGTTCGCTAGAGTGTGGTTGCCGTTTTGCTGTTTGACGAGCAACTCCCGTCGGCCCAAACTCCAATCCATCTCTGCGTCCACCGGCGGGAAAAGGCGAAAATTTCTGCAGCCTTACACACCCTCTTCAACGCGGAAATTTGACAGGTCAAAGACACTTCACAAGCGTCAAACACGCGACTAGGTATATCGTGGAAACGCTGGCTAGTACGAACTATTTTGGCGGTGGCTTTTTCTCTCTTTTCCCTCGTGGCTTGTCGGGGAGACCGGTTTGGTTTACCCAAAGGCTTTTTCTTTTTCCCCTCTTTTGACTGCAATGCTGCAAAGCGTTCCAAAAGGGAGGGATCGTGAGACAAGGCATGTAAACACTCGAGGCAGGTAGGGGATTCAGCACCCACCCCCACGCGCCTATTCGGGTCAGACTGAGCGAGACACATATGCCCTGGTGTCTCGGACTGTCTGGTAGCCGACAGCAACACACACCACACGTTGTCAATGTGCCTGTCCGCCAGCTGACTGTTGCACTCGCAGAACGAACAGCACGAGGCGGCGCCGTCTCGTGGCTATCTCTGCTGGAAACCCCATGAGGCAAAGCAGCCGGCGTGTACTGAACATAATCTAAGTTAGGGCATCTTCCTGGGCTTGTCGTGTTCAAGGCCCACAGATCTAGGGACCGTTTCCCTGTGCATCCACCGCGATAGCCAGGCGGTGTCCCTTTTTGGCCCGCGATATGTGGGAGAGGAGGACGCAGAGCGATCGCAGTACCTACTCCGTAGGTAGGTATGACTGCCGATCCCTAGTGATACTAATTTAGGCGGCGTCCAGTGCGAGATGAGATTGGGTCGGGCGCGCTATCCCGAGCGAGTCCCCGACGACGCATGGACACAGTCGTGTGCAAGATTGACACAGTCTCAGCCGGCTGTTCGGCACAAAAATTGCGTATGGGCAAAAGCACAAAGTCGATCTCGTGTCTGCCAAAACGCTACCCCAGAGCAGCGTGGATGGGCAAGTCGCCCGAGAGCCATCCGTCTCCCGCGATTCCGCGAGGGTCTCGGTGTCTGGGTGGGCTTCTCTGCCAATTTTTAGATTGCCCAACTCAGTCACTAATGGCAGGTCCACAGCATGCCACCCGTCATAACGAGATAGCGCCAGGGGCCTCGCCAGTATGCTACCAGCTCCATGCAACCCATTCGTCACACCGGCGCAACTCCTAGTACAAGGGAAAGAAAAGTTTTGGCTGCTCGCGGGCTGGACGCCCATGCGATTGTCATGCCCATACCTATCCAGGACTAATAGGCCAAAAAAGCAAGCATATTCACGGGGTACCGTTCTTGGAAGAAGGGCAAAATGTGTCGGCAGTGCGAGAGTGCCCCAGTCGGTTGCAAAAAAGCAACAGAATGCATACCCCCTCTCTGAGCAGACTTTGAGTCTGAGATGCTGGAATGCATTTCCAGGGCGATATACTCAGCACAGGGTTGGCATTGCTTCTTCTGAGCAAAGCACGAGCTTGACCAAGTTCTTACTCATCCTTAATACGCCTCTCTAGGATCTCAAGGTGCCACCATCCGTTTGCAGATTCTTCCAAACATGACCACACGCGCATTACTCGCGGCAGCGTGGTTAGCAAGAACGGCTACGGTCCCCTTGGACGATTGGTAGCCAGATGGCTAATGAAGTACCTCACGAACCGTTAGACGGTGCGACACGCTGTCTCGAGCTAGGCTGATACTCAAAGACGCAAGCGTGCGTGGGCAAACTTGGGTACCTGCTCCGTAGCTCGAGGACAACTCAAGAGATGCAGACCCAAGAGACCCCAACAGGATGCTTGGGAGGTCCCGGAAACCCCTTTTCTACCAGCTATGGTCGATACATCCTGGCCAAGACTCCCCACCGATTGGAGGGACTGGAGAGACGAACGCCTGGTAAAGCGAACTACAACACAACTAGGAATTCAGCGGGGTGGTGCCCGACCCGCTCTGAGCAAGACGAAACCTTGAAAGTACTGCCTCCACAGTCCAAAAAGGGTTGGATGGGCTTCGATTTGTTCTGACCTCGACTTGTTGATGTCAGCTCCCCAATCGAAGAGCAGAGATAACTCCCCGGAACCTCGCCTCGCCTCGTAGCGGAGGGGGATGCTCTGCCAAGGCCTTACGTAGACATCAGTCGGTTGGACATTTGCATCTCTCGTCCCGTGCACACCCACGCCCATGCGCGAGAGACATCATCAGCAGGCTCTTGGAACTCGCGCCTTATTGCAGTTGAACCAGCTTCATCACCCAAAACCTTATCCACTATACTCTGCTTCGGGCCCTTACCGTCACGGCGGGCTCTCTCTCTCATGGTGGTCCTGACTCGGCACTGTACATGACCGCTTTCTTGGCCCGTGTTCGAAGTACGAAGCAATTCTACTGCCCTTTTCCTCGTTGACTGATCCGGCAAGAGGACCAAGACACACTTTGCTACCATACCATACCCGGTCCAGTAGGGGGGAAATCTCCATCCCCAATCATAAGTCTCGGAGTGTAGGTACTCTGTGCAAGTCTGCGCCGGCGCCCATTTTGCCGTGGTCCCCTGCCCACCCGCATTACGTATTGACGCCATTTTACACCGGACCGACACAACCACGCAAAAAAGCAGTTGCTGGACTGTGACCTCCTAATAGTGGAAACTGGGTCTCCCCCCCAGCTCGCCGTCTGTACTTTGTACTTTGTACTAGCCAAGGGAGGCAAAACCAGCGAAAAGCCAGGGAATGCACACCCAGAAGAGTTGATTGAACCTTTCTCTCCCCCATCGCTTGGTTCTGGGCCTAGTTTAACACCTGCGACATATTATAACCCGATTTTCAACGACATCGAGACCAGCCGCCGACCAGAGACTCCGACCACTGGGCGACACCGTACGCTTGCGATTGCGACCAGACGCACTCGTCTGATTGGGGAATCGACGGCTTGATTACCAGCTTCGCCTCTTACCCCGTCTCTTGTCGGCGCAATCATGCCGCCTGAAGGCGAGATGGCTGCGCAGGGTGCCGCCAACAACTCCAGCGACTTTGTGAGTCCCCTCCAGCCGCGAGACGTCGCGAATCGAGTCCAAGGGCCTCGAGGCTTATGCACGGTGCTAACTTGGAACAGGTTCGCAAGCTATACAAGTATATACGAACCCTCGTTGCTGGGCGATGCCCTCTATTCATGTGCGCCGAAGCTGACCTGATCTGCCCTGCAGGATGCTGGAAGACCCCGCCTACAGCCACATCGTCCGATGGGGAAACGAAGGCGATAGCTTCGTCGTTCTCGAGGTACGATTGATGCGAAAACGACTGGTCCAAGGAACGCGCCGCAAGATCTGAAGCTGACTGTGATGACTCTACAGAACGAGAAGTTCACCAAGACAATCCTCCCAAAGCACTTCAAGCACAGCAACTTTGCGAGTTTTGTTCGACAACTCAACAAGTACGACTTCCACAAAGTCAGACAGAACGAGGAGAATGGCCAATCACCGTATGGACCGGGGGTATGTGACTGGAAAGCCGTTCTATTTTGGGCCGTATCTGATATTGATCTTGCATTACAGGCCTGGGAGTTTAAGCATCCCGAGTTTCACCAGAACAAGAGGGACAACCTGGACAACATCAGGAGGAAAGCGCCTGCTCCAAGGAAAGCTCCCGCTGCCGAGGAGTCATTCCCGGCGGCACAGCAGATTGTTTTGCTGAATGAGCAGCTGGTTGCAACACAACACCAGGTCCAGGCGCTCCAGGAACAGTACATGTGGATAACACACACCAACAAGTTGTTGGCAGACGAGGTCTTGACTCTTCAGAAGGCTGTCAAAGCTCAGTCACAGGTGCACCATGAGCTGATATCCCACCTGAACAACGCCGACGAGAGGCGGCGCAACAGCCGCCACTCGCAACACTCGAGCCACTCAAGCCACTCGGGACCAACCTTCCACAGCGGCGGCATGAACATGCTCCCTGACGCCGCTGACGAGCCACCTCCGGAGCTGCGCAGAGCCCGCGAGATACTCAATGGCATTGCCCATGACCCAGCCGCGGACCGCGAACTCGAAAGGATCAACGCCATGATGCAGACCGGTTCCCCTCCAGACTCCGCCACGTCTTCCATCATGTATAACCCGCCCAACTCGGCCGCCATGCCAGTCGTGGCCGATAATGTCGGTGACATGAAGCACATGGTGTACCCCATGGGCCAGACCGCAGGCATCGATCCCTTCCATGCCGACCATATCAACAACATCCCGTATACCCGCCCCTTGAGCAACCCAAACACCATAGCAGACGTGCCCGCCCAGATCACACCGCCACCCGCCAAGGACGCCGGAGGGTCGCTGTGGGGCCAGAGAAAGCCCAAGATTCTGCTCGTGGAGGACGATAAGACGTGCGCGAGGATTGGGGCCAAGTTCTTGTCGCAGGTCGAGGCTTCCGTCGACATTGCTGTGAGTAAACGCCTCAATGGGTATGGTGCTGGTGGTGGGTAAGACGCTGACCGGGATTGAACAGCGTGATGGTTCCGAGGCAGTCAGCAACGTGAATGCCAACCCCGACAAGTACGATCTGATCTTCATGGACATCATCATGCCCGTGTTTGACGGCGTGTCGGCGACGGCCTGTATTCGCATGGTGCAGGCGCGCATTCCGATCATCGCGATGACTTCGAACATCCGAGGCGAGGATATCGCAACCTACTTCCAGTGGGGTGAGTTTTGCGCAACGACTTGCACTTACCTTGACGCTTAGTCTGGGAAACCATTTCCTAATCGAGACGCAGGCATGAACGACGTTCTGGCAAAGCCCTTTACCAAGGATGGTATGGTCCGGATACTGAAAAAGCACCTGTCTTACCTCCTCAAGAATCCTCCAGGGCCTGGGGAGGATCTTGGTCCCAACGGCGGTATGCAAGCTCCTGCTGGCTACGCCAGCGCAAGTATGACAATGGGTCCTGGCGGCCAAGCTGGGATGGCCACAGCTGGCGGGCAGATGAAGTTTGAGACGACCCCGATCCAGTCCCCTGCCGCGACGACGGCGTCATGGCACTCTCCTGGCGGTGGGCAGATAGCGCAGGCCTCACCCAATCTCGAAGCGACCAGTTACATGAACGCTGTCAATGTGAACGGAAGTTCGCAAATGCCAATCACTCCTGGTGGAACGCACCGACCGCAGTTCCAAGGCGGCATGGTACCTCATGTTGGGACTCCGCCGATACGGAGCATGCCCGAAGGCATGGGGATGGAAGGTCCTCCGGAGAAAAGACAACGGATGTACGGCCCCGGCCAGGTCCAGTATGGCCAATAATCTTTTGTTTCCTCTTTTTCATTGTCACGAAACACGGGTATATCGACAAACGACAAACACACATTGCGAATCGTATATCCTCAAAAACTTCTGGTCATGGCTCCGGCAGCCCGCGCGGGGTTAATGTAGAGCGGAACGGCTCGATTCGATTCGGTTCGCACTCGGTATTCGTCGACTTTTTTTCTTTTTTCTTCGGGGGTGGTTTCGATGCTATTGGGGGGTGTCGACCACGGGTTTCGATACTCGGCGTTGGGGGGCTTGCGTATCCTCCTTTCTTCCTTTGGGGTATATGATGAACTCTCTTGACAAGGCAGTGTGCCTGCTACTATTCGGTTGTTTGGTCGGGTTGTGCTAGACGGGGAGGGTAGGGAATGGTGGAAATTTTCTTGGCCACGGGGATCCAAGAGATACCACACGAGGCGGTTGACGAAGCGCATGGAGCGCGGGTTAAGCAGATGTTGAAAGGAGATAGCAGACGGCAGCAGACTCTCAGGATATTGCCACATTGGGTATCGATAGGAAATATTCTCTCCTAGGAGATGAAATGAATGATGAGATGTTCTCAAGGAACGAAGGACTGGTCGTGGTCAAAGGTGACATTGTGAATATGTCCATGGATATTGGCGCATCGCGCGAGAGAAGAACGGAAATGAGAGACGGCGGGATGGAGACTGTGAAGCTCTAGGACAGAGGACTGAGGCCATGAAGGACAGCTTGGGACTTGGGGCTGAAGATCAAAGAAAAGGGAGGAGGAATGTTCGTAGGGCGAGTGGACGGCGTGAGAAATCGGCGGGAAGAGTTGATTTCGTGGATCAGTGTAGAGGGTCGAAGATGGATGCCATCGATGCGTGTAAGTTCAGGGCCGAGTGATGAGGGAAACACACAAACAGTAGCAAGGAGGGAAACACAAACAGTAGGAAGGAGGAAAACACTCAGGACGGAAGAGAGTCCATGTGAATAAACAACAAACCGTATGAAGAGGAGATGAAAGATGTACGCAAACAAACATCGACGGCAAGCTCTGGATGTGGCCCTTTTGTATGAGCTGTGGGAGGAAGAAGAGCATCCGATGCTGCGAGGGACCAGGTGGTCGTGGCACGTTCAGGCTACTTATGATGGAAAGAAAATCACCAGACAGACAAGCAGACACCCCCCCTGGGCCGTGCCCTGTCACTTGGTAATTCCACTTTCCCTGCTTTCTTCTTCCAACGGTCCTCCATTGAACTACTGGAACGGCTCATGCCGCGAGCGTGCGGTGGTGTTACCTATCCGTACATACGACCCAAGCATTTTCGCAACCTCTCGGGGGGGTGGGGTAGGAGTGGTCGATCGGGCGGTCCATGGCAGTCCAGGCCCCGGGTTGTGGTGTGATGTTGCAGAGAATGGGCGGGGGCACTGGGGACGCCAGCGCTCACACATCCCGACCACGCCAACCCCAGTTGGGAGGCACACACTGGCAGGCTGGCCGCCTTTTTATTGAGAGGGCTCTTGGAACGAAGGCCGACTGCACTTGGTATGGAGGATAGCAAACAACCCTCCCTCCCCCTGTCGGTCCCTCTAGCTTGAGGTTTACGGAGTACTAGTAGGTAGCAAGTGGCTGCCCCTGGCCGGCAGACACGGATGTTTGATGGGTTGATGACGAGGGCGAGAAAGCTGGGGAGGTTAGGGCCCGACTTGCTGGGAATACCCCAGAGCGGAAGGGAAGCTTTGAGGCGGGTTGCTTCATGTGCACGCTGTTTCGACAAGATGTAGACCATTCCGCTCTTCCTTGCCTAGGTACTTTCTTTTCTCTCCTCTTTCTCTTCTCGTTCTTCTTTCCATACTCCTGAGCTGCTTTGGTAGTCGCGGAGAGAGGATAGGGCCAAAGGGCGTTCCGTCTAACAAGCCTAGTGAATGAGACAGCAAATTTGCATTTCTCTGCACACAGATCTGGCCTGGGAGGAAGGGGTACAATACCTCAGGGTTTCACACTCACCTCCCCCCTGCTTGCTGTGTGCCTGCGTGTCGCGGATACTCATGCAGATGCACGGCTCCGAAATGACGGGAAGCCAAGTGCGTTCGACGGACGTTCTAGACCCCGCGTAACGGCGGGGGGAGGGTCTGAGGTGTCAGTCTTCGACCCTCTCCGCGAGGCGCCGAGAAGCAGGGGTTCAGCCACTCGTAAGCCTTTGTGCCGGGAGGTACTGTCCTTGCTGGGTTGGAGGCAAAGCTACATGTGGCCTTTTAGCTTCTCTTTCTCGACCCTACTTGTAGACAGACAGACACTGCAACTGAAGTTGCTTGTCATGCTCGGATTCCAAGGGAGGACGTTAAGGGTGTGATAACCAGGACCAGGACGAACTCTATTTGCGACCCGAGGGGGTCTGGAGGTTCTAGTCGCCTGGCAGTGCTGCTTTTCCAGACTTGGAAACTGTAGTTCTGTTTCTTGAGCGCACACAGAGAGCCATTAGTGAAAGTGAAAAGCAAGAGACCAGTGCTTTGTACATAAGATCGATGATTGATATTTAGAGATGTCAAAAAGTATTACAGCCGCTGGCCTGCACGAGTCCACTGTGGCTTTCGATAGAGCCGCGGGGCCGCATTCCACGCGAGCAAAATACAGTACCGAGTCCCCTGTATTTACAGCGCACTCTACGTAATGCGGCAGTCAGTCCCCACTGGAGGAGATTGCTGGAGCGGGGACTGTTTGTTCCTGGCGCACGCACACGGGCGGGACGACACAGAAAGGGGCGCTAGTGATAGTTATCGCATTATCAGTCTTGGCTCAATGGAGCTTTGGCTGGTACCCCGCTATGGCCATAATTTTTTGTGAACCGACGTGAGGCTTGGTGATGCGACCAGTTGACTCACCAATCAGCGACATCTCCAAGCTCTCTCACCACCTCGCCCTCCGCGCCCGACTCTCTGAAAACAGCAAAGTGTCCATTTGGCAGTTCTTCTTTTGGCATATTAGAACATTGGGAACACAAAAAGAAAGCACCGAGACAAGTCACAGGTCCCTATGTCCCAGAACAAGGGCGGAAAATCCGGTGGGGGTGCCGGCAAGGGAAAGAAGTCTGGCAAAGGCGGCGCTGCCGAGGAGAAGGGCGAGGAGACCCTTCAAGCTGTGGTATGTGCTTCTGTCTGCGGCTGCCGCTTGACCGGCATCTTGTCTATCGCCTGAGACAGTTGTACTGACTGCTGCGCACTCTAGATCCTGGCAGACTCCTTCCAAAGCAGATTTATTCCATTCAGCCTCGAGAAGCCACGAGTAGGACACCAATCTCCCATACATGATTGAGAGTTGGCTCGAGATGCTGATAAAGAACTCTGTAGTGTCTTCTCCCGCTCGCAAACACGCCACTGATCGAGTACACCCTCGAATACCTGGCTATGAACGGTGTGCAGGAGGTCTTTATATACTGCGGCGCATTCACCGACCAAGTCGAATCATACATCTCAGAGTCTCCCCGATGGAGCCCTACAAGCAGGACAACTCCCTTCTCATCTCTCGAGTTCATCCGGGTTTCAGACGCTACCTCGGTCGGCGACTTCCTGCGCGACCTCGACAAGCGCGGTCTGATTGCTGGCGACTTTGTTCTCGTGCACGGCGATCTCGTCGCAACAGTCCCCCTGGACCAGATATTGGCCAAGCACAAGGCGCGCAAGGAGGCAAACAGGGATGCCATCATGACCATGGTCTTGCGCGAGGGCGGTACCGAGGAGCACAGGACCAAGAGCCACGCCATCCAGCCTGTGTTCGTTGTTGAGGCAAACACGGGAAGGTGCCTGCATTATGAGGAGATCAGTTCTGTCGACAGCGACCACTATATGAAGCTCGACCCGACGATACTCGAGAGCGCGGTCATCGATGTCCGCAGCGACCTGATCGATTGCGGCATTGATATCTGTACGCCAGATGTGCTCGCCCTCTGGTCCGAGAGCTTCGATTTCGAGCTGCCGAGGAAAAATTTCCTGCATAACATCTTGAAGGACTATGAGCTGAACGGCAAGATGATCCACGCCGATATCGTCGACGAAGGCTACGCTGCTCGCGCCAGCAGTCTGCAGATGTACGAGGCGATCAGCAGGGACGTCATGGGTCGATGGGCCTATCCACTGGTCCCGGACTCAAACCTGGTCTCGGGACATTCATACCGGATGGTCAGGAGGGGCGTCTACCTGGAGAAAGGTGTGGTGCTGCAGGCGAATGCCGATATTCAATCTTCCATGGTTGGCCTGAGGACAAATGTGGGAAGCGGCAGCAAAGTCTTGAACAGCGTCATTGGCAGGCGGTGCCATATTGGCAGCAATGTCACTATCAAAGACAGCTTCATCTGGGATGACGTGACCATCGAGGATAACAGCACAGTCTGCCACTCCATAGTAGCTAACTCCGCTACGATAGGCACCGGCTGCAACGTCCCCGAAGGATCTCTGATCTCGTTTGGCGTTCACGTTGGCAACGGCATATCACTACAGGCACCCGCCAAGCTCTCCCTCTACACCTCCGACCTCAGCCCTGCCAATGACGACACCTCTCTTCTTGGTCCCGAGGGCAAAGGCTGCGCGTATGTCGACTCTGACGATGAGGACGAGGACGAGCGGGACCCCGAGCACCTCCAAAAGTCATTCATCTACTCCCTCGAGGGTCTCGACCTCTCACAGTCGTCCATATCGACCTTCAACTCGGCCGTGTCTGACGACGAGGATGGCGACGAGGTCAACTCGCAGGTCAACAGCCTGCTCAACGCCGACGCCAACTCGCGCTCGCGGCTCTCCTCGTTTGCCTCGGACGACTCGGCCGCCGCCAAGGCCGCCGCGTCGGCGAGCAACTTCCACAACGAGGCCGTGCACAGCCTGCTCGACGCCCTGCGCGACGACGTGGGCGACTTCGACTCGGCCAAGCTCGAGTTCATGGGCCTGCGCCTGGCCAACGACGCCTCCAACGCCGTGATGCGCCGCGCCATCGCCGCGGCCTTTGCGCGCCGCGCCGCCGAGCTGCTCGAGCCCGAGCACGGCGGGCTCGAGCCGACCAAGGCCGCCGACCGCGCCATCCGCGGCAAGAAGGGCGCCGCCAAGTTCCTCGGCGAGGTGGGCGTCGGCGGCGGCGTCGCGGACCAGGTCGAGATGGCGCTCGCGCTGCAGCGCGCGCTGGCGGGGCTCGCGGCCGGCGGCGGCGGCGGCAGCAGCAGCAGCAGCAGCGGCAGGGCGAATCACCCCCTCCCCGCCGCGAGGGCGGGCGCGCTGCTCTCGGCCATGCTGCAGCAGCTGTACAGCCTCGACGTGCTCGAGGAGGAGGGCATCCTGGGCTGGTGGGCCGACGCGCGGGCGGTCGAGGGCGAGGGCATGGAGGTCGTGAGGGGCAGGTGTAAGGTCCTTGTCGAGTACCTCGAGGCCGAGGGCGATAGCGACGATGATGATGACGACGATGACGACGACGAGGAGGAGGAGGATAGTGATTGATGAGTGAGAGTATTATCTATGGGCTGAAGGTTAGTGTCGGTTTGGTACTTGGACCGCCGGGCGTGGGAAGGCGGGGGCGGGCTTTAGGAAAGAGGCGAAGAGATTCCATCATCGTTCGATCATGGTTTTCTAACATTAGACCTTCTGGCAAGAAAGCAGACAGGGATAGCGTGTACGAGATATCTTTCACCAAAGAAGCAATTTTGTGACAACAACATGTGGCCGGTGTACTCTGGACAACATATAATGACGATATTTGAACGCGATTTTCTTTGCCATATTGCCGCCAGCAAGTCTAGAGGGTATCTTCGATATGTAAACTTAGGAAAGCAAACAATGCAACCGACCGACTGTGATCATCCGCGTCCAAAAAGATCCAACCTCCACCCCCCTTCATTCTCATCAAATCTAGCTCGCTGCTAACAACTTACCGAAGACTAATCCGTTATTCACCCCTTCCCCCCTTTGGACTGCCACCACGCAGCTCCTCAATCATCAGGGTAAAACTCCTTGATGTTGGAGACAAACGTGCACGTCTCCCTGTCAAACCTCTTGAAGAACTTGCCCGCGACGTTAAACAGCTCCGGCGGGATCTCGTCCTCGTCAGTGATGATCTCGACGTTATCCTGGGCCACCACATGACGGTCCTCTGCGGAGCGTCTGCGAGGGAGGGCGAAGAAAGGAGTATTGGTTAGTTTCTCTTCTCTCTGCGTCTTCTCAGGGAGGGGTGCTCGGAAAGAGAAGAAAAAAAACTTACAGGCACGTATAAAAAGTCTGCTTCCTGTACCTCGGCGTGGGCGTCGCCGACCCGGAAGCAGGAGCAGAAGCGGCGGCGGCATCCGAGGCCGATGCCGCGGCCGGAGGAGGGCCCGTCTCGAGTACGTCCTCGGTGTTGACGCTGTGCGGCGTGGGCAGGCCGTCGGCGTCGTTGGGCGCCCAGCCGTTGATGATGCCGACGTAGCCGTAGCGGCGGTGGCGGAAGACCTGGCCGATGCGGTACTTGACCGAGTCGATGATGTCCTGGGTGTAGCGGCGGCTGACCTGGGGCTGGCGGGCGTCGAGGTTGCGCACCATGCCGAGCGTGGCGCTGGCGTTCTCCCAGCCGAGGCGGCGGCTGCCGGGGCCGAGCATACCGCCCTCGCCCTCCCCGGCCTCGCGCCGGGCGGCGATGTAGGCGTCGTAGAGCGGCAGCAGGTGCTCCTCGACGAGCCAGGCGTCCTCGCTGAAGAGCGCGGCGAAGTGGCGGAGCAGGGGCGTCAGCGTGGCGGCCCAGTGCTCGCTGGCCGTGGGCGTCGTGAAGACGGGGGCCCACATCGAGGCGTAGAGCATGGCGTCGAGGTTCTGGTCCGGGTCGCCGGCGCGCAGGCGCCTGAGCCCCGCGGCGGCCGGGTGCGCGGACGGCAGCTCGCGCGCCACGGTCCAGCTGGCCTTGATGTTCTGCGCGGTGCGCTGGATGATGGCGCTCGACGGCGTGGGCCGCAGGAAGACGTCGGCGCTGTCCTCGGCGTCCCAGCTGAGCTCGACCAGCTTCGCCTCGAGCTCCTCGACGGTGACCTCCTCGCTGGACTCGTAGGGGTCGAGGAACATGCGGTGCAGCTTGTCGTCGTCGTCGTCGCCGCCGCCGCCGCCCGGCGGCACGGGCCTGCCGTCGAGGGTGGCGCCCCGGGGCGCGAAGACGATTGCGTGCACGTGGCTCGGGATGGCGCAGCATGCGGCGCTGATATCCAGGCGCTGTGCGATGCAGACGTAGATGGCGCTGGAGATGATGGGCAGCGACTGGTGTGTCTCGTCGGTCAGCGCCTGGCCAATGAGGCAGTTCCTCAGGTTGCGGTAGTTATCCTCGGGCATGTCCATGCCCACGAGGTTGTTGGAGCGCACCCAGCGCAGGAGAGCGAGGGCCTTGTCGCGGATGCTCATCTCGCCCAGGGCCGGGTGCTCACTGCGGAATTGGGCTGCATAGCCGTCGAGCAGACCTTGGATCTTGAAGCCGTGTAATGTTAGTGGGGATGGTGCAGGCTCGGTGGGTTGCAGCACCGTGTGGTGTCACCTACATCATCCATGTCTCCTTCCTGGTCGTGAAGGACAAACATATCAAAGGCACCGAGGCCGCGGTCGAGGCCGCGGACAGTGGGCGTACCAGACTGGTACTTGCTCCATTCCTTGACGGCGAGGCTCCTATGGATGCTTCCAAGTGCAGTTTTGGCGTAGTACCTGGGTTGTGCATCAGCCACTCAGCATGCCCAAGTCAAAGTGTCGAAGGGGCAGCCTACCTTCTGGCCAAGACGTCCTCGACATCGTCGCCCGCATGGCACTGGTCGAGCAGATAGTCCTTGGCGTCGTACCCGAGTCGGCAAATCTGACCAAACTTCCACAGCCGGCCCACCTTGGTGGACAGTATCTGGTCCAGGAGATGGGCGACCTGGTCATTGTCATGCCGGCGGCGAAGCCACAGCCTCTTCCAGTCGACGTATGAGGCTGGCGAAGCTAGCTTCCTCGCGAGGTCGTGCTCCGGGGCCCAGTACTTGTATGAGATGCGGCAGTAGTGACGCCAGAGCAGAGTATCGTCGGCGAGCTTGTGCAGGCGGCGAGACAGCGTCTGGATGGCGCGGAGGTTGTCTTCGGGAGAGACGTAGAGGAAGACATGGCGGACCAGCTCAGCGGGGATCTCATTGAGGGACGCCATGGCTCAAGGTGAGAGTCTCTGCAAGACGGTGCATGCCCCCTTTTCCAAACCGGCATGAGAGGCAGATACCCGGGAGCCTTTATATACTCATGGAGGTCCTTGTTCTGTCTGTTGGGTAAATTAAGGCGTTGAAGGTGAGCGAAACACTGGCATCGACCACCCTCATCGCCCGTCTGAATGTCCGTTTTTGAGGCTTGGGACCATTCCTCAACGGACGGTGCTGAGAGGGGCCGGTCGGTCACCGTTCAATGGTGCGCGAATGCTATGGGCATCTTCGAATAGCGGGGGTCCCTGCTGAAGGTCTCCGCTATTTCGTCTTATCTTAGTGTATTTCAGGTGCCGCCTGCTCCACACTCTGCTGGTCCAAGACCTTACAGCGGAGCGGAAAAACCCCTGTAGCCCTCTGATATCCGCTAGAGCACCGGGCATATCGATGGCTGGTATCGCGGGGCAGATTGAATTGGTGGAAGGGAAGGCTTGTTATTTCTGCCCGAAACAGCGAGTTACTCACCTCGTCAGACCTGATTGTCCAATCGTGGGGCAATTTTCAATATACCTACACACCAACCACAAAAAGTCAGTCACACCGCCCAAACGGACAGCTTTGACTCACTCGCTGTCCGTCTTGCTGTCAAGTATATCTTGGCTGACTTCTGTCATCTGGTTCCATGCGCTGACCTGCTTCAACTCAATCACAGAAGAAGCCCCGATCGCAGACCTACAGACCATGGAGACCGCTAAAAAGGCCGTCGAGTCGGTCACCGAGGGCGTCAAGAAGGTCGCTCTCGGCGGCGAGGGCAAGGGAGGGAAGCCCAAGGGCGAGAAGAAGAACAAGAAGGCCCCAGCAGGCACTGACGTTGCCGATGCCGGCCCTGTCGAGATGAACCCTTGGCCCTCCTACATCCAGGACAGGATCGAGATCTTCGACCGCCTCAAGCAGAAGTACGACGAGGCCCAGGCCAAGAAGCCGCGCGAGCCCATCTCCATCACCATGCCCGATGGCTCTGTCAAGCAGGGCACCTCCTTCGAGACCACCCCCGGAGAGATCGCGCGGGGTATCTCCAACTCTCTATACAAGCGCACCGTTGTCGCAAGGCTAGACGGCGAGCAGCTGTGGGATCTCGAGCGGCCGCTCGAGCAGAGCTGCAAGCTCGAGCTGCTCGACTTCAACCACGAGCAGGGCAAGATGGTCTACTGGCACTCTTCCGCACACATCCTCGGCGAGGCCTGCGAGCGTCGCTTTGGCTGCTCCCTCTGCATTGGCCCTCCTATCGAGAACGGTTTCTACTACGAGTAAGTCTTGCGCAGTGAAGCCATTGATCTCACACCATAGACCGCCGAGACTGACAATCCATAGGATGGCCCTCCCCGAGGGCAAGGCTGTTCAGACCCTCGACTGGAAGCCGCTGGAGACCATTGTCGGAAAGAGTATCAAGGCCAAGGAGCCGTTCCAGCGGCTCGAGATGTCCAAGGACGATCTCCTCGAGATGTTCAAGTACAACAAGTACAAGCAGCACATCATCAAGGACAAGATTCCCGATGGCACCTTCACCACCGTCTACCGACAGGGTCCTCTCATCGATCTGTGCCGTGGTCCCCACGTTGTCGACACCAGCAGGATCGAGGCCTTCGCGATTGAGAAGAACTCGGCCAGCTACTTCCTCGGCAACAAGGACAACGACTCTCTCCAGCGCATCTACGGCATCAGTTTCCCCGACAAGAAGCTGATGGCTGCCCACAAGAAGTTCCTCGAGGAGGCTGCCAAGCGTGATCACCGCAAGCTTGGCAAGGACCAGGAGCTGTTCTTCTTCCACGAGTGGTCGCCCGGCTCGGCCTTTTGGCTCCCGCACGGTACCCGTATCTACAACACTCTTCTCGACTATCTGAGGGATCAGTACTGGAAGCGCGGCTATCAGGAGGTCTTGACCCCCAACATGTTCAACGCGTCCCTTTGGAAACAGAGTGGTCACTGGCAGCATTACAAGGATGACATGTTCATCATTGATGTTGACAAGGAGAACTTTGCCCTCAAGCCCATGAACTGCCCCAGCCACGCTCTCATGTTTGCCCACCGCGAGCGTAGCCATCGCGAGCTGCCATGGCGGGTTGCTGACTTCGGTGTCCTTCATCGTAACGAGGCTTCCGGCGCCCTGTCAGGTCTCACCCGTGTGCGCCGCTTCCAGCAGGATGATGCCCATATCTTCTGCCGCGAGGACCAGATCAAGGAGGAGATGGACGACCTCTTTGACTTTATGCGCGAGGTCTACGGTCTCCTCGGCCTCACCTTCAAGCTTCGCTTGTCGACCCGGCCCGAGAAGTTCATGGGTGAGATCTCGACTTGGGACAGGGCGGAGGACCTCCTCCGACAGTCCCTGGATGAGTTCTCAAAGACTGAGGGTGGTGTTCCGTGGGAGCTGAACGAGGGCGACGGTGCCTTCTACGGCCCCAAGATCGATATTGCCATCATGGATTGCCTGAACCGGGAGTGGCAGTGCGCCACCATCCAGCTGGACTTCATGCAGCCCCAGAACTTCGGCCTCGAGTACATGACCGCCGAGGGTGCCGAGAAGATCCAGGAGCAGAAGGAGGAGACCGCCACCGCTCCCGAGGCCCAGCCGACCCCCGTCGCCAGCGAGGAGGCTGCCAACGCCGAGGGCAAGGACAAGAAGGAGCCCCAGCGCGTGGTTAAGAAGGTGTCGCCCGGCTGCGCCCGTCCCGTCATGATCCACCGCGCCATGGCCGGCTCCATTGAGCGCTTCACCGCCATCCTGATCGAGCACTTTGCCGGCAAGTGGCCGCTGTGGCTGTCGCCCCGCCAGATCCTCGTCGTGCCCGTCGGCAGGGGCTACTTCGACTACGCCGAGCAGGTCGCCGCGCGCTTCAAGGCGGCGCGCATGTTCTGCGACATCGACCTGAGCGGCAACACGCTGCAGAAGAAGATCCGCACTGGCCAGCTGGCGCAGTACAACTTTATCATGGGTATGTTATTATTCGTTATCCCTTTTTTTTTTTTTTTTTTTTTTGAGAAACGGAAAGGACAGAAGCTGACCCCTGTGGACCCGACAAACCAGTCGTCGGAAACGAGGAGATGGAGAACAAGCAGGTCAACGTGCGCAACCGCGACGACCAGGAGACCCAGGACCGCGGCCAGCCCATCGCCCTCGACGAGGCGGTCGAGAAGCTGTGCAAGCTGCGCGACGACAAGGGCAACTACAACCCCTTCCCGGCCAAGAAGAAGGCCGCGGCCGCGGCCCCTGCTTCGTCATAGAGTCGAGTCGTGGGGAGCAGCAAGAGCGAGGGTGGCGGCAGCGCTGGTAGAGGCGGCAGCATCAGCAGAAGCAGAAGTAGAAGCAGAAGCAGTGACGGGGGCGATGATCGTTGTGATCACGACGACGATGGGTTCCCGTGGAGGTGCTTCTGCGCGAGGCCCGACTTGGGCGGGGTCGAGCCGAGACGAAGGTCGATGATATAAAAATATACAAGAGAGAGAGAGAGAGAGGTTTGCTTTTTGCTAGAGCTGTAGAGATATGGGGATGTGCCTGCAAGGCTGGTTGGTATGTGTGAATGGGAAAACGCCTATTTTAGCTGAGATTTGTGCATCGGCAGATCCGAGTCTCGGTGTGAAGGAATGCCGCGTTTCGATGGTGATAGTAGACAAACTGCGTTCACTTTCACATAATAGTCCGTCATCTATGCCAGGCTTACAACTCGACGAGAGCAGGGCGGGTGGGTATCTTGTATATTGTTACTGGATCCGAGACAGATACAGAAAGATCCCCGAGCTGGTTAGTAGCTATTCCTCTCTACGCCAGCACAAAATGACCAAAAAAAATTGCATACCTCCGTGTATTTCATGCGCCCGAGTTTCCGAGTTTCCGCCTTTCCTGTACACACATATATGTATGTGTATGTGTATGTATGTATGTATGCCCTGGTCCAGGCAGAGGAGAGGAACCGAGAAGGGAAAAAAAGAAAAGAAAAGAGGAACCGGGAAGGGGGGGGGAGAGAAGAGAGAAGAAGAAAACCGTGTTTGATGATTGATCGATCTCATGAAAATATGGCCCTCCGTGATCTTTCGTAGTATGAGGTAGCGCAGACAGACCCCCCGTGTATCCTCACTCACTATGCATCTCAAAAGAAGAAAAAGAAAACAGTCCAACCCCGTCCCGAACCTTGCAACCCCAACCACCACCAGCTCAGCCTCTTCCCCCAACGTCTTCCACAGGACAACCCACAGCACTATCTGAGGGGTATTCTCCCGCCCTCCGCCCCTCCCCTTCATGCCCAAGACAAACCTGTCAAGGTAAACCCCTCTCCCCCCCCTTCCGTCCCCCTTTTTTCCCCCCCCCATCGCCTTCAAGGCTTGGGGATGTGGATGCTCTTGCTCGTCATGAGGAAGCCGTGCAGCACAAAGAGCAGCACGACGGGGTGGACCTCGAGCGCCGAGCCGGCGAGCCAGGTGCCCCCGGGGAGGGCCTCGTGGGTCCAGCCGCGCGAGACCCAGTAGGCCATGAGGGCGTCGAGGCCGAGGCTCGTGGGGATGGGCGTGCCCTCAAAGTACGAGGCCTTGCCGGAGCGGTCCTTGGGGATGACCGAGGCCGTCACGTTGAAGCGCGCGAGGCGCGTCAGGCCGCAGAGCACAAAGAAGGCGAGCAGGACGTGGTCGGCGGCCGTGCGGCAGCCGATGGAGAAGGCGACGACGGCGGGGGAGACGCCGAAGGAGATCTGCAAGGGGTTTGGGACGTTGGATGAGAGTTCCACTTGTCGTTCTTGCTTGGGGAGAGGGGAAAGAAAAAGAAAAAAAATACAAGGGCGAGGAAGAACGTACCAGGTCGGCGAGGGAGTCGAGCTCCTGGCCCATCATGCTGCTCTTGCCGCGCCAGCGCGCCACCTTGCCGTCCATAAAGTCGAAGAAGAGGCCGAGGGGCAGGAAGCCGAGGGCGAGGTAGATGTTGCCCCTGGCGGCCGGGTCGCCGAGGCAGTACCGGAGGGAGGAGAAGATGGACATGACGCCGCAGAAGCCTTTGTGTGTGGATATATATAGTTAGTGTATGTTTGTTTTTGCCACACACACACATATATATATATGAATGAGTGTTTATAAAGTGAAACCTCCTGTGTGTGTGTGTGTGTGTGTGTGTGTGTGTGTAGATAGATAGACAAGGGGGTTGGCGGGCAGAGGGGGGACAGGACAGGGACGTACCGTTCAGCTCGGTGATGTAATCGGCCATGTGCAGGGCGCGCATGAGGGAGAGGTGTCCGGCGTCAGAGGAGAGGAGGAGCTTTTGCTTGTCGTAGGCTAAATGCGTGAATGATGTTAGTAGACAAGAAGGATGCTGCTGCTCGTCGTCCGTGCGACACAACTCCCAGCGAAGGGGGCATGGTGGGAGCTCAACAAGAGCACACCTCTCTCACGCGGATGGAGCTCCCTAGAGGATCGCCAGGTGACGTACCAGGCTGGTTCGAGCTGCTCTCGGCGCCCGAGACCGCGCCGTTGCTCTGAGCAGCCGCGCTCGTCCGTTTCGACATGGTTGTCTGGTTTGCGGTGGTGGGTTGAGGCCCTCGAAGGGGAGAAGAGAAGGGATGAGGTGGTTTTCGGCGGGCCCGGGAGGTAGTCGTCGCAGGATGTCGTCACGCAGGTAGAGAGTAGCTCTCCAGAGTTTCTTTCTCGCCTGCAAAGTCTCTCGCTCTCTCTCTCGAGAAGTAGCACTGGTTGCGAGAAAGTATTGTTCCTTGTCCGAGCTCGAGAAGCGATCACCACAGCTACCGTCGAAACTGCAAATAGGTGCTATGTGCTCAAGAGGGGGGTTTTCTTTTGCGCGCGCGCGTGCTCGTACGTGGTTCCTCGTGTGAAGTGACCGTTGGGGTGGTGATGCACCGTTGTTTGAACTGCCGCGGGCTTGGAGAGAGATTTGGGGGAGGGGCAGAGAACAGGGAAGAGCTCCAGTTGTTCTGTCGGTGAAGTAATGCCAAGTTTTTGGTGGTCGGTCCAGGCGCTGCTCCAAGCTAATGGTTTGTGCACGGGGCATGCAGTTCAGACGAAGGAAAAAGAGGTCAAGTAAGTCAAGCTTCTGGGCATCAATTCTTGGAACAGGGATCTGGGAAAAGCCGCATGTGATGCCGTCATGGAGGAACGACGACAAAAGTTGGGGGGCTGTTCTCTACTTAGTTAGTGCAAGCCAAGCGCTAATTAATACCAAAAGCCACTCCAGGCTGGTCAATCACAGACAGACCGCATATTCAGCCAGCCAATGACAGCCCCCTCAACAAACGTCCTTTTCTTCTTTCTCTCGATTGAACCATGCTCGCATGCATACCGCTGTTGTATTTCATATTACCCAGTGTCCTTCGTCGTCTCCTATGTGTGCCTTTGTCTATAGCCCACGCCGCCCCGATACTCGAGCTTGTCAGCCAGGCCCAGTTTGCCATGCTATGTATACCATGCCATGCCATGCCAATCCAGTCAAATAGGTAATCCAGCCAGCCAGCCGAGCCAACAATATACTGCGGAGACCTCGCAGAGGACTCGACCAGCCCTGTCTCGGTATATTATGTACAGCGCGAGGTCATTCCCGTCCTTGCCCAAGAATAATGAGATGCAAATCCCCATCCTCCCTCTCTCTCCCATGTCCGTTTGGTGTACAATGTTCGGACTCGTGCATTACTTTTATGCTGCCGCCTCCATCCAAGCCATCCAGCACCAATCTCGTCTTCAAAGTTCTGACTCAGGAAAAAAAAAAAAAAAAGGAGACGACAGACAATCTCTGATGCTCGTCATCCAGACCAAACCATCATGTATGCGTATGCTATGCTGCTTGCACCCGGTTATGCAATCGTTCGATGCGCCTGAACCGCCAAGCGTATATGCTGAGATCCCCTAGTCCCGGTCGTGACAGCCAATGTCGTATGTATACTGAAGCCATGCGTAGGATATGTATGTACCGAGAATAATCGATGCTGTGAATCGCAACCTCTTTTTACTGAACAATAAGAACGGAAAACCCGTCGAGCCAAGCCGCGCAGGATCCAGACACACCACAGATGGTGTAACCTCTGGGGGGTATTAAAGTGTTTCTGCGCCTCTACGTGTTAATCGACTGTGTCCTTCTTGAGCCCGAAAGCGTACGCTCCCAAGGGTCACTTACGCAGAACCACCATGAGCATTGCCATATACAGGAGACTTCCTGCCAAGGCTGGTCAGGACCTGGATCCCGTCGATCCAGAATCCGGACCGGATATAGAAGCCACTAATGTACTCTCCGCGGCGAATATCTGATAGACACACGAGACGTACGATTAGTATGTACTGACCACACACTGCAGCAGTCTAGTACGGGCGCAAGGCACTTACCCATTTCAAATGAATCGCCTCCGGCCTTTCCTCCCCGCTTTCCGAATAGCTGCCGCGAGTCGTCATCGTACACAAACTCCATCCCGTCCATGGCAAATCCGTGGTAGAAGATGATCCGGGAGAGAACCCTGTCCTGTCGCAGGGCACTAGTGAAGATGACCTCTTGCGGTTGACTGCCCTCCATCTGAGATAGACCAAACTTGCAGCTCCTATACGCTGTCTTCCCAAGCAGCGCATTTCCCAGCTTCAACGACGAGCCCTTGGACGAGAGCTGCCGAAAGTCGTCGATGTCGAGATTTCCGCCGCCGACCGACTTGATGCAGACCTTGACCCTCCCCTTCCGCTTCTCTTCCGGCAAGCGATTCCGGAGGTCCTGGTCGGTCAGGATAATCTGCCGCTCGATCACGCCGTTCTCCGGGCCAAACTCGATCCAGCTGCGGCATACGTCGTCGCCTTCGCCGAATATCTCGAGATAGGCGACGCCCGTCGCTGCCGTGATCGCAACTTTGCCACTGTCGACCGGCCAGGCCTGAACACTATCGTCGGGGTTCATCGGCGGGTCGTTGGGCAGGCGGAAGCACGGGTGACTCCGGAAATGCAGGCAGTCGAGCCGATGCCACGTGCACTCATCGTTCTGGAGGACCAGACCTCCTTTCGACCTCGTTCTCGTCGAGTATGCCTCGCGTGCGAGGAACGTACGATTGAACGTGACATAGTCCCTCAGCATCACCCCGCTCTCACGATGGGGCAGGCCCAACGCGTGTCCCGTCTCGTGCAGGTGGGCGCCGATGCCGATATTGCAGGCCTCCCAGGAGCTGCCGGCATCGTTGCAGTCGTTCCCGACAAAGTTCAGATCGGTAGGCGTGCAGTCGGTTAGTGCAGGAACCACCTCCTCGAAGCTGGTCGGGTAGCTCTGCAAGCAGTGCGAGCCAAAGATGCCCACGTGCAAATCGCCAGCACCGCCCCCGAGGGCAGCGTGAGCCGTGATGGTTTTGGAGGCCTTGTCCCAGTGCGCATCCAGAATCAAAACCGAGACATGGAGCTGCTGGCCCGCTTTTGGCTGGAAATAGTTCCTCAGAGCGTCGAGCGCAATCCCATACAAGGCATCCTTGTCTGTCGCCTTGGGGTTCTGCTGGGCGCGGTTGAGATCCCGCAGCTCGGCGACAGTCTTGTCGGTCCTGACAATGTGTATGCGTGCTTCAGATCGCATCTGGCCGCACTCTCGGTCACGATAGTTGGACGTGCCCTGGGTCCACTCCTCTTCGAAATGGAAAGTCCGGCGACCGAGCTTGTTTCGCCACATCTGCTCCGCGGTGAACGCCTGCCATAGGTAGGCTGCCATGCGGAACTTCCGAACCGCCGTTTCGAGCCCGTTCCCTTCCCGTTCGATCCGCGCAGGCACGGCGTCGAAGGTCCCAGGGGAGTCCTTCGCCATGAGAATGGCAAGTTGGAGCGGGGGCGCGTTTGTGGGTGGAAGCATATGGATGGTGAGATACGAGGTGTGTATGGGATTCGAGGTTCCGCTGTTGGCCAGCTTGGGGCTGGAGAAATCAAATCGAACTCTGTTGGGGCCAGGCATCATGTAGACAAGAGCCTTGAAGTGCGACTGCGAGACCGGCCAGCTGGTCGGAGGGAAGCCATCGTCGAGACGGCTCACAGTCAAGTTGCCGTCGAGGGACTGGAGGGTCGGGTCGCCAATGGTGCCATGCACCAGCAGGACTTTTTGATAGACCTACCCGAGCTGTCAGTAAGCGCAGCGCTGTGGTGTCATATGATGCCAAGCTCAGGCCAATTGTGTGAGGGTACGAGATACATGTCGTGTTCCCAGACACAGCGGTCGCACTGCTTGGCGTCACGGTCAAGATGAGAAGCGATGTCGACTTACCCAAGAGCCATCTTGAACATTGGCGATGCGCGGCGAGAACTGCGAGACAGGGAGGGAGGGTATCCTGCCGCTGGACGCAGGCGAGCCAAGACCGGCCATGCCGTTCACGCTGTGACGCTTCGAATTGCTGTTGGGGACAGGCTGGGGAAGGGGTCGCACGGCAGCATTGGGCGGAGTGGTTGCAGAGTCCTTGAAAGGGAAATTCGATGCAGAGTCGGAGGTCTGGCTGAGCGAGGGAGGCGTGATAGAACCCGTTGTAGGGGCTGTGCCGTGGCTCTCTTCACTCGAGGAGTCGGTCGAGGTTTCGGTGCGGAAGCTCGCTCTTGATCGTCTGCGCAACTCTTTGAGGAACGAGGGCGCCATGGCCGGCTTTGCCGCGATGGCTGTCTGATACCTGTAGGTCGTCGACGTTAAGAACCGTGCATCACCGGCGAGAGGGAAAGGTGGCGCAGGAGGAGGAGGAGGAGGAGCGGGAGGTTGAGGTTTAGAGGGCTCAGCAGATAGTTTAGGTGATGTGGTTGACTTACACTGGGATTCAGCAGGGGGCGACCACGTACCACTCCCCGGTGGTGAACAAGCTAGATTCCCAGCTCAAGATCGTGGAAGGACCAGGGCCACTCTGCTCTTTTTGTCGAAAAAAGTGGTTGACCAGAGCTGCGAATGACTGCAGGAGCTAGCTTGCCTGGAATTGACCGCAACAGGAGCAGCAGAGGTGAATGGCGTGGTCGCACAGAATAAAGTTCAAGGCGACAGACGGTCTTCAATGGTGGAATAGTGCTCCAGATGCTCCGTTGGATGGTGACACTAGAACAGATAGCGCCAGCTTGTCGCAGCACCAGATCCGGCCTAATTGGCCGTGGGAAACAGCGTGCGCCTAGCACTGGCGGGACCCAGATCGGTCGATGACGTCGCCCCGGTAATCAAACGGTCCTTTCAATAACGGCAGAGATTATTGGACGGGGGGGGGGG